CCGTTCAATTCTGCACACGATGCTGTTTTCCCCGTGCCGGTCGGACCCCTGGTCACCAAGATATTGCACGGGAACTGGACCCGTGTCGGCCAAAATTAGCCGTTTTCGCCCGATTTCGCACGCCGATTTATACATGTAAAGTCTATGACGCGAATTTGCACTTTTTGAGCACGCGCCACGCGCTCCCTATCAATCCGATCGAGCTGAGACCCCTCAAAGGCACGTCGCGCATCCTTGATCTATAAGTTGTGCAAATTTCACCGGGCTAGGTGCAACGGTCTGGCCTGTAGTCCACGCAAAGCACCACCAAGTCGGGACCTCGGTAACGGACAGACGCACCCTCCTCAAATAGTAATATAGACAAGCGGCTGCGCCACTTGCTTTGCTGCGTGGTAGGAAAAAATTGCGGCACCAGCCAATTTGCTTTCGAATGGTGTTTGATTCATGTCGATGTGTCGTATAGAAGCATGGATATGGACGGAAATGTGAAGATAATTTAAAAAAAGAACTGTTCTGAGGGCGTTGTTGGATGAAATTTGGGTGATACGGGGTCAAGACGGGTCAGCGGTCAAAGGGGTCAGCCCCAGTCACTTTGGGTCAGGCCAGGTCACATAGGTCACCTCTCGTCTGATGCAATCAGCCCGGGCCACTGTTCTACTTTTGCCTCCACCACTACCCCTACCACTACCCCTACCACTACCCCTACCACTACCCTACCACTACCCCTACCCCTACCTCTCCCCCTACCCCTACCACTACCCCTACCCCTACCCCTACCACTACATCTACCCCTACCACTACTACTACCCATACTCCTACCCCTACCACTACCCCTACCACTACCCCTACCACTACCCCTACTACTACCCCTACTACTACCCCTACCACTACCACTACCCCTACCCCTACCACTACACTACCCCTACCACAACCCCTACCACTACCCCTACTCCTACCCCTACCAACACCGCTGGGTCATGTCAGGTCACAGACTAATTGGATGTAATAAGTACTAAAAAATCATACTTTAAAAGTGTTCCCAGCCCTGCTCCTATTCGTGCCATTGCATTACCCCTAATCGATTTTGTCGGAAATGGCGCTTTGTGACAAATGTGGCGCATTGCGACAAACGCGGCGCATTTTCACCCGGTGATTGAGCATGCATCTTTGCACCAAATTGCACCCATATCGGACCATATTTGACAAAACTGTGCGATTTGCGGCAAAAATGGCGCGTTGTAACCAATGTGACGCATTGCGGCAAACGCGGTGCATTTGTAAATTGCTATCACAAACTGTTCCCATTGAACGAAGATCAACACATTTTTTCGCCACTATTTATTCAAATTAAAAAACTTGCCCATCCGCCAATGCGAGGCACTCGCCGCCGATCGGCATGCATTTAGTCCACAAAGTTTGTCGACCCCGGCTCTCAATGAAGATCTACGAACCGATCAAAATTTCATTGGCGTTCTTCCAGCGCGCCCCACGCGCGAACCGTGCACCCCAGCGAGCCGAAACCTAGAAAAGGCACTGACCCGTTCTGTCACCTATAAGGTGTGCAAATTTCAACCCCCTACGATATACCGTCTGCCCTGTAGGCCGGCTAAATTGAACCCACTACACGACGTGGCGGACAGACAAACAGACAGATGGATCCTGTTCAAATAGTAGTATAGATGTTACGTCTGGCTTGTTCCGGTGGCCGTGAGCTCCAAGCTGGAGCTGGCACGCGTCGCTGCTACTGCTGTGTTTATATGTACATTTTCGTGTTTGTTGACAATACAATCCAGGCAGTTCCAGACTTTCCTTGATCGAGTCTTGTGTTATCGTAGTCCGTAGATGACCGTGAGGGTACTGACGTCAGCGATGAGTGATGACGTCAAACGATTTTTAACAATACCTTTAAGTGATGGCAGCTGTTTCAGGAACCGGTAGTCATACGACGCAACTGCGCAAATGTCTGTTGCATTCAATTCACATTGTACCTGGGTTCTATGACTCGTCCAAAGACTAGGAAAACGGTAGTTTGCAATGCACTGAAAATTCACACATAAAAATGTTCGCTTTGACAGTACAAAAAACATTTAGGTACTTTAAAACGGTGATTGGGTTCAGGGCGATGCAATTAAAATGATTTGCTAAATAGCAGTACCAAGAGCGACTCAGAGTTCAGACGGAACGGAGAACTCGCACTGCGCCAAAAGGGGGAGAGCGGGCGGAAGTGAGACGTCAGATAAAGGACGGTGAGGTAACTGACAAAGATAGCGACCGACTCTGGATGACAAAGACTTGGCAGCATACAGACGTGACGGAAGATAGCGAGACAGGTTCGACTGGAGCCGGCGGCGACCGGAGGTTCCCGGGCAGACACCCGTTCGGACACGACCGTGCATGTTAGAGGAGGTGCACACAGCGATGCCAAGGTCGAGGAAGCATCGGATATACACGCAGAGAAGTGTCTGACCTTGTCCAGAGATATGTTTGGACACGATGCCTTCTCTTACTTACTTACTTACTTACGAAGTACAGAATTCGAATATGATAAGGAAATGCCCTTTGAGCGGATGGACGCAAGGGTGGACGCCGAACACGAACCGGTCAAAGAACGTCGTTGCCCACGTATGCGGATCTAATCGCCCTTGAAGAATTATGTAACACTTAACGAGGACGGGACAATGATTTCGTCACAGCTGGCTTTATCCTTCCAGCACCAAAACTCCAGCGTAGATGCGACATAGCCCACGCAGAGCTTTGGTCATGCCACACGTTCTGACCAAAGAAGACGGCCTGCGGGGTGGAAAAGTTCAAAACCGGCTACGGCACATTGCCTATAAGCGGAGTGTGACATACCGCGATTTCCTGTCATATCGCTCTGTAGCCCTATTTCCCTATTTTACTATAACGTGCTCCTCTTTGCCCCAGTCAGATTCGGCCCTCTCAGTCTGCGAACGCTCCACCTTTCGAGCCGCTGCGATTCTCCGAAGTGTGAACTCTTGTGTGATGACGAAAGCTCCAGACGGCGATCGAATTGGGGCGTTGCGATAAATAAACACCGGGCGCGGGCGGACGGTGATGTCGGACACAGACCAGTAACCAAGGGTGAAGGGAGTAAGGGTCCAGTGACACGTGGTGAGACGACGCGTGCAGGTGACAGGTCTGTGGGGTATACTGAGATATGTATGCCGGGTACTGGGTAATTAACTCGGGGTTCGGTGTACAACTTTACACGTGGGAGAGGCCGGTGTTCCGTTTTGATAGGGCGGCGAAACGGCAAGGTTACTGGTTCTGTATGCTTTTGGTTACTGAATGGTAAATGCTCATACATTTCAGTCACATGCCACTGATATACGGTTCGTCACCAAACGCATGCAAGGTGACAAGAAAAAGGCGAGCACGTACCAAGCACGTACGCCCTGCGATAGAGAGCCGTCCGTGGGCGAGCTCGTCGCGAAAAGACGAACAGAAAGGAAAAGAAAAGGAAAAAGAGAAACAGCGGAAACGGCTGCTAGGAGAGAAATTCGTAACAAATTGGTTGCAAATACAGAAAAGAGGTAAATAATATAGGCTATTGCAAACTACTACTACGAGAATGCTTCACTAGCTACAGTCTAAATACGCAATGACAGGTTAGTACCACTGAGCGCCACTGACCTCTGTCCGAGTTAGGGCCGGCGGATTCGTGAGGTCAGGCCGAGGTCAGGTTAGGTCAGGCATGTCAGGCTGCCTCGGTTGAAGGCTGCTTCCAGACAATCTGTGAAGAAGGGATGGACATAACGGACTTCAGGATGCGATGAATGAATGAGGAGGACCAGGGTAACATGCAAACGTTGCGTGCACTGTGGGGTAGGTTGGTAAGAACGGGAGTTACGTGGCTGATATCATGGGGCCAAGCGCAGGCTACAAGGTTTGGGAAACACAGGGCAAACATATCACTATTTAAAAATGACACAGCAAACATTCATAACGTGCTTTATTTGCAAAATAGTTTCAGCCGAACTCACGTAGTTACCGTCGAATGCAACAAAGATATTGCAATATTCTTGCATTGTTCGAAGAGTACAATATGAATCGCACTTTCGAACTGTATCGCGTTGAAAGGTAAGTTCATAACCATTTTAGTGTCATTTGACAATTACCCGTTTAATGTATAAAAAGCAAAGAATCGGACGTGTAACAGTACTACTACAATGCAGAAAATGTAATAGTTAGAAGCGCAATGTTAAACCATTATCACAGTAAAGTTCGTAGAGTGTACTGAAATATGATGGAGGTCGAACTATAGACCAAGGTGTCACGATTTCATTAATAGTTGTACACTTATGGAATGACAGCCTGAAATGGTTTCCCCTCACCAGAGGCAGGACTCCACTGCAGTTAATTATCAGCGCCAATAACTAATGTCAATTGGTAAGCTGTCGCCAATAGGTACCTATCCGTAGAATGCAGGGATGTGGTCCCGCTCCTGCAAAACTGGAAGCAACACAAAACCTCAACTCCAACCATACTGAGCCGTTCAGTGAGTGCATGGACTGGGGGAAACACGGACATAATTTTTATGATCGCATTCACGCCTCAAGAGCGCTATTAGCGCGATTGAACCAGAATGAGCTTGAGCTTTGAACCAGATGAGCGACAAAGTTTTGGAGCTTATGATTCCCAAATATTCTCGAGCCCACTTTACGCCAGATTTGCACTTTCCCTTAAGTCTGAACAAGAGCAGCAAAGACTGCATCGGCAACTCGTCAGGCGGAGGCGCAGGCCAGCGACTGGTGCGACATCTATCGGGTATTGTCTGAAGAACGAGCGAAGCCGGCGCACCTAACCCGTTTTCTGTGGGTAGATAGCGCAATACATCAATCACTTTGGCATAAATTGGTCCCAATCTGCCTCCCAGCAAGAGCCTTTCTTCCCCCTATCTTAAGCCGGGTTCACACCGGTTTTCCGGTCCGGAAAAATTCCGTCTGCCGGGCCGGCATCAAAATGTTGAAATTGTCGCTAGATGTCAAAAAAGTCGCTAGAACCGGAAAACCGGAAAGTCGAGCCGGAAATGTCATAATCATCAACCATCAAGTACGATAAGTAGGTACCAAGCAATCTCGCGAATTATTTTGAAATCGAACATACCTACTTGTGTGACGGCTTTACAAGTCCCTGATGCAGTTCCATCCAACCGAAAATCGTCCATCCTTCACTGGTAGGTATATTAGCAAGATTAATACAATTTAACATTTACAGCATGCGGGCTGGGTATCGACAAAAAGACACTTGTAGATGGCTGGGTCTCAAAATCGGTCATCTGACTGTCACTGAACTCTACTGCCATAACCCGCGCCCCGCTGGGGGTCCTAAATTTCCACGCCTTGCTGGTGGGGGTGTTTAACATCCCCCCTTTTAACTCGGCTCCTGGGCCACGTAGCGATACGGGGAAGGCGGCGTTCGAAAGAGTGTCAAAATTAATGACGAAATTAATTCGGTCACTTTTTTTTGGTCAAATCAAAGGTCAGGTCACCAGAGGTAATGGAAAGCCGAATTTCACCGATTTTCAGGTCGAATGTCGACGACTTACAACAAGCCAACGCATAACTTGGCATCAATTTTCTCCCATTGACTTATAATGGGAAGGGGGTCACAAAATTGACCTGACCTTAGGTCACCGATATCAAAATTCCGAGATAGTTATTTATTTAAATTGTGTACATACTGTTGCCCTTATCAATCGCTGAGAGTTTCAAAGAGGTCGGTCGCTCGATGTAGCATATGGAAGACGTTGAAACTTTGTATGAGGTGAGGTCACTTGAAGTGACCTGGTGACCTGACCTTAACAGTTAACCCTCGCCCGCACATGCCATTTTCCCATCCTAGAACGCACATGGGGGGGGGGGTGGTTGCCACCCCCCCCCCCCGCGCCATTTCGTTCCTGTTGGAGATAGAGCTTAGCGGTAAAGACCAAAAAGATTCTTTGGGAAGAGACGAATCCAATGATACCCAGTTTTACCTTCTCAGGTCAGTCATTGACCTTCCAGGTCAGGTCAAACTAAAAAATGTTGCTGTTTTAGGTCACCGTTGGATATCAAGCGCGCTGCTTGTCATATACCGATGACGATGCCGTTTTCTGGTGCCAAGCCAGCTAGAACCTCTTTGTCACACTACCCGACCAGGTTTTTGCTGCTGAGGTCATCTCAGGTCAAGTTAGGTCAAGGTCAATAATATGTGTTTGTATGTCTGTGTGTGTGTGTGTGTGTGTGTGTGTGTGTGTGTGTGTGTGTGTGTGTGTGTGTGTGTGTGTGTGTGTGTGTGTGTGTGTGTGTGTGTGTGTGTGTGTGTGTGTGTATATACTGATGTGTGCACCGATTGTTTATGTGTCCATATTACATGAAATCATGATCTGAGAAGCTTTTACCAAAAATGTAGTCAAAAAAGTTCAAAAAAGTAAATTCAGCTTGCCTAAAAAGCAATTATCTTAGATGACCTAGGTTGACCTTGACCCTGACCTTGACCTCTGTACATCGTCGAACAACATGTTTCATGATAGGTGGGAGGTAGGATTGGCATAAAAGGCCGAAATCAAGGTGTTAAAAGCTCACAAGGCCCATAGCCAACGCAAGATGTTGAGAATTGGCCATTTGGGTCATGACATGACCTGAAAAACAAGGTCATATCTCCGAAACCAAAAACCACAGAAACTTGAAATTTTCAGTGGACATCAAGAAAGGATAGAGGAGCAGCTATACGAAAAATCAGCTTTCTAGCTCCAAAAATGTTGAGTGCAGAGCAGAAAGACTACCTGGGGGGGTGGCAACCCCCCCCCCCCCCCCCCCCCCATGTGCGGGCGAGGGTTAAGTGACCTTGGTCTACAATTTTTACATGTGCAGAAAAGATGCATGATAAGGTGTGCCAAAAACAGCCGCCGTTTTTTAGATGTTCGCGAAAAACCACAGGGAGGGTTCAAATATCCCCCCCCGCCCCCACCCCCAGCAGGGCGCGGGATAATATCCTTGGCATTCAGTACCATCGTATTTCCTGAATCTTCTACTTGCGATTGAGTGGCAAAACTGCCTCCACCCTCCCGAGCTGCTATGTGCTTGTGTAGGAGGGCATCGAGGGCAGAGAAGTGTTGTCAGCGCGTCTTGTAGAATGTAGATTTCAGAATCTGCTCGGCTGGCTCCACTTCGTAGACGACGGAAGTTAGCAATACGTACATTGTGCTGCCTGTCCTGCGGCCGGCTCCAGCGCTTGATAATCTCTTCTGCAGATACTGGCTCCGCTCCTTCTACAACCAGCGCGTCCGCAATGTTGTTCCACAAATTCGCCCTTTTCACCGCTTCCTTATAATATTTATCTTTTTTATTATAAAGTCATGGATATTTTCCAACCAATGAAATTAATTTATAATTTGAAAAGGCCATGAGTCATGTGAAATACAAAAACAGAAATGCAGCTACCACTCCGTTTGAGATGCAAATGTTTTGAAATAAAAATGAAACGCCGTCAAATTTACGCTTGAATTTTATATTCTCGTGAAAAATCGCGAGACTATTAGGGCACCGTTGGTTAAATTGGTCCTGTAGCGCTGAAACATAACATTATTCCCCTCGTGCCTTAATTTCATATCACAAACGGTGGCTATCCGGCAAGGCAAAAGTTGAGATGATTTCAACTTTTTGCCGGACCGGAAAATCTGGTTCTCCGGCCTGCCGGACCGGTCAAAAGAAGTTGCCAGATTTGCCGGTTCACACCAGTTTTCAATTTTCCGGCACGGAATTGGCCATTTTTCCGGCCCGGCAGACGGAATTTTGCCGGTCCGGAATCCGGTGTGAACCCGGCATTAGGCCTTCACCAGACTGCCACCCTCCACCCTAGCAAGTAGCAGCTGACACCTAACCACCTGACCCGGTAACAGGCAGCGTCTCTCCTCTGACAACCCCACTCCTTAGGGCTCAGTTTACCTTGGGTTTCACGTACCCCCTGGAGACGAGCACTCGGTAGATGAGGCCGAGCGCTGACAGGCCCAGCAGCAGGTCGCCGGCCGGCCGCGCCCACAGCGCCGCCGCGTTACGGAACCACACCGAGTCTAGGCCCAGCCGCACCGTGTACAGGCCCAGGCCGGCCAGCACAGAGCCCGACAGCGCGTGCAGCGTCTTGGTGACGCGCGGCGCCACCAGGTTGGGCACTCGCGCGGCGTAGAGCGCCAGCAGGCCGCCGACCAGCTGCGCGGCGGTGGCCGTCAGGCACACGGCGCCCCACTGGCCGTGCAGGGAGGTGAAGTGCGCCGCGCCGCGCCGCTCCTTGTTGACGTAGATGACGGTGAAGCCGACGGCGGCGATCAGGGCGGCGGCGAGCTGCAGCTGCCAGTGGAGCGTCAGCCGGCCGGGACGCCGCCGGGTGGACACGGAGACGGCCTCTACACCGGCCATCATCAGACCACCGAACTGGGGAGGGGAGCAGAGAGGTCATCGCGAGTCAAATAGACAGCCCCTGGTCAAGTGCAGCAGCTTTACGGGTGGCGAACAGGCATGACTTGTGATAACTCACGGAGTTATTTTAAAGAAAGCAAACTATGTCACCAAAGCCTTTCACCATAATGATAAACCTCCAGTCTGGTTATTACAATTTCAAATGGTGAATAATTTGAAACAGCACTTACAGCAAAAGACATGCATATTGGGTGCCATGAAAACAAACTTGATCCTGGCTCAGCGATATATGTTACATATCCAATAACGGGCATCAAAAGTGCCACAGAAAGCATCACTACTGCTTTTTATCAAGTTCTTGGAAAGTCCAGCTAGAGTTGGAAGAGCCAAACCTGTAAAAATAGCAAGGTCTGTTAGCGCATATTATTTATACAATCGGTAAACAAGTAAGAACACAATGAAAATGTACAAATTCAAAACTTTATGCTAAAATAACAAGTGGAAAGTGGCATATATTCATTGAACACATGATCATAAACCACTGTCAAGTACCGACCTAACTGGTTGACATGAAATAGTTTGATGTGATATGTTCTTGTCATGCAATTGGCATCATACACCAAGTATGTGATAATATCACATGAGTTGAGACTTGAGATAACATACCTGCATAATGTTGCAAAATGTTCTGTGCAGATGCGACATGATGATATGCGACAAAATGATAGGAATTTCCTTTGGAAGGATGTTCATTTTGAAATGGGTCACGGTTCCCATCTGTCCCCGCCCACAATGGCACACGCTAACAACAAAACACTAAAAGACTGATAAATTATCAGGAAAATAAAATACCTTTAAAAGGTCAGTAGCAATATAAATACGCAACATTTTTTTTTTTGTGTAACGGAAGTATATTTGTCACTTTCAGCGGTGCACGACACACGAATCCACTAAGCCTGGGAGCCATGCCCAGCAACGCAGTGCCATTGGCGGATGCCGCACCACCAGCTGTACCGGGGACCAAACACCGGCACCCAGCAGACTGCTCGGACAGTCTACTTGTAAAAGTCGTGCTCTTGGTCGTCCTTTTGGATGTTGTTCTTGTATCCCTTCTCAAAGTCTTTGGGCAGCACGATGTAGCGGTTCTCTCGGACGGCGTGCATGCCGGCCTCCTGGACGATGGCGTTGATGTCGGCGCCACTGATGCGGTCCGGCCGCGCCACGTAGTCCTCCAGATCGACCTCGTCGCTCAGGTTCATCTTGCTGGTGATGGTGGCGAAGATGAGCCGCTTCTGACGGCGGTCCGGCATGGGGAACTCGATTTTTCTGTCCAGACGGCCGGGCCGCAGCAGCGCCGGGTCCAGCGTGTCGGCCCGGTTCGTGGCCATGATCACCTTGACGTTGGTGGTCTGGTCGAAGCCGTCCATCTGGTTCAGCAGCTCCAGCAGAATGCGCTGTACTTCCCGGTCGGCGCCCGTCTGCGCATCGAACCGCTTGGTAGCGATGGCATCGATTTCATCGATGAAGATGATGGCCGGCGAGTTCTCCTTGGCCAGCCGGAACACGTCGCGCACCATGCGCGGGCCCTCGCCCAGGTATTTTTGTACAAACTCCGAGCCAACCACGCGAATAAACGACGCGGTCGTATGATGCGCCACCGCCTTGGCCAGCATGGTCTTGCCACAGCCGGGCGGGCCGTACATGAGCACGCCGCGCGGCGGGTCGATGCCGATCTGCTTGTACAGCTGGAAGTGCGTCAGTGGCAGCTCCACGGCCTCGCGCATCTCTTGTTTCTGGATATCCATTCCTCCAATGTCTGAGTATGAGACATCTGGCTTCTCATCAGGCGAGAGCATGGATATGGAGGAGTCAGCTTCTGGAGGCAGCACATCCACCAGCGCATTGCTATGTTTATGCAGCGCCACACTAGCGGAGGGCTTCAAAAGCTCCCGGTCCAGTGTTGACAAGATCCGCACATGGAAGTTAGAGCCTGTGGTACTACCAACAATGCCTGTGTTCTGATCAACTGCCTCGAGGAACTGGCCAATGACAAGCGGTACCGACTGGATGCGCTTTACCTCCTCCTGCGCGTGCAGAAACTCCTTTTTCAGATTGCGCTGTTCGTCCTTAATGTACTCCTCCTGTACCGCCAGAAACTCAAGCTGCTGCTGCAGCTTCTTGTATTTTGTGTAGAGATCATCAGAATCCAGGTTTCCATACAAATTTGATGCCAGATTCAGGGTGGTTTTCGTGTCCCCCACTGGATCTTCGACCTTTTCATGTGATACAGTAAGACCGATTTCTTCCATTTTGAAGCAAACTTATGCGCCTCCTCACAATTAACACAACACTTCACAGAAATACAGTCAAACCAGCCCCCAGCCGGCCGAACTTTTGACGCGCACTTACCTCAAGCAAAGAGCGTGACTTGCATGCGCCAAAACTGTCTACATAGGGGACATAGTTCGGTTTTGGAGTTTGTAAAGTCAATGACGTCATAAAAGTTAACAAATTGGTGTGGGTTTTATAGCTTAGCCTGGTTTCATTTGTCGTTACAAGTGATGATTTGATTATTTAACTCTAGAATTGGTTTCGATTCATATAGAATATAGCATTTTTGATAAATAAACCAAAGATGAAGAATGGATAATTTGAAATTGTCCATTATCCGAACTGAGTCTTTAGACGTCATCAATCAAAATGAAATTTTTTGTTTTTAGGGCCTTGCCTATTTCCATCTTATTTTGATCCGATGTGTAAACAAATGCACATCGAAATTGGTATAGAGCGTGGGGTGAGTGTTTCTTTTGCCGGTAGTTTCTAAAATATTCCTAGATATCAGTCATTTCCATTAGAACATCCTTCCAGTGTATGCCACTTGCGTCTGTGCATCTGGGTCCAGCAATTTCAATTTTCTGCGTTGAGTTTGAGTTGACACTTGCAGTTGAAAATCGACATCCAATTTCAATTTCCAAGAATCCGGTCATAGACACGGAGGTCCCCACATCAGAAATTAGTTCATCCCTACCATATCAATAGACGTCATTCTATAGAGAAATTGCGACCAAGAATCCTATGTTGTTGAGTACCTTCAGCATCCCAATTTTCACCACATGCTCTTGACATGCATCATTGATTACCTAAAGGTATTCACGAAGCATTGTGCCTGTCATTGACTTAATGTCCCTATTGCAGACCTGATGGGAATACCAATACATTGAAACGTTAAATCAACAGGAAGCTGGAGCCTATTATGACATAGATTGTATATTTGTATTTGAATGAGGTTTTCACTGTGAATGAGTCTGTTTGATAAATATGGTGAGTATGTTAAAGTTAAACTTAAAAGTGGACAAGCAATTCAAATTATTGTTTGCCAGGTCATTGAACATTTAGCAGATGTTCCCTTACCACAAAGTATACACTGTTTTGATGATGAGTTGGTTTGCACTTGCTTTTTCTTAGAAGTGTGAAATACAGGACAATTAATATTCCAGGGGTGACATATGTTGGTGGTTGTCACTGTCATTAGGATTTTTTAGGCTGAGCATGGCCGCTCTAACCTTATGATAAATATTATTATTTTGTCCCTTTGTGCCGTGCTGAGTTCCGATTGTGTGCACATCTGTGTGGTGCCCCTCCCTGACCCTGACCTGCCACCTGCTGACAGCCGCGCGCCCCGAAGTCTGTTCACTCTGAGAGTGTCAAAGTGGTGCTTCGCTGCCGACCACTCAACAACAAGGAGATCACCAGTAGATATGAAAAGTAAGCTCATCTGACGACTGACACAGGTTTGCACTGGGCTGCAGACTGATTTGTATAAACATAGTGGCTGCATTTGATCGGGTGGAATGTAAGTCAATGTCTGTATTTTTGGTGTTGATGTAAATGATAATTAATGTTTCATTGTTTCAGGATCTTGGAGATTGATTCAAAAAGGGGACAGATAACGCTAAGAAATCCAAAGAAAAAGGATGAAGAACCGCGAGAATACACCTTCGATGCTGTGTATGACAGCAAGTAAGCAACCTCTGACATGAACCTGCCAAAGAATTTGTCCCGCTTTTAACCATCGATCGATAATCCGAGCTGCATCACGTGACGTATGCGTATGAACGGAAATGCCGATCGTTACACCCATGGCTCCTCGCCAGTCGCCTGTTAGCGATGACCTCGCAAAATATTTATAGCGTTGGTGTATGAATTACGTAACCCTTCGGCTTACACGCGTTATCGGCGGTCGGCCTATCGATGTGTGACCCCTTTGATATAATCACTGCATACCATTGTGCCATTCGTAACGTCTTCTGTTTCACGAATGTACGGTGCAGTCATCCAACCGTAGTGAGTACCGTAGTATGCGTTCTAGAAAGTGGCGAATGACGCTAACGTAATTACTAATTAGTCATGTGACAGAATAGATACTTGGGTATTTTTTTGTGACTCAGTGACTGATGACTCGTGACTCTATGACTGAGATCTGCCTTCCGCCGGCAGCTCGACTCAGGTGGAGCTGTACGATGAGACGTTTCGTCCGCTGGTCGACTCCGTCCTTCAGGGCTTCAACGGAACCATATTCGCCTACGGACAGACGGGCACCGGCAAAACGTACACCATGGAAGGTGGGATGACACCGGCAGTACACACAGTACTGCACCATAGATAGAGAACTTCTCTGAGCTTTGTGTGACTTTTCGCGAATTACCGGATGTGTTGGGCTATCTGCCGTTTAATCGTTCACATGCTCATGTGTTTTATAGAGTGGCTGTTCGTTTGCACACACCCACGGCTCATTGACCAATCCACGGTGTAGTTTGCTTCTTGTGACCTCAGCTGCGGCTTCCCCCCCCCCCCCCCCAGGTGTTCGCGACGACCCTGAGCTGCGCGGTATCATCCCCCGCTCGTTTGACCACATATTCGGCCACATCGAGCAGTCGGAGAACTGCCAATACCTGGTGCGCGCCTCCTACCTGGAGATCTACCAGGAGGAAATACGGTCAGTGCATATAGCTGTGTTTGAAATAATTCGAATGACTGCGAACAGGGGCAAGCTTATTTTTAATAGCGTTTATGGTCCGGTTTTTTCCGTAGTCCTGCTCTGTTTGCTAAACAAGTTTTGTGTTACCTTTGATTGAAGCTTTCGACACCGCCCTTTACCACATGCTGACCGACCCTTGTCGTCCCCCGGTTGCCATGCAGTGACCTTCTCCACAAGGACCAGCATCAGCGTCTGGAGCTGAAGGAGCGGCCCGACACGGGCACATACGTCAAGGATCTGTCGTCCTTCGTCTGCAAGTCCGTCAAGGAGATCGAGCACGTCATGTCGGTGGGCAACAGCAACAGAAGTGTTGGGTGAGTAGCGGTGAAGTGGATCATGGGGGAATGACCACACAGCGCTCACATCATGTAGCCGTAACTTTGTGTGTTGCGCACCACGCGGATAATACTCTGTGGCGAGCTATCACGTCCAACTTTGACCTGACTTTTTTATCTTTCCTCGTGTCTTGCTTCTAGAGCAACCAACATGAACGAGCACAGCTCGCGCTCCCACGCCATATTCCTGGTGACGGTCGAGTGTTCGGAGCGCGGCGCGGATGGGGAGGACCACATCCGAGTGGGGAAGCTGAACATGGTGGATCTGGCGGGCAGCGAGCGACAGGCAAAGACCGGCGCCACGGTACGTGGGAGTGTGAGGGGGAGGGGGAGGTGTAATGGAACCTCGGTATGTGGGAGTGTGGGGGGAGGGGGAGGTGTAATGGAACCTCGGTATGTGGGAGTGTGGGTGGGGAGGGGGAGGTGTAATGGAACCACGGTACGTGGGAGTGTGGGTGGGAGGATTCTGGACTAGGGATGGTGGGAATGTAATTAATGCAGATCAGTACTAAAAACATCGAAAGTACAGCACAAAATGTAGTTTCAGATTATGTCAAGCATGTCGTCCATGCCCTTGGTGCCTTTTTTAACGTTCAATAAAAGGCTCGTACAAGCCACCTACGTCCCACAGGGTTCCACGGCCTCATCTTTTTCTGTCTTCACAGGGAGAGCGTCTGAAGGAGGCGACCAAGATCAACCTGTCGCTGTCGGCGCTGGGGAACATCATCTCTGCGCTGGTGGACGGCAAGTCGTCCCACATCCCCTACCGAGACTCCAAGCTCACCCGGCTCTTCCAGGGTGGGTGTCCTGTTGTCGAGGATGGAGGGGATCAGGGAGTCTGCAGATCGTGGACTGGATGATAAAGGGCTGGGAACAGGTCCTCTCGAACGTCCCGGTGTAAATACTGACTACGGAGAAAGAATGTAGACAATCTTGCGGGCTCAGAGAGGGCGGCAGTAGTTAAGCGTGTAGAGAATGGCACGCACAGTGTAATTAAACATAACAGGGTGGTATAGTTGCTTGTCTCCGCTGTCTGGTGAAGCTTGTAATATTTTGTACGCATACACCGATTTCAATGAGCACAGGTCCAGTAGGATTTAACTTGATCCATTTTGTTCCACTGGCTCTACGCTCTCTAGGTGTCGACAGTCGTTTGAACTTTAATTCCGGTATTTTTATCCACAGACTCTCTGGGAGGCAACGCCAAGACTGTAATGGTGGCCAACATCGGCCCGGCCTCCTACAACTACGACGAAACGCTGAGCACCCTGCGGTACGCCAACCGAGCCAAGAACATCAAGAACAAGCCCAAGATCAACGAGGACCCCAAGGACGCGCTGCTCAGGGAGTTCCAAAGCGAGATTGAAAAACTCAAGGTGGGTTTGGGTGCTAGGGACAGGGCTGGGGTGGAAAGGGAACTGTGTTTGGAAACCTGTTTGATTCTGCGGCCTCCGGCTGCTCATTAACTTGGGCGCTGAGTTGTGTGTGGATGGGCTGTGATATCGATAAAGAGCATGAGTATCACGATGATAATCGAGCGTTAATGTCCCCTTTATGTCTGGTGCCAGTGAATTCAGAGTGTTTATGGCCAAACTTTGGTGGCCATTATCAGAAATTATGGTTCGCGTAGCGTGCTACGGGAGGAACGTATCGCATTGCTTGTATTCGCAAACTGTCTCCCTTAATCCAGTGTTGGTATCTTTTTGAACTCAGCCATCGGAGTTATGCTGCTATGTTCGGAGGATGGACCTTTCTTGTGACCATCTTCAGGGTGGTCTATTGCTTTTTTTGGGTGCAGCTGCCTGTTCCCCATTATTGCTGCCTTCCTGCCAGTATATCCTCCGCTCGAGCTGCCTACTTGTCCGACGTGTCGGTGTCCCGGCGGCGCCGGCTGGTGGTGGCTGTCCCGGGCCTCCACAATCGACCACGCACTGGGGAGGGGCGACCCCGCGACTCATTCCTCCCCACCCCTCCCCTCCGGGACCAGGGGGGACGCTGTGTAGCGTGATCGAGGATATTTGGTCGCCGATTCCGGCATCGGTCGATACAGTGGTCCTCGATGTCACGAACATTGTAATGTGGGAGAAAAGAATGGCGGGAGACCCACTGAGACTGTCTCGGGTTTCGGAGTCTGTAAGGGATTGTCGAGTTGGCTCCACGTCATAGGGTCAGTCATTGTGTTGTACGAGCTGGTTGCTCATGGTACGTGATGTAGAATGAATTGTGTCGCGATGCTATAGTTTTCAGAATGCATCGATCGCCAGCCAAGCTTCTGGAAGTGAGCGTGGTATTCGTGCGTATTTACTTCACGACTTCTCGTAACTCTCGAGGACTTCTTGATTCCACGAAGCTAGTCAGCGATTTTGACTCATAACACCGGCTTGGATTGACTCCACAATGACTGGTTTTGTCTAGGAAACCTAACAAACTCAACTGAATGGTAACGTTTATCCTGCCCCTTCCCTACCCCATTTCTCAGACATCACAGCCTACACAACTCAGCCACATACGACTTCTATTAGCGTGCTGATAACCCAGCCAACAATGCCTCCCGTACCCACAGGCCCAGCTGCGGAGTCGGGCCGGCGGCGGGGAGAAATGGCGCCGGAGACGGGCGCGCCACGGTACCGGTACCGGCGGGACGGACGGGGCCGGCTCCGAACACGAGCTGACCCCAGAGGAGGTCCTGGAGCAGGAGCGGGCCCGCCTGGAGATGGAGCGCAGCGCCATCGAGAACGACCAGAGCCTCATCGCCGAGGTGGGTAGGGATGAGGCGAACTCGGGAAGGGGATTATGTGGAGACGGGAAGGAGGTGGGGTGCATCGCAGCACGTTACAGCCCAGAACATCCCCTTTAGAGCGTTTCCCGTCTCATGCGTGGAACTGTTTTAACGCGAGGTATTTGTCGCTTCCGCTCCACGCTTTTTTTTCTTTTCACTTGCGTGGGTATCAGGAGCGGGGCTGAATGTTGTCCATCCTGCGTTTGTCAGGATGTTTACTGAACCCTCCCCCGTCCCGCTGTGCTTATCAGGAGCGTGAGCGTCTGCTGGCGGAGCTGCACAGAAAGGACGAGCAGCTGGAGCGGGAGCACCAGGCGCACGAGCGGCTGGCCGACAAAATCCAGGCCATGGAGTCGAAACTGCTGTCGGGCGCCGGCCGGACGATCGCCGACACGACCAACCAGCAGCAGCGGGAACTGGAGCTCAGCCGACAGCGCATCGCCGAACAAAAGGTGGGTGGGGGCGAGGGGTCTACAGGAGTCCTATAGAGGACGCTGCTCGAATTCTAAAAATCTGAACTGATAGTTACCGCATATGTAAGATGGGATATACACTAGACCGTCTTCGGTTTGTGGGACCACATGAACTGGCTTGTGGTTAGTTTGAAGTTTGGACCATGGAAATCGAAACGATGTGGGGTTGATCGGGCAGGATTGCTCAGTGCAAATGCTTCGCAAATGGGTTAAACCATCATGTTTTTAATTTTGACGGCAGGCACCGTCTTCCGCAGGCTCGTGAGCGGGAGATGCTGCAGCGGCTGGAGGAGCAGGAGGGCTCCCGGCTGGACATCCAGCAGACCTTCCAGTCGCTCCAGCAGGAGGTGGACGTCAAGACCAAGAAGCTGAAGAAGCTCTTCAACAAGCTGCAGGCGGTGAAGCGCGAGATCGTCGATACGTCCGAGGAATTTCAGGTGGAGCGGCGAGAACTCGAGGAGACGCAGAACTCGCTGCTCAAGTGAGTCGCCACAGACGGCACACGCATTCCAGTACCGTACAAAAAGGAGCATCGAAAATCCTTGTCAGGACGGGGTATAGCCTGCATATTCAGCAGCTGCAAAGAGGATGGTTTTAGAGGGTTTCGAGGACTGTGTAACATAACGAACGGAAACAGGCCGCTGGGTATTGATTCGTGACTGCGAATGTTTTGGGTGTGATGGCGATCGTAATATCGCTTAGGCAGCTGTGAACGTCCTAGGCTGGATGTATTTAAGTCACATCTTAAGCTCGCATTATCGTAACCTCGACCCGTCTCCGGCTTGTGCCTCGCTCGTTTCAGGGAGCTGAAGCTCAGGTGTCTGATCCCGGAGAACCAAGTGTCTTTGCTCCACCTCTGACACTTCTGTCGCCCCATTTCAGGGAGCTGAAGCTCAAGTGTCTGATCCTGGAGAACTTTGTGCCGGCCGAGGAGCGGGCCAAGCTGCTGCAGCGCGCCGTGCTGGATGAGGACGAGGACCGTTGGCGGCTGGCGGAGCGGGGCGGACCGGCGCGCCTGGGCCGCCGACCCGTCAGTGCCGCCGGGTACCGACGCCCCGTCTCCGAGTACGCCCGGCTGGCCGGATCTGTGCACGGAGGCACCCGATATAAGGTAAGGAAGGGGGAGGGGTTTGGTTTGGTGGTGGGTTTGGAGTGACAATATGATGAGAGGAAATTTGGTGGGGCTCGGATTATTTCGCAAACGCTGCTACTGTGCTAAGCTGATATTAAGTGAATCCACGCACGCCAGTATCTAATCTATGCATGTTTTATCGTGTTCTATGTTCCGTTTGACAGTACAAAATATGTCCTCCGCCCTATTTAGCTCATCCGATACCTGTATTTCTCATTCCGACCACACCCCCGTTCCCGTCTCTCAGGGTGAGAACGTGATGCTGCTGGAGCTGGACATGCCGGCACGCACCACGCGCGACTACCGCGGCCCGGTGGTGGCTCCGCGCTACCAGGCCGCCCTCGAGGCGGCGCTCACACCCCAGGAGGACGAGATCAGTGTGAACGCGGCGCCGGCGGCGGCCGAGTCCCGGTTCAGGGTCCGCGCCAGCCGCTCTGAACAGCCGGCAGCAGGGTTAGTAACGGGATTATGTATCATACATAATGGTGGGGATGCTTTAGATGGGTGAGATGGTGAAGGAAGGGAACTGGAAATTAATCTATAGGTATATTTCTAACGTAGTTTGTGGAATATTTGCAATTTTATAATTCTAGCTGTAACTATGAATTTTCGCTCATTCATGAAGTGTACATTCTTTCATTATTACGAACACACAGTCGCTCAGTTTCTTATCGGGACTTTTATAATAAACTGCTAGTGCTAATACCATGTCAATAGTGCGATCTAATCTGGTAAAACGAGGCCCTGGCCTCAGGCCTCACGATTACCATCCCCTGTTTCAGGAGCAAGCCGGCGCGGCGGCGTCCGCCGTCAAAGAGTACCACCGCTGCAGCAGCGGCACCTGCCAACCACTACCCCCAGCCGCGCGGACTGGTGCCGAAATAACAGTGCTTATCAACAAGCCTTCCCGCTCAGTCACGGAGGGAAGTCGGAGTGCAGTGTTAGTCACCGTGGGGACGAGAGAGGTCATATCGCCTGGGCTGTATGAGCGAAAAGCGCAGAGTGGGATAGGACGTTGGTTAGCGTGCTCCTGGAATGTTTCTGACGGATTACGAAGGGAAGATGTTTCTCAAGTGATTCGTGGCAGAGTGGTGGAAGTGGAGGTCTTACACGACTTGGCGGGATCGTCACAAGTCTTTCCGTTGAGAACCTAGAAGCGATGGAAATTGTGAGCGGGTGATTCTAAGGTGTGTTAGTGAGATTGGGAGGTGCGGCTTTGATTGCTCCCCGGCGCATTACATCATTCCAAGAGCTCGCCAGTATCTTCAGAAACGTCTGCTGATGAAGTGGAACAGGGACTGGCGTGATCACACCGGATACCGATTTTAGCAGGTTAGCACTGCGCTCCTTTAGTGAGTCGTGACGATCGCCATTCCTTTATTGTAGCGCAGTGTGTGACAGGGATTCTGTGAAGCACAGCGAGTGATATGATGGGAGAGAACTCTGATCGGCCATGTATTTGGGAGTGCCGGAGTGTCGGCGTGTGGTGAGTCCAGCGTCGCTGAGTGCTCTGAGAAAACGAGGGTCGAATGCTCAGACGGGGTGGATGTCACGCTCATTTAGCTCATCCGTAAGAAATGAAGACGGGGACAGGGTCCATTGGTGACCTGTGAGCCGCCGAGGGTTCTCTGTACGGCCTTATTACGCGGTAACCACTCCGCTCGCCTGCCGCGCTCGCCTGCTGCGCCGCCGCGTTTTGTACCGTGTCGTCCGCACTGTCCGCGCACCGTGCCGTGTCTGTAATCCGCACCGCCCGCACACAGAAGGCGCTTCCGAGCTTCGCTTCCAGTCGGCGCTTCACTCAGTTCAGGGTCCCATGCAGAGAATCACGGCCGCAGTTGCTGCCGCGCTCAGTTCTGGCATAAACCGCTGCAGGGAGAGTTACGGAGTGGTGCTAATGTAAACCGCTAGTCAGGGTGGCCTTGTCGCTGCCCGCTGTGTTCCTTTCTAGTCCCGCGGAGATAGTGCCTGGTGAACCCACTGCTGTCGTGCTCTGATGGACCAGTCGGGTGGGTTCTAAGCTGAATTCACGCGGCTTCGCGTGTGGCGCCTCGTGCAGGGTTCATGTGGACGGTTTGATGATGGGATACCGCTGCTCACAGAGAGTGCCCCACTGCTCGTCCACGTGCTCCTCGAGCGATGTTGATGAGATACGCCCATGAGACGGAGATTCCGCTTTGAAACGGAGCCAAAGATTACTGAATATCGCTGTTTATTATGTTGTGCTGGAGGTATTGCAATGACTGTTCTGTAATGCGAGTCATTGTGCAGATGTTCTGTCTCACCCTGAGGCAATTATGTTACGGACATCGGTTTGATTATGTTTTGAGACCGGTGTCCTCGGCCAAATGGCAGTGCAAATGCTACGCTGAATTTCTTCATGTTTCGCTTGACAGTATTTCGCATTTGTTGTCACTCCAGTATATTCTGAAGAACCATGAATACATGCATTCACACGATCAACGGTGTTTTATGAAATGAATTTAGCATGTCATAAGCCCTGCCTTCCTTTGTGCCAGCGCCCAGCGGCAACCATCTCATAGATCCTATCGGTATATCGCGTTTATATAGGTGCCTCAGTAATTGGTATGGACCCTCGCGAGGCCGTAGCTAGCAAGTGGCAAGCTGCCTGACAATGATTGTTCGCTGATATTTTAGTGCAATTGCAATTTCGGGGAGGGCTGTATTGGGATATATTTGCGTCCGCTTAGTACGCTTTCGCGCCGATGATATTTTGCAGTTGTTTAATATTGCACTATCTGGCGCGCGTCAATAAAAATTGGCATTTGTGGCGCACCCCCGGCGTGTGTGTTGTTTGTTGAGAAGAGCGCGGCGGATGCCGGCTGCGTGATAGTTTTGAATTTTGATTGAAATATCAATGAACTAAGATATGTAATACTGATGAATGTTAAGTTATGTATGAATGAAGCAAGCAACTCGACCAGCACCAGCTATATACAAACAGTCGCTTGCAACCATTAGGGTTGTTGGATATCCGTAGCTCATAGCTGTCTTATCTGCTGTTTCATTGAAACCCTATAGGTTGAAACCAGAAAGCTGCCAAGATGATGAAAATGAAATTAGTAGACAATGTGGTTAGGAGTTTTCGAGTTGCAAAGGTTTTTCGAGAAAATAATGACAAGATAAACAACCTGGACTTTGCTGCCAACGGGGAGAGCCTCTTGTCGAGCAGTGATGATGATCAGATCATTATTTATGATTGTGAAAAGGGAATGTGAGTATTAAATTGATCTGTAAGTTTTGAATGTTTATTCTTTTCATGCAGTGGATATACTATTATGACAGTTATGCTACACAATATCATGTGGTATTCTTATGAGAATGATAAAGGGCCTGCTGGCTGCCAAACATTTCAATTTCAATTTGGCAATTTGTTGTGAACCTACCTACTGACCTTCCTAGGTAATTGGAACTTATTTTTATATTTTTGACCTGCATAAATACTGATGTCCATCACACAACTCAATTTGTGATTTTAACCTGATGCTATTTTGCAGCCAGAAGAGAACGGTGAACAGCAAGAAGTACGGAGTTGACCTCATCCACTTCACCCATGCAAAGAATGCTGCTATTCACAGCTCAACAAAGATTGATGGTATGATCCACTTTCATATTTATAACTTCCACGTTTATATTTTCCACACCATGCAGTAGAGTAAAAGATTATGGCATGGAGTTTCTACTCTCAATCCTTTTTTAAAACTGTCCAGTGTTAACTATTTTGTTATGACCAAAAGTCTTGTGTTTCAGATACCATCAGGTACCTATCACTCCATGACAACAAGTACATCAGGTACTTTCCTGGACACACCAAAAAGTAAGTTTCCTATGAGTCAAGCCTCTTTTACATGGCTTGGAATGGGTACCTCAAGCCAGTTAATGTTTTGTGTCTTTGATGCTTTAATGAGCTTAATATTGTTGGGTGCTGGCCAGCGATAAAATCGAGAATCTGTGACTGCCATCTAACTGTGATTGTGCTGTTTATATCCAAATATTCGCCGGCCGTTTCATTCATTTCTCCCTCTTTTGACACTCTCCCCCTCCCTCAGGGTGGTGACGCTGTGCATGTCGCCGGTGGACGACTCGTTCCTCTCGGGCTCGATGGACCGCACGCTGCGACTGTGGGACCTCCGCTCGCCCAACTGCCAGGGACTGATGCACCTCTCCGGACGGCCCGTGGCCGCCTTCGACCCAGAGGGACTCATCTTCGCGGCGGGCGTCAACTCGGAGAGCCTCAAACTGTACGACCTGAGGTCGTTTGACAAGGTGAGCAAATGACGACAACGGATGATCCGATCTGCATGCATGGTTATGTGTGATAAATGTATGAACACGGTCGCTGTTTTCCGGTCATGGAGAACGTGCTAACCTATGCTTCATCTCTCGCGTCTCCGCCGTCCCGCAGGGTCCGTTCACCACGTTCAAGCTGAGCCAGGAGAAGGAGTGCGACTGGACGGGCGTCAAGTTCTCCCCCGACGGCAAGACGCTGCTGGTGTCGACGAACGGCTCTATCATCCGGCTGGTGGACGCCTTCACCGGCCAGCCGCTGCAGACCTTCACCGTGAGAGCCGCGGCGATAGGACAGAGTCGGGGGTGTGCGGGTCGAACTGCGGGATATGGATGTTCGGATGCGTAACTAGGTCGAGGTTTCCAGGTGGTGAACGGTGTTTCCTTATAAGTGTCCTTAATCGTTCATTTGTAAGCATTACGTGGTCGTTTTTATGACGGTTTTATGCGTGTTTTTGCCTTCTGGCGTTCCGTTTTCGCCAACTTCACGATGCCGTATCAGCCGCAGCGTGCTCATTCGCTAACCCTGCCACCGGTGTCCCCCAGGGCCACCTGAACAACAAGGGCATCGCGCTGGAGGCGTCGTACAGCCCCGACTCCCAGTTCGTGTTTTCCGGCTCCACCGACGGACGGCTGCACGTCTGGAACGCAGAGAACGGATACAAGGTGCGTGCGGGCTCTGACCAGTCAGCGCGGGTATTGGACTTGGGCTGGCCATTAATTGTATAAACTGCGTAGTGTGGAAGTGGATGTCCATCTTTCGTTTTTTTTATGCAATGGTTTAGTGTCGCGCGCGAGGTCATGAATCGATATTTCGCCCGCATTTCATTTTATATGTGACTCTCTGGCGTTCGTAAGTACACCATGACATCAAATGACCGGTTAGTTTTTTACGTTGCCAGTTAGCGTGCATCATTTGTTTCCGCCGGTATTTACGATCCATTCGCGTCGTCTGACATTGTGAACAATCACTGACCCTCCCCACCCCGGTATATTCCCGGCAGCTGTGTGTACTGAACGCCGACCACACGGGCCCCGTGCAGTGCGTCCAGTTCAACCCCAAGTACATGATGTTGGCCTCCGCCTGCTCCAACATGGTGAGTGCCTGGCGGCGGACGGCTGCAGCGCGGTAGGGCTGAGGCCGGGGATGTCGAGGCTCGAGGGCTGAAGGACGGCGAGCTGGTGGCGGCCTTGGCCGCCGGCTACCTCCGCCACAAGGAGCCCCTCATGGGGCTACAGGCCGGCCCCGGCCGGCCCTGAGGGGAACACCAACAACAACAACAACAGGCTCGAGGGCAATTTTTGGTCCTATCAACATGCATAGCAAAGGCAAAAAATAATCGTAACATGTAAGGGAGCATTACCGAAAAATCGGTAACCATGGCGACCCTTTAGAACCGACCGTTGACGGTTTGTGTTTTTTCAGGCGTTCTGGCTACCAAACATGGACGAGGTAGCAGCGGGACCAATGTGAGCACCCTCAGCCTGTTCGAAGTTACGACCCCCGCCTAGAGGGGCGGATTCCGCGCCGGCCGCGTAACGCGGACCGGGCGTGACGGCTGCCTCGGCCGTCACGAGGCGCTCCGTCACGGCCGTTCTGGTCCGTTCGCGGCACACACTGTACATAACGATCACGTCATGTCCATGCATAGTGCGGGCCGGCCAGGCCCGACGTGCGACTGTATAGTTCGTGTGAGGACCGCTTGTTCATGTGAGGACTGCCTCATGTGTGTTGCAATGATTCCTTGTAAGAGGCCAACTGTTCATTTTGTTCTCGAGTAACATCCAAGGTGTTTTGGAGTTTTTGTTTGGAAATGCGCTTAAAGCGGAAGAGAAATCAAAGACCCGTCTTTCGACAATGTTTATTTCAACATTTTCAAACGGTAACATTTTTGGTGTACGTCGAATAAGAAATACTGTCACATCATGCACTTTGCTTCAAAGTCTCAAAAATGTCAGGTACGAAAAAGTGTCTTCTTTGCCAACACCACTCTATGAAATCGTGCCCCAAAAAGAACCTTCGAGAAAAATCCTGACACGGGCAGGGCCGATAAGATACAGCGTCTTCTCTAATGGACCGTTGTAATCATTTTACTAGACCCGCCTGCCCACCGAAATACTGCGTGATCCGACCCCTCCCCATAAGAGCCAGGCGCCTGAAAACGCCGGGCTGTGGGCACCATAACGGTCTCTTCCTCATGACATAAGGCCTCGACGGCCCTGGCAGCAGGCTACCGGCAGTAGGCTCACCCAGGCAGCCCCGGATCTTACCCAGAGCTCCAACACCCGCTTCATCCCAGACCCAGACTCCTACTCCACTTTGACGCTCAGAAAGTCACAATCTTTGCTCATAGGTGAACACTCGTCTGTCAAAGCAGCAGCAGGACAGACTCGTCTCCCGACTCTGCCTCTGAGGAAGATTTCACCAGCTGGACCCACTCGATAGGCGGCGGCGGCGGCGGCGGTCCCAGGAAGGCCAGCTGGGGCTGCTTCCTGCTGGGGGCGTCACACTGCCAGGCCAGCCGCTCGGCGTCCTCCACCAGACGGTCCACCTCAGTCGGCTGCCGACGCGGAAAATACGGTCAAAGTCGGGTGCGGACGGCAGGATAGGAACGTTCGTAAGGATGACGAAAAATCCAATGTAGGTATATTGAAGAATGGAAATGCCCGCTAGTAAGGCCGAAGGAAAGATAAAATTGTCGTAATGTCTAATTATACTAGCTTGTTGATATATACGTTTTTGTTCACATCATGCAAGTTATGCAGCGAACAAGAGAAAAAATACATATGAGCTCAGTTACCTATTCGACGGAGCTCAGTGGCAGTCGACGTAACACCCTACGGCTACCATCCGCCCCTATCACTTCCCTGCCCCACCCCGAACTCCGACTCACGTCGATGTCGACGGCGGGCGGCGGCTCGGCCGTCTCTGCGTCGCTCGGCTCCGCCTCCCCCGTCAGGTGGTGGAACGCGCTCGTCGCCGGGCCGCGCTTCACGCCCTTGTCGCGGCGCTCGCGCTGCTTCTTCCTCGGTTTGCGCGGCGAGAGGCTCGGATCGTGTAACCGCGCGTGGTCGTCCAGCTTTTTCTGAAATGTGGGCGTGCGGTGTTAAAAATACATTCAAAAATACATGCATCAGTAGTTACAGGCAAAGTACGATCCAATAGTGAAAAACTGTCAAAACAGAGACAGACTGAGAACAGACACCACAAGATGTCGGCGTACCTTGCAGGACAGCTTCTTCTTGCAGGTTTCCACTGGACAAATGAAACCTTTACCCTCATGAGAGGACCGCACGTGATTTGAGAGGTTTCTCTTGAAGTAGTAATACCTGAAACATGCATTCCAAAACATCGCTCATAAATACAGAAGAAGACGATACAATGCATACAAGTGGCATAACGTTTAAAACATAATATCGGTCCTGAAGCGTTTAATCAGCAGCCAACCATGGTGTGTCAAAAGTGGAAATAGCCGGTGCGCCGTCTGGCAACCCGGCAGCCCGCCGCCATAGGGAAATTCATGCTTTTTGTCGCTTTTTCGCTCCTTATGAGTCACTTGATCTAATTAGAGCTTAACTAGGAACGAGGCGGGTCACTTGGACGTATTCGGGAGCCGAATACGGTGTTTTGGAGCCAATACCCGGGAAACCCTACCCGCCCAATGCGAGTTTTTAAGAGTCTGCATGCCCAAATTAACGTTGAGCGCGGCCGTTTTCGGTCGGTTTTCCGCGACCTTCTGGCGAATTCGCCTTATTTATTCAACCAGGGTGGGCTAATTCGCTTAACTAGGAATGAGGCGTTAAAGAGAATTATTCAAGGAATAGAGCTGTGCAAAAATATTTTTTTGTATTGTTAAAACTGTATCCGCCCTCGAACGATAAATATTGTTGACCCATCAGAAACACATCCCCTGGAATGCGTTTGGACTTGGCTGGATCTAATATTAGCGAGTATCTGCTAATGCAGTTCCTTGGCTTACACAGTACGCACGCAAGCATACATACTTCCTGCCCTTGGTTATTCCTCACTTGAATGAAAATTTTGCTATAATAACTATTTCAAGCAGTTAATAGGTTTTAGTGCAGTGCCAAGTCGGAACCGTTCAGCGCCGCCAGTCTCCCAGGCGGCGCGTAACGGCCGCCGCCGGCCGCCGCGCCGCCGCTCTGGCAGGGTGTTTGACTTCATATCTCTGTTGCTAGAAAAGTTGTGGACCGATTAACTTGATTCTTGCATGAAAAGATCCGCCATTCAATTCTTAGCAGATTAACGAAAATTTGACGTCAATTGCACGATCCGCTGCCCATATTGTGGTACTGCCATCTATTGACAAGGCTGGCGAACTAAAGCCGGGCGGCTATTTCCACTTTTGACACACCATGCAGACGTCTTTCACCGTGCCCTCCAGTGACCGCCCCCCAGCAACACACCGCAGCCGCCACTCACCGGGGACAGTCGTCGTACGGACAGTGGAAGATGTCGCGCGTCTCGCCGTGCACCCGTTTGTGTATCCGCAGCGCCGACTTACTCAGGAACTTGTGGTCACATTCTGAACACGTGTGTTCTGTCGTAAAGGGGATACAGCCATTAGACAGTGAAAAACATGACAACACGCCGACATATTCTGCGAGACGCGAAACAAAATAAATGAAATTACAAAGTTCAGACGATCTGAAGAGATAAAAGCATAAAAAAACAGCTAGTACCTACAACATATCCATTAAAACTGAAAATTGCATAGCAACCTCATCGTTAGGTCTTTAAGAACACGATAACTGCAGGCCGCCTGACTGACCGCGGCCGGCGGGGTGCAGCTGTCGGCGGTGCTGCAGCAGCTGCTTCCAGCTGTCCAGCTGCTGGCCGCAGCCGTCCACTGGACAGCGGTACTTGTCGTGGTGACGCTCGTGCGCTCGGAGCTGACTGGGCAGCAGGAACTCACGGCCGCAGCCCTCCCGAGAACACCTACGGAACGGGCGCGCCAACACAGTCAGCGATAGAATCATGGCAGAAAGACGGCTCGAGGATCGATCGACGCATTGCTTGATAATTATTGACGTCTGGTCGTAGCTTTCAATAGGTAACGTGAAACATCCTCGAAGGAACAATATAAGAATCCTCCGAAAGCTGACAATATTTGTGACAAACGAATGCAAAAAAGCATGCAACCGTTACTCGTTAGCCGATATCCTACCGACCTGGAAGCATTTACAGGAAAATACTTGTTTATTAAATCAAGCAGCAATGGCGTTCGATAAACTTAAACCCACGTCAGCGGACCACCGCCAGCCCTCACGGCGGGCACCGCTACACCACCCGGACGACCCCGGCCCGCCCACCTGAACGGCTTGACTCCGGTGTGTTCGTGCTCGTGGATCCGCAGGTGCTGTCGCTTGATGAAGCCGCGGCCGCAGTGTGAGCACACGTACTGGCGGCGCTGGTGCGAGCGGCCGTGCTTCTGGTACGTGTCCAGCGAGCTCAGGTACTTGCCGCAGCCCTCCACCGGGCACCTGTGGTGATAGTAGAGGGAATGATAAAAAACAAACTATCAGTTTTTCATTAACTTAGTCTGAATGTTTAAACTGACAGATTGATAGAGCCAGTGCCCAGGAAAAGCATAGCCTGATGCGTAGACACAGAGCCTGACCTCTACCATCCAATCAGGACCTGGTTGAATCAAGACTTAGGATGTCAAAATTAAGCATGCCCATCAAAGCAGTACATGGCCTGTCCCACTCAAGTGACTCCAACAGGCACACGCTGCTCCCAACAGTTGCATACACTCATTGGGACTTGCGGCTCACATACGGCTCGCAACACAAGCTCTCACAATATGGAGTCCAATGCTGTACTCTACCACCTGAATGGGAAACTGTAGCAAGAATGGGAAACTTTAGCAAACTGTAGTGCCAATAAGCCATGTAAACTGAGTGTCCTATGCCTTTTGGTAACAATAATGCCCTAAACTAAATTGGCTAGTTACTCACTTGAATGCCTCACGTGAGGGTGAGTTTTTGGTATCATGTGAGGCCAGGTGGCGTCTCAAATGCTCCCGCCTCGAGTAGGACTTGTCACATCCAGGCCTATCACACTTAAACGGCTTCTGTTGGTTGGTACAAACAGAAAACGTACCTATGTTACAATGTAAAAATGAGGACAGATATAGAGAGATCAATTCAAAAGTGAGCAAAGCTGAGTGAAGCAATCACATTCAAATAATGATGAGCACGAAATGCTGAGGAAATAACCCAAATTGCTGTAATTACACAACATAACTATGTGGAAAACTTGTGCACAGGATGATGGCCATCATATTTTTGGCATGGAACCTACCTCTCCTGTGTGGGTCCGGTAATGAATTTTCAATCTTCCAGGCCTTTGAAAACTAGCTCCACATCCAGCATATTCGCAAATATGCTTTTTATGCAGCTCTTGAGGTTCTTTAACCCTTTGCTGTTCTCCAGAATTCTGATTCATCTTGCCACTGGAAGAGCAAACTAAGGACTGAAAAGAATGCAAATCGTTATAACTATAGCATCATGCGACCATTTCTATTGCAATTCCACTTTTTGGCACAACGCATCTCCGCAGTCCGCATCCAAATTCCAAGCATGCACAGACAAATGTGAAATTAGTGTTCGTGAGCCGAGGTTCGCTCATTCGAAACGATTCACCAGCAAGTTGCCAGGCAAATCGTCAGCGAACTTGGGATTATCTGTCAGGTTGCTAGGAAACCATTCATGGCCATCTGGTAGCCTGCGTTAGAAGCATAACAGCTGAACAGTGCTCTCGAATCGTGTGTCTCCCCAAATTTGGCGCTCGCTCTTCATTTCTGGCGCAGTATAAAATAGTGCTGCCATCATTATAGAGTGGACAACACTATTCGACCGCCACCCTTGCAGCCATTCTATAACTCAGGAACTACTGGGCCGATCGGAACGAACGAAACACCATTCGAATCAGGGGGTACGATTTTATCAGCCGTTTCGAAGCTCGTGACCCCAGGTGACCTCGGTGACCTCAAGAGGTCAACTCGGCATTGACGCCTATTGCAGCCATTCTATAACTCAGGAACTACTGGGCCGATCGAGACGAAAACACCACCAGTCGAATCAGCGTATGTGATTTCATCAGCCGTTTCGAATATGGTGACCTCAGGTGACCTCGGTGACCTCAAAAGGTCAGCCTAACGTTTTCGCCTATTGCAGCCATTCTATAACTCAGGAACTACTGGGCCGATCGCGACGAAAACACCACCAGTCGATTCAGCGTATGCGATTTCATCAGCCGTTTCAAATATGGTGACCTCAGGTGACCTCGGTGACCTTGGGAGGTCACATGACCAATGTGGCCTATGGCAGCCATTCTATAACTCAGGAACTACTGGGCCGATCGTGACGAAAACACCACCAGTCGATTCAGCGTATGCGATTTCATCAGCCGTTTCGAATATGGTGACCTCAGGTGACCTCAGTGACCTTGGGAGGTCACATCACCAATGTGGCCTATTGCAGCCATTCTATAACTCAGGAACTACTGGGCCGATCGTGACGAAAACACCACCAGTCGAATCAGCGTATGCGATTTCATCAGCCGTTTTGAATATGGTGACCTCAGGTGACCTCGGTGACCTTGGGAGGTCACATGACCAATGTGGCCTATGGCAGCCATTCTATAACTCAGGAACTACTGGGCCGATCGTGACGAAAACACCACCAGTCGATTCAGCGTATGCGATTTCATCAGCCGTTTCGAATATGGTGACCTCAGGTGACCTCAGTGACCTTGGGAGGTCACATGACCAATGTGGCCTATTGCAGCCATTCTATAACTCAGGAACTACTGGGCCGATCGTGACGAAAACACCACCAGTCGAATCAGCGTATGCGATTTCATCAGCCGTTTCGAATATGGTGACCTCAGGTGACCTCGGTGACCTCAAAAGGTCAACTTTACGTTTTCGCCTATTGCAGCCGTTCTATAACTCAGGAACTACTGGGCCGATCGTGACGAAAACACCACCAGTCGATTCAGCGTATGCGATTTCATCAGCCGTTTTGAATATGGTGACCTCAAGTGACCTCGGTGACCTTGAGAGGTCACATGACCAATGTGGCCTATGGCAGCCATTCTATAACTCAGGAACTACTAGGCCGATCGTGACGAAAACACCACCAGTCGATTCAGCGTATGCGATTTCATCAGCTGTTTCGAATATGGTGACCTCAGGTGACCTCGGTGACCTTGGGAGGTCACATGACCAATGTGGCCTATGGCAGCCATTCTATAACTCAGGAACTAATGGGCCGATCGTGACGAAAACACCACCAATCGAATCAGCTTATGCGATTTCATCAGCCGTTTTGAATATGGTGACCTCAGGTGACCTCGGTGACCTTGGGAGGTCACATGACCAATATGGCCTATGGCAGCCATTCTATAACTCAGGAACTACTGGACTGATCGTGACGAAAACACCACCAGTCGATTTAGCGTATGCGATTTCATCAGCCGTTTCGAATATGGTGACCTCAGGTGACCTCGGTGACCTTGGGAGGTCACATGACCAATGTGGCCTATTGCAGCCATTCTATAACTCAGGAACTACTGGGCTGATCGTGACGAAAACACCACCAGTCGATTCAGCGTATGCGATTTCATCAGCCGTTTCGAATATGGTGACCTCAGGTGACCTCGGTGACCTTGGGCGGTCACATGACCAATGTGGCCTAAGGCAGCCATTCTATTACTAAGGAACTACTGGACCGATCGTGACGAAAACACCACCAGTCGATTCAGCGTATGCGATTTTATCAGCCGTTTCGAATATGGTGACCTCAGGTGACCTCAGTGACTTTGGGAGGTCACATGACCGTTGTGGCCTATTGCAGCCATTCTATAACTCAGGAACTACTGGGCCGATCGTGACGAAAACACCACCAGTCGAATCAGCGTATGCGATTTCATCAGCCGTTTCGAATATGGTGACCTCAGGTGACCTCGGTGACCTCAAAAGGTCAACTTTACGTTTTCGCCTATTGCAGCCGTTCTATAACTCAGGAACTACTGGGCCGATCGTGACGAAAACACCACCAGTCGATTCAGCGTATGCGATTTCATCAGCCGTTTTGAATATGGTGACCTCAAGTGACCTCGGTGACCTTGAGAGGTCACATGACCAATGTGGCCTATGGCAGCCATTCTATAACTCAGGAACTACTAGGCCGATCGTGACGAAAACACCACCAGTCGATTCAGCGTATGCGATTTCATCAGCTGTTTCGAATATGGTGACCTCAGGTGACCTCGGTGACCTTGGAAGGTCACATGACCAATGTGGCCTATGGCAGCCATTCTATAACTCAGGAACTAATGGGCCGATCGTGACGAAAACACCACCAATCGAATCAGCTTATGCGATTTCATCAGCTGTTTTGAATATGGTGACCTCAGGTGACCTCGGTGACCTTGGGAGGTCACATGACCAATATGGCCTATGGCAGCCATTCTATAACTCAGGAACTACTGGACTGATCGTGACGAAAACACCACCAGTCGATTTAGCGTATGCGATTTCATCAGCCGTTTCGAATATGGTGACCTCAGGTGACCTCGGTGACCTTGGGAGCTCACATGACCAATGTGGCCTATTGCAGCCATTCTATAACTCAGGAACTACTGGGCTGATCGTGACGAAAACACCACCAGTCGATTCAGCGTATGCGATTTCATCAGCCGTTTCGAATATGGTGACCTCAGGTGACCTCGGTGACCTTGGGCGGTCACATGACCAATGTGGCCTAAGGCAGCCATTCTATTACTAAGGAACTACTGGACCGATCGTGACGAAAACACCACCAGTCGATTCAGCGTATGCGATTTTATCAGCCGTTTCGAATATGGTGACCTCAGGTGACCTCAGTGACTTTGGGAGGTCACATGACCGTTGTGGCCTATGGCAGCCATTCAATAACTCAGGAACTGCTGGGCTGATCGTGACGAAAACACCGCCAGTCGATTCAGCGTATGCGATTTCATCTGCCGTTTCGAATATGGTGACCTCAGGTGACCTCGGCGACCTTGGGAGGTCACATGACCGATGTGGCCTATTGCAGCCATTCTATAACTCAGGAACTACTGGGCCGATCGTGACGAAAACACCACCAGTCGATTCAGCGTATGCGATTTCATCAGCCGTTTCGAATATGGTGACCTCAGGTGACCTCGGTGACCTTGGGAGGTCACATGACCAATTTGGCCTATGGTAGCCATTCTATAACTCAGGAACTACTGGGCCGATCGTGACGAAAACACCACCCCACCAGTCGATTCAGCGTATGCGATTTCATCAGCCGTTTCGAATATGGTGACCTCAGGTGATCTCGGTGACCTTGGGCGGTCACATGACCAATTTGGCCTATGGCAGCCATTTTATTACTCAGGAACTACTGGACCGATCGTGACGAAAACACCACCAGTCGATTCAACGTATGCGATTTCATCAGCCGTTTTGAATATGGTGACCTCAGGTGACCTCGGTGACCTTGGGAGGTCACATGACCAATGTGGCCTATTGCAGCCATTCTATAACTCAGGAACTACTGGACCGATCGTGACGAAAACACCACCAGTCGATTCCGCGTTTGCGATTTCATCAGCCGTTTCGAATATGGTGACCTCAAGTGACCTCGGTGACCTTGGGAGGTCACATGACCATTCTATAACTCAGGAACTACTGGGCCGATCGTGACGAAAACACCACCAGTCGATTCAGCGTATGCGATTTCATCAGCCGTTTCGAATTTGGTGACCTCAGGTAGGCCACATTGGTCTGCCAGGTAGGTCTGCCATAGGCCACATTGGTCATGTGACCTCCCAAGGTCGCCGAGGTCACCTGAGGTCACCATATTAAAAACAGCTGATGAAATCGCATACGCTGATTCGATCGGTGGTGTTTTCCTCACGATCGGCCCAGTAGTTCCTGAGTTATAGAATGGCTGCCATAGGCCACAACGGTCATGTGACCTCCCAAGGTCACCGAGGTCACCTGAGGTCACCATATTCGAAAAGGCTGATGAAATCGCATACGCTGAATCGACTGGTGGTGTTTTCGTCACGATCGGCCCAGTAGTTCCTGAGTTATAGAATGGCTGCCATAGGCCACAACGGTCATGTGACCTCCCAAGGTCACTGAGGTCACCTGAGGTCACCATATTCAAAACGGCTGATGAAATCGCATACGCTGAATCGACTGGTGGTGTTTTCGTCACGATCGGCCCAGTAGTTCATGAGTTATAGAATGGCTGCCATAGGCCACATTGGTTATGTGACCTCCCAAGGTCACCGAGGTCACCTGAGGTCACCATATTCAAAACGGCTGATGAAATCGCATACGCTGATTCGATTGGTGGTGTTTTCGTCACGATTGGCCCAGTAGTTCCTGAGTTATAGAATGGCTGCCATAGGCCACATCGGTCATGTGACCTCCCAAGTTCACTGAGGTCACCTGAGGTCACCATATTCGAAACGGCTGATGAAATCGCATACGCTGAATCGACCTGGTGGTATTTTCGTCGCGATCGGCCCAGTAGTTCCTGAGTTATAGAATGGCTGCCATAGGCCACAACGGTCATGTGACCTCCCAAGGTCACCGAGGTCACCTGAGGTCACCATATTTGAAACGGCTGATGAAATCGCATACGCTGAATCGACTGGTGGTGTTTTCGTCGCGATCGGCCCAGTAGTTCCTGAGTTATAGAATGGCTGCAATAGGCGAAAACGTTAAGTTGACCTTTTGAGGTCACCGAGGTCATCTGAGGTCACCATATTCGAAACGGCTGATGAAATCACATACGCTGATTCGACTGGTGGTGTTTTCGTCTCGATCGGCCCAGTAGTTCCTGAGTTATAGAATGGCTGCAATAGGCGTCAATGCCGAGTTGACCTCTTGAGGTCACCGAGGTCACCTGGGGTCACAAGCTTCGAAACGGCTGATAAAATCGTACCCCCTGATTCGAATGGTGTTTCGTTCGTTCCGATCGGTCCAGTAGTTCCTGAGTTATAGAATGGCTGCAAGGGTGGCGGTCGAATAGTGTTGTCCTTATAGAGTTCAGTGGCTGCCATCTAGGCAATGTATATTTTGGCGCTTCTGAGACTGCCGACAGGTGGCAGTTAAGTATCAACGGCGATCAGGGTATCATAGCCTTGCAATTAGGTATTAGGATGCGTATTCAAGCGGGTCGTAAATTTCAACAAGACGAGCCATAATTATTCTAAGGCCGTATTTATTGATAGAATCGTCCACAATGTCTGACACAATGCATAACATAGAATCGTCCAGCATCGCTAGATACCCACCGGGCTTTATTTTGTTCATTTAATTTATTTATTTGGTATGTGGTAGGCATGGCGCCTAATGGGCAGTGTTATGGGAATACGGGATTGGCCCAATAGATAAATTAAAAAATACGTAAACACGGATGCAATACTAAGCATGCTGGGGCTGATCCTGACGTGAGGCGACCACATTGCGGCTCTCTAGTCGTCTAAGCTCGCCACCAAATCCGGATAAGCTCGGCCGGTCAAGCCGCGACTGGCCGTCCGCGGTTTGTCGTCTGAGCCAGAACTGAGACGGGCCGGCCGCGAATCCGGGTAGCTCGGCTCAGAGCAGCTGATCCGCGGCGGTGACGGGCGGCATCTCGGTGACCTTGCGGTGACGACGGTCCCGAGCGGTGAGGGTGACTGCTCCGGCCGGCCCCGGGCCCGGCACGTGCAGACACCATCTTACTCCCGGCTGTCCCGTATCCCGCTGGGTCTGAACTCACGAGTCTCTCGTGGCTTTCATCCGTGGCTTTTGTCCAGCCATAATGAGCCGATACTTATAATTGTGCAAATACGCTATTTTAAGATTTGGTGTTGAGCTAAGCGCTTTACTTTCTAAGACATCCGCACTCGCAAGTGCGCCGCGCTCCATGTCCTGAAGTGACACTGACATGGATTTTCATCCATGCATCATGAGGCAGAGCCTCCCACACTCTACGCACGACGAGGAAGTTTGGCTCGCAGTCTGGGAACGGGCGGCACGGCTCGAGGAAGGCCGCTCACCGGGACGAGCCCCAGCATGGGAGTCACACACCGACGTAACTACGGACTATACGCAGTTAATACGGACACGGAGCTACCACAGGCCACGGGCCACGCCTCCTGGGCAAGGCGGTAGGTGGAGGGTGATGTCATAGATGTATAGCGGTGAGACGGTGATGACGTCGTGACGTTAGCGCAGGGCTGTTGAGCCAGACAGGATGATGCGTCCGAATCCGATGGTATTCCCTCCGGGGTACGGCGGGGCGACGATCACTGGACTGGAACGCTGGACTGGCTCGGGTCGGATAGTTTTCTAATGGCCCTGGGCCGGATGTGTAGCAGGAACTGATTGACTGGGCGGGGCGGGGCGGGGTGGGGCGGGGTGGGGCGGGGCGGGGCGGTCACCGAGTCCGGGCAGGGCAGCGGACATTCGTGTCCGGGCACCACCCACTCCGGTCAACAGCTCGCCCTGACCTTGACGCCCGAAAACGGACCTGGACCGGACGGTCACCGCGCCCAGGTCCGCCGACCACCTCTGGACAAACAGGAAGCGGATACAGGGCTTATCTACGGCCGACTCTGAGAAGTAATGTCTCGGGGCTTCCGATAGATTTACTGGTCTCCGGCTCAGAGACTGGAGACGGCTTGTTTGTCTTCCTCTTGTACATACCAGCTTCCGTCGATCAACGGCGGGGTTTCCTTTTGCGAGAGTGTCAACAGAAGGGAATGCGCCTTTAGAATCGGTTGACCTAATTAGTAGAGGCTAAGCAAAGATTTAAATACTCTTAACTCACCGAGCGTCATCTTCATCAGCTTTTATTACACATCGTTTTAGCGTGGGCGAAAAAAAAAAACAGCATGTTCCACGGTTAGATCCCGACTTGCCCTATTTTTCTGTATGTCATGTGCGTGACTGCGTCATGTCTTTGAGCAAAACACATTTTATCGCATTAAAGTCGAGGGGATTCATTCACGAATGATGAAATTATATTATATAGGTATGCGCTTTAGGTACTGTATTCTTCCCCCGACGTATCAAAATTGAAATACCATCGTTGAAGTCGTTATTGCTTGGATACCGTTTATCACACACTCTTTCAAAACTCACCGTGAGTGACGAGTGGTTTAGGTACCTGTTCCCCCGTTACCGACCTTCGTCTGGCCTTGCTGTCCGTTTACCTGCGACAAATTCACGTTAAAAATAAACCTATAGCATAGCATCTTTGTCGCAATGTTATTTGTAAAATTGTGCCGTTTGTGCTTGTGGATGGGCCAGATTGTGCAATTAGGTGAAATAGCTTGCCGAATGAGTGGTAAGGCATTGATTCGGTTTCGGGATTTCAGCGACTGCAAGAACGGACTTGGAGCTTATGCCTGCTTAGGTACGCCAAATTTCGTTTATTTACATAAACATAACGATATTACCGTTTAAATAAATAGCGTATTGATGCCTGCGGCTGCCTCTTTCGCAAATGCGATTAAATCTTGCTAATTTTGTTTCGCTTATCAAAACATATTCATTTAATATAATTTGTTCATGTTACCGGATCGAATTGAAACAAATACCTAGCAAAATTTGGTAAGAAGGCATTTAAGCATTCATGAACTAACAATAATTCACATCACCTAATGCAACCGATCGTATAGCAGCATCGTGGTGCAAAGGTAGCAAAAAAAAAAAACTATAAAGGTTATGCATACTTGTAATAATACACAAGAAATGTGTTTAGACGGTCAGTCGGTGTTCACTATGAGCGTATGCCTTATCAGTGTCTTCAATCGCCCAGCTACATACAGGCTCAACTGCTCTCTTCAAGATCGACTAACATACAGTTTAAAACCTAACCTAAGCTAGCCTAGCCTAACTTTAAATTAATCAATTAAAGTCATTTTTCTTGGCCGTCTGTAATGTATGTTTGATTCTTTCGACCATCGCCATTCCAATCTACAGCCTTATTAGCCACGATAGGCAACGAATTGGTGAAGGCTGCTCTATAACGGTTGAACGCTGTCTCTCCGGCTGAATAGGAAGACATAATTTCCTACTGTCATATTACAAATAAAACTTTTAAAGCTGAATCATGCCTCGGCTTCGCCTGCGTCTCGCCAGCACACACACCAAACTACCTGGTTGTCTACATATACGTGGCCTTGTATTTTCCGACAAATCTGTAGTTTCAGTTGTCAGACAACTGATAGCGACTGACGGATGGAAACAACGACATGTGCACAAACATATACATCCCTACAGTGCTGGCAGATGCCCAAACCACAACTATACATATGATGCGCGCTGCACAGTGCAACGAGAGGAAACAAAGGATGCAAATTATACGATATGAATAATGCACGACATAAATCGCCAACTGCAGATGCTTAAAACATGATACACGTCATACCAGCTGATGTTCCTCGCCATACACCTATCAATCTGTCATAGCCTGGCCCTGCACATTGTCAGGAAACCAGCACACAGGCTGCATACAAATTCATCAAATAATGCAAACGGTGAAGGCATATTTCCCAGACAGGAACTATTCGATGAAGAAAAACATACAAAAGGCATTATCGTTTACACACTTATAGTGAGGCCCTGAAAAGCATGCACGTCACTCGTTACAGTCGAACCGATGTGCAGTCAAATTACGCATAATGTTACTGCCAAGATGCATTTTATTCACGACTTGGTTAGTATTGAGTGTGATGTTAAAATGCTACGAATAAAGATCACACGGATAACTTCATACGATGTAAACAAAACAAAGCAAACGATAAAGCACGACTACACTTCGTCACATAAGAGTTCGTCACGACGCCACGGCCATGCACAAAATATCACTTCTCGTAGTGTGTAGGTACTAAACATACGAGTTAACACCCTAACCGTCTACTGCATGCTGAAATGCATTAAATCCAGGCCGCTACCTACCCTGCAGGAAGACGTTGTTAGGGAACGGTCGGCTCCCTTGGGAAAGGAAAATGTTACTGGGTCGAGTGCCCGGTGCACTCTGCCGGGTCGGCTGCTGAAACTGCTGTGATGACCGCCGGAACTGCTGAGCTGGCTGCTGGAACTGTTGGGCTGGCTGCTGGAACTGCTGAGTTGGTCGCTGAAACTGCTGAGTTGGCTGCGCGAAGAAGGACGACTGCTGATTTTGTGGGAATCTTTGTTGGTTCTGCTGGAATCCTTGCTGATTTCGTTGAGAAGTTTGTTGGTTCTGCTGGAACGTTTGACTTTGCTGAAATACTGGCTGACTTTGCTGAAACGCTGGCTGACTTTGCTGGAACGTCGGCTGACTTTGTTTGAAGGCCGGCTGACTTTGTTGGAAGGCCGGCTGACTTTGCTGAAATGTCTGCTGAGTGTTCGGCCGAGTTTGCTGGAAGCGCTGCTGATTTGCTTGGAACGTCTGCTGTGACGCCGGCTGAGCAAACGAAGGCTGCACCTGCTGAAACTGGCCCTGCTGGAAGCTGGACTGCACCGCCGGCGGGGTGAGCCGCTTGGGCGGCAGCTGGGGTGCCCGGGGCGGCCCCTGCGGAGGCCGCGGGGACGGGCCGGCCCGCGGCCGAGCGGTGGTCGGCTCAGTGAGGGCGGGTGGCCGGACGGCCTGCTGCAGCCCCGAGAGGTACTGCAGCAGCGTGCTGTGGTAGCCGCCCGGGTGGACGGCGGGGGAGTCGGCACCGTCACCGGACTGAGGGCGGCACCGGGCCGCCGAGACGAGCAGGGTGAGCAGCACCAGCAGCTCCGCCAGCGCCGGCCGCCGCGCGCACATCGCACTCTGCAACACACAGAGACGGAGGATCAGTGGTCGAATCGACAAACACTTTATAGTGGCTCGGTGGCTGAGCGTCCACCAACGTATCCATAACCATAATGTATGGCGGGTGACCGACTTGATTGTGGAGGGGTGTACCGGGTACTAAATAAAGTGGAAATGACCCGGTATACAAGCTGACAACTGTATCTGTTTTCATTCGTATAATAGTCTGACATCCAAGGCCATTGAGATAACTTAGAATATACCAAGGTTGAAGTGCTATCGACGAGCTTCTATGTTTAACAATATGACCGATACAAATGCATCGCCAACGTACTGACTACTGATGTTACCTATTTTGGCTCAGCTTATCTCATTGCAATTGAAAGCGCTCGAAGCGAATCATACCTACTACCTACTAGTTTATTGTGATTCGCCAGATCCTCTTAGGCAGGCGGGTAGCTAATACGGATCAAGCTCGCAACCAGTTCTTGTTTTTATTTGCAAAATAGATGCCTTGTAGAGTTTTGCAACATAAATAGTTCAAATGATTGCCTCGAAATGTATGCACCCGAATGTCTGATCTGCAACCTCATAAAAAGGCAAGCCAATCCGAAAGCGCTTTATCGTAAATAATAGCTTGAACTTATCAATGGAAATGCCTATCATATGCTCCGTCAGTTAAACCTCAAGAGTCAGGTGTGTGCTGCAGATTCAGAGCAGGCAGTAACTTTCAGACTTTTGCAAAATACCTCCTGGTAAAGCTTTTGGGATAAACTTTGCTGCCTGGCAACACATGCTGGTCCTGAATCGGTTCACGAACCGCTATCAACAGCGGAATTTCGCTGTGAAATTCGTGGGAATAAGTCGTAACAAGATATGACGCAACGTCTATTATCCGGAGCTGGTGACAATCGGTGTCTGTCTCTATCTCGTTACACTGGACGGCGTGTTGAGACCTTCAGGGGAAACGGAACTGAATAGTAATTCCAAAGATTCTTATCCTTATTGCTCAGAATCATCGTTCTATCATCTCGAAACGGCACATTTTGTTTAGCTTGCAACACCGCTGCGTGTTACTACCCGTTTTCGACGACTGCGCTGGAAATATCGTTTGTTACTGTTACGACTAAAAATAAAGGTGGATATTAGCCGTTTTCACGACGGCCGTCTGGTACACATTTGGTGCACATTTGGTGCAGGTTAGGTGCAGATCTGGTCAAATTAGGTTCAGTGTGTCTCTTAGTAGCTATCAGCTAGGGTTTTGACTTATTGCTTATATATGCCTGCTTAATGTTTTGTCATATTAGCAGAGAGTATCATCGATTAAAACACTGAAATAAATTCATAAAATAAAGATATTTGCTGAAGAGATTAGGTGCAGATTTGGTCAAATTAGGTGCACTCGCCGGCTAGCCCGTCGTGAAAACGGCTATTAATTATATACTATGTTACGGTTGAGTCACATCATTACCTGTACTTCCTTCTCTTTCCATTTTACATTTGCTCGTCTCATTTTTATAAAGAAGACATGCACTAAATCTATTGATCACTTGATGATGGGTATAGATACACCGGACAAGGAAGTGGAGACGGGGAGGCGTTTGAACGGGGAAGACCAACGAATGGGTGTTCTATTGTTGTGTTATCAAACAAAAAATAATACAAGCTGCATACCCGTTTAACAATCGGAAATTGATGGCCACTGCAAGCCAGAGAGGTCACGGTAAGCATCATTCAGTCAGTGTTCTTGATTTAGCACTGCAAAATAACATACAGCTTAAATGCGCTATCGTAGTTCTCTCCAGACATATACCGAGAATCGAGACGTGCCCTACATATGTATGGGCTGTAAGTTTATGTTCCCACCCACTGTGTCTCCTTGAGATCACCGTAAGCAACGCTGACCCCGATAGTTAGTATCACCGGAAAGTAGCCGGCGGTGCTATAATACAGGAAATAACCGCCTATCTACATTCTTCACCGATCTGTGGGCGATAAGCCCGGAAGAGATAACACGATTTGACGGTTCTGCGCCGATTACACGATTCGGTTGACATAATTGAGGGAGATAGACATCTTCAATGTTATGTAATGACGCAACCAGAGATGGTGTATACCCGATGCTTGCATTTACATGGTTGTATCTACGGGTTTAATCGACATAATGGTCACCCCAGGTCTTCCTGCGCTGGCGCGCTGTCAGTAGCTGACAGGAGATAATGCAGAAAAAAACACCAAATAAATGCCACGGAGATACGATCTTCACATTTGTAGAGCTCACGTATCAGTAATCAGTGTAAAAGGGGGTTCCGTTTTTAGCTCCATAGCTAGGACGACGTTATAGGCTTAGAAGCCAAAAAGATTCTTTGACAATAAAATGTTAATCAGAGACCATTTAATGAGGGGATAAACCCACCGTATATTTATGGACATACCAACAAGTAATTATACCACCGAGTAGCCGACAGCTCCCGTTATTGAATCCATACTGAAACCGTCAGCCACTTTCCTTCCTTTTCTTAGCCACTGCCCGTCCTCATATGCTACAAATGCTTCACGATCGATGTATACGATTCAGAAGATGCAGTTATGATGGTGGCCTTGGCTTTGCAATAGACTATTCGGTTCCCAGCCGTCTGTATAGCCTGCAGTAGGTAAGTACGTCAAAATAAGCTGGATTGTGCCTCTTAGTTTGCATGTGCATGTAAAAGGGCAAAATCTAAACTAAATCTAAGTAAAATCTAAGTAAAATCTAAGCCTGTCCCGTAGCTCAGTTGGTAGAGCATCGGACTCCTGGTAGTGAGAGCCCGGGAATTCGAGACGCTCCGGCGCTCGATATTTGAGACTCCTGACGGGGATGGTCTGCGGTTGGTGGGAGCAGCCGCAGCCAGTTGAAGTCAGTTGAGTGGGACAGGCCGTGTCCGGCTTTGAAGGGCACGTTAAACTTTGGCATCTAAATTCTCCCGTTACCCGGAATTGCGCGATCGGACGGTAGGGGTCGGGGCTACGCAACAAGCTCTGCTTAGCGTGGGCTCCGGCTCTGTCAATCCGTCCATTCAAAAACATTCGAGCTAAATTTATTTAAAAAAAGGCGTTTTAATGAAGTATAGAAAATGTGCCCTTCATTTTGTATGCATGTAGACTGTCGTTACATTATGCCTTCACTTACATTAATTTTGTAATAGGGTGTTCTAAACATTTAATACTTAGTCCATTAATTAATATAACACTCTATGAATAATCTAAGTTATTAGCCTTTTCGCGACGGCTACCTGGCACACTTTTGGTGCAGATTTGGTCAAATTAGATTCATAAATCATAGTGTTTCTTAGAAGCTATCAGTTTGGGTTGCACTGTTGCTTACAGTTACATTCCTGCTTTTTCACATTATCCTGTTGCTTACATGCCTGCTTTTGCACATTATCAGACATAATTTTCAATTAAAAAACTCAAACAAATTCGTGATATGAAGATGTTTGTTTTAATTGTTAAAGATATTTGGTGCAGATTCGGTCAAGGTTGGTGCTTTCGCCAGATAGACCGTCGTGAAAACGTCTATTGGAACGGGATACGAGCCGTAATAAATTTGAAATTAGAATAAAATAGATACTTTTGATTGAATTATTGCAGGGCTAAGGCCGGAATTTATTCCTTTCAGCAAACTAACTATGACATTGCACTTACGCGGAAACGGAACTTGGAAGAAATTAAAACAGTTAAATGTTCTTGTTTGTTTGTTTGTTTGTTTGTTTGTTTGTTTGTTTGTTTTCGTCTGTCTCCTATATCCTACCTGAGATTTTGGAGGAGAGCACGTAGAGCCCGCACCTCTGACGGTCAGCTCGCTCTTCCGTTCACCGACCAATTCGTGCAGACCGATCACTGCACTCCACACACGCTGCACAGTGCACACTGCCGCTGTTACCGCCACTGCCGCTGCCGGTCACAGACTGCCACCGGCGGCCACTGCACCCGGCCGTACCTGAGCTCCCCCCGCCGCCGCCGCCACCGCCCCCGCCGCCGCCCCCGCCGCCCGCGCAGGTATCCCGAGGGCGGCGGGCGGAGGGCGGGGCGATAGGAGCGGCCGCCCCGTGTGAAGTGGAATTCCCGGCGGCCGGTCGTGTCTAAATCAGACCGGCGGTCGTGAGACGGCACGGTCATGTCGACGGCCCGTTCTGCGCTCCCACGCCGGTGCCTGGAACTCCCTCCCCTCCACCCTATCTGTAGCGGCGACGAATCCCGTCCGTAAGTGGTAAAGCCTGAAGGCCAGATGAGGGCGCAGTCACATCCGTTTGGGAGTGACGGGAACGAGGGGCGGTTCCGAATTGACGTTACAGGGTGTAAGTGACCGAGGCCAGGTTCTTCAATCCACGAACAAATTTAACTATACAGAGGACGAGAGGACGAGAGATGATTTTGTTCACATGCTGCATATACCGTGACGGCTTAGATGTTACCAAAAACGTATATCAGAGTAATGTCGAGTTGTATACATATTTCATCATTCACCCGGTATACTTGATCGTTTGATCCAGTGTGGTGCAAATAACAGGGTAGCTGTATAATGGTGGTCGTTCATGGAAAATGATGGTGGTCATTCGTATAAAATTCACGCACAGAGGCGTGGATTTACAACTCGAGCTTACCTACTTTATGCAGGAAAAAGGAGTGATCACTGACATGCCGGTAATTGGATTTAGGAAACAGAGATAGTCGCCATTCATGTTCTAAGATTTATCGACGGGGATGTTTAGCCATGTTGCGGATCGGGCACAATTTGAGCATTCGTTGCAAGGTCACCACGAGTCGTCATCTACCATTGCGAACAATTTCAACTTTCCTGCAGATGTTAAACGCATGTGCGGTGCCGAGAATCGTCAGCTGTAGCTAGGCCTTTTACAAAATCCTGCTGAGGAAACAAACATCATTTACGGAAAATTATCTGTAGCTCCGCCCCTTTCACTAATAAATCACTGCCAAGATCCATGTACTTTGTTAGATTAATTGAATTAATGATGTTTTAATGTACGGTCATGTCGACGGCCCGTTCTGCGCTCCCACGCCGGTGCCTGGAACTCCCTCCCCTCCACCCTATCTGTAGCGGCGACGAATCCCGTCCGTAAGTGGTAAAGCCTGAAGGCCAGATGAGGGCGCAGTCACCCGTTAATGTATTATGCGCCTACAGTGTCCCGCCCATCGCAAGTAACTTGAAAGTTGGGACCTACCCCGTGCATGACTGGGGGTGGGTGGGGGGTGGGTGCACGGGGTGGGGGCTCTAGAGAGCCCCTCCCGTTTTTCGGTTATATCTTCTAAACCGTTCGACGGGTGAACACAAAACTTGCGGAACCCTCAGCGGCATCGATTGGACACCTTGTGTTAAAATTCAAATTTTCTAGCTATCATAGGTTGGCCGGAAAAGACGTCAGAGTGACGTCATGTCGGCCGATTTTGATGCAAAATATTGAATTACGACAACGCGCTCTCAAGAGCTCAGTTTTAAAAGTTAGACCTTTTTTGCATGAGTGGACTACAAATATACGTAGCTATCAAACTGCGATCTCGAATTTTCGAAATTTTGAAAATTTTGAAAATATATGCATTTACAATTACAAAAATAGGTATAGTTTTGATTTTTTTCGAAACGTTTTTCATTTTTCGCAAAAAAAAACTGAATATATTTGATACAACACACACTGATAAATAAGTTTAACAAGTTTTAGCCCAATATCTTAAAAAATAACCAAATTATCTGCATTATTGTCAAAAGTTTACAATTGTTTATTTTTCAATACCATTTCTCAGTACGTTATTGACATCGTACAACAATATAAATGGCACCATCGTGTTCCAGAGCTCAAACTGCATTTGATTTGATAGACACCCATGCTTTGTTGAAAAAGCTCATTTTCAAAATTTTACCTTTTCTGACCTGAAAGTGACCTGTCACCTGACCTCCGATAAATTCAGCTGAAAATGACCTTAAATGATACAGACGACATTGTTTTCAAAATCTATGAGTATAATGGACCATAAAACATGCGTCACGTGCCCCGTACATGATATATAGGTACAATTTTCGTGACCATAGGATGACAGCTGGCCTTGACCTGAAAAATTCGAAGTAAAAGTTCGGTACCCTCAGGGTAGGTATCTAAGGCATATATCAAGGAGTACGTAAACCGAAAATGAGCCTGATCGGACTTAAGTCAGCCGGCGGTCAGATCCTAATTTGTGAATAAGCAAAAATGCTGGCTGATAATTTTTACCTTGACCTGACCTGTGGCGTCATCGGTGACCTCGAGGTCAATGAAAATAGGTTTCGTTCGATAGTTTTTCCAGGGTTATCACATGCCGTTCGAATTTTGACGATCGGCCTAGTAGTTTCGGATATAGGAGGGGGGAGAGCTCTGGAGAGCCTCCCTCCACCGCCACTCGCGTTATGGAAAATACCCCAGTCATGCGCGGGCTCAGGTGTCGGTTGGGCCTCGTCGTCATCTTAGCCAGCCAGCCCAACAATTTTCCAGCCACCAACCATCGCAAAGCAAGTACCTACCATGCTTACTAGTCACTGCTCGTGTCTCGGGTCGGCTCGTGTCCAGCGGACCCCTCTCGGCCCTCAGTCCCGGTCCCGTCTGGCGTCTGCACGCGAATCCCCTCTCGGCCCCACTGCAACCATAGCTTTTCCCGACATATTCTGTTTCTCAAAATGGTCGTATCAACTAGCAAGACTCGCAAGGTTTATATAGCCTTGGCAAGACTGTAGAAAGATGAGGCAAATGTTGTTAAAATGTCGGAAGATATCGAACACAAACAAGAAAATTAGCCGCCATGCTGAACGTATAGAGAAAACTTCAAAACGAAGTTAAGCCTTTATTTGGACTCACATCTTGCGCGTGAGCTGCCATATTGCAAATAGCACATGTGCGAATTGTTTTCGAAACGTGATTTTTGCGCTGGTGGCGCTGTTTGGTTTGCGTTGCATGTATTTTTGCCGTATGTGGGTCATCTTAAGAGATAAATATTTAATTTTAATTTTGCGGCATTACATGAGTTGTTCCTCAAGCTGGTGACTAGCTTGAATTGGACTCGTTGCCAAAGGTGCCACGCCCTGATTGACCCGGAGTTCAAGTTTGAGCAGAGGCGGATCCAGCTCAGAGTTTTTTTTGGGGGGGGGGCAAACCATAGAAATTTATCGATTCTTTCCATGCATCGTCCATAGGCGTAATGTTAAAATCATGCCGTTTGGGGGGGGGGCAAATGCCCATTTTGCCCCCCCCTGGATCCGCCACTGAGTTTGAGTTAATTGAAGATGAGTTTTTTTTAAATTGTTTTTTTACTTTTTGATATTAACATTAGCTTCAAATCTTAATTATAATACCCTAGGTTTTTAAGGATGTCTTAATGGTTTGTGTTCAATATTCTAAAACCTCAGCTAGATAAATCAGTTTGAGGCTCTGAAACAACACATGCCCACTCCAGTTTTGACTCAGTTTTGGATCTGATGAATTCATGATATATATGCACTAAATGGGCCCTTTGTACACCAGACAATCAACAGTGGCAGATCCAGGGGAGAGTAAATAGGGCAATTGCCCCTCCCAAACGGCATAATTTTAACATTACGCCTAGGGATGGTGCGTGGAAAGAACTGACAAATTGTTATTGTTTGCCCCTTCCAAAACTCTGAGCTGGATCCTCCAGTGACCATCAATGTTACCTTAACCTAAAACTAGCCCCTAGCTTGTGTTAGGTACTTTATCTCTCCTGCTATTTTGTAATCTGCTATTTTTACAGGTTCAATTGTGTTTTTTAATTTTCATAAATCATATTTCCTAAGACACCATTGGGTTCAGGATGTATAGTGGTATTTGGGGCAAATGCTCTTCTTTAAAGTGCTCAAATTTGATTGAGATTTGCATTTTCTAAAGTAAGAAAAGCCCTTTTAGAAAAAATGGCTTAAAACTGTACAGTGCAGGTCATAATCAAAATATGAGGAGTTATTAGAAATGAGAGGAATTGGTTTGGTATGCATTTCGCAGCATCCAAGACTGCCTTTCTGGATCTTCCAGTGTTTAAGGAAGCATTTTGGAAATCATTTTTTTTTTGCAGTCAGATTTAAAAATCAGGTGATCATAATATCACCATTAATTTATTCTAATTTCTTCATTATAAATGATGGTGTTTGAAGCTTGTAAAAACAGGAATCAACTACATTTTCTTTTGCTCCAGGATGTGTTCAACATCAAACCAAGGCATGGCTCCAGAGATTCAAGAATATTACAGATATCTGCTAGGTGAAGTAAATGTGCCACCTGGCCCCATTGTTCTACCAGAGGGATTTTCTGCCACCATTTTGGCCAGGGTAAGTAGCTGAATTAAATTTATGCATCTGCATGCTCCAGTGCACATGTTAAATGGGTGGGATTGTGGGAACGTGACCTTATTGTTACTTTATGTGGTGCTCACTGTCACAGCTCAATCTGGTCAATATTCTTTGTATGGGTTTGTATTTATAAACTTTAGCAACATTGCTAGTAGTATTTGTTAGTTGTTACCATAAGCTGTGTTACTTTTCAGATCATTCACCAGACGCTGGTGAAGAAGGCCTCGATGATGAATGATGTGCACCACGTACAGATCCTGTACAGTGCCTGGGCCATCCTGAATGACGCCTACGTCCCCATCGCCGCGTCCACTACCTCCACTCAGACCGACCCACCTCCGACCACACCCCGCCTGGAGAGCTGCACCCAGACTCCGGCGCGCGCCGCCGCCCGCGAGGGCTCCGCACAGACCGTGAGTCCGCCGCTGCGGGCCGCGGGCTGTCAGACCGCGCTGCCGGAGTGCCGGGACAACGTCTCGCAGACCGAGTGCCGGTCGGGGCCGGGCCTGGTCTCCGAGCAGGCGGTGCAGACGGACGGACCGGTGGGGGTCCCGGCGGAGGCCGTCAGCGCGGCCGTGCAGACCGAGACGCCCAGGATGAGGACCAAGTGGACCCAGATGAGGCGGCGGGTCACCACGGCGAGCGGCAGCCAGACCGATCGACCGCCCACTCCGCCTCCTCCGCCGCCCCCTGGCTGTCCGGCCGAGACCCAGACACCCTCTCTGGACTCCCGGGCCTCGGAGACTCAGACCCCGGCTCTGCTCTCTCGGACGGCCGAGACCCAGACGCTGCTGGCTCAGGCGCTGCCGGGCCGCCGGGCGGCCGGTACGCAGACTGTGCCGCTGCGGCCGCCGTGGGCGCTGCGGCTGGTGCGTGGCGCGCTGCCGCCCCCGGCCGAGCGGCCGGCCGAGCCGCGCCGGTTCCACGGCCGGCGCCTGCTGCGGCGCGGCTACGAGGCGGCGCCGCCCGAGATACCGCTGTCGGCGGTCCCGGGTGGAGGGGACGGCGACGGCGGCCCGCCCTCGCCGGCGCCGCCCGCCGACCCGCGACTCGAGGTGAGTTACCGGGAGGGTAAGGTATTGGATGAATGGGATGACGTAGATGGTTTTACTGGCGCGGTTGGAGGTGTTACGAGAATTGTGGTGGTAAGCGGGAGCAGTCATTGTCGCGGGGTTCCGTCTGTCTATGGTTCGTTGGAACTCATTTCCGTGACTGAGAAGGGCAAATTCTGTCCATAATTGAGGTATACCACGAGGTATACAACAAACTCGTATGTTGCAAGCTGGGAAGGACGGTCGCTTGTTAGTCTAAGTCTACATTGTTGCATCATTCATCAGTATACGCCGTAATTATCCCTCGTTTGACTTCCATTGAAGCTGCCTGACTGACGCCCCCCCCCCCCCCTCCCGCAGCTCCCGCGCCAGCAGTGCGGCTCGGAGCCGGGCGGCCGCGTCGGTCGGCGGCGGACCCGCACAGAGTCCGACACGGGCAGCATCTGCTCGCCGGTCGGACAGACCGGCCGACGCTCGCGCTCCGGATCGTCGGGCGGCGAGGGCGACCCGCCGGGGCCCGCTCCGGCTCCGGCTCCGGTCCCGGCTCCAGCTCCGGTCAACAGGGACCCGCGGATCCGCACTCCTTCGGCCGAGTCTGTGTCCGCGGCTCCCGGACTGATGTCGCACCCGAGCCCGCCGAGACTGCCGTCACTGAACGCAGGTTAGTACCGCTAAATACACACACAGTATCCGTTGGTGAAGTTTGTGACCGTGGCGGCTGGAGTAATGTCGCACCCGAGCCCGCCGAGACTGCCGTCACTGAACGCAGGTTAGTACCGCTAATACACACACAGTGTCCGTTGGTGAAGTCTGTGTCCGCGGCTCCGGGGCTAATGTCGCACCCGAGCCCGCCGAGGCTGCCGTCACTGAACGCAGGTTAGTAGCGGTTGGAATGAACCCATAGTCCGCCGGCTGTCGGAATTCGGGGTTACGGAGACTCGCCTGACGTCTGGGGAGATCTGGCATACGTCACTGGACCGAGTAATGAGCTACCTGGTTTGTGTTGGTGCTTGGTAGGTATGTAAAATTCAGACAGGAGTATTGTGGTTCGTTGGCAATCTTTTACTGTCATTTTCCTCATTTAATGTTAATTTACATGGCTTATTAATTATTTAAACTGGTATGAATGCTAGTTCGCGTTTACCTTGTGACTGCGAATTTTCCCTTAGTTCAATCAGTGTGGTGGCGTATCCGAAAGCCTCACAAACAATGCAGATTTACGCATGACGTGGAAGAGTATTCTTCATAACTTGTTGGATATTTCGTGTTAATTTGTTGATTAACAGAAATATGAGCAGTGACCGAGCCAGCGCTTGTTCACGTTACGACAAACCTGTCCTTACCTTGTAAATCGAGGTTCTGAGTAGGTCGTGGCATTGACCCGGACGTTTGTATGCATTGTCTTTTACCTATATTACTGACGCACGTACATATCCGTGAGGAGGTCAGTTTATAATAATAATTTGACGGGCTTCCCAGGTCATCACCAACTGACTGACGTATTCGATATCGTGGGCTGCGTGACCGGCAGTGTTTCATGAAGTCGGCGTCAGCCCTCCGTGTCGTGTCTCGTTCCACTGGCGTCACCCCGCCATGACGCGTCTCCTGTCCCTCCCGCAGACGACCAGAAGGTGCCGCTGGTCTTCGACAGCAGCTTGACGGCCATGCTGGACACCAGCTACAGCTTCCTGCCTGCGCCGCCGCCGGAGCTGCTGGGCGGCGGTGGCGCTCTCCTGCGGCCCAACACTAGCGCCGACCGGCGGCCGTCGGGCGAACTATCCGGCTCAGATATGGATTTGGACGATTGACGGATCCGTGAGTGTGTCCATTCACGAACCAGCAGTGGAACTGATTCCAGAGGCGAACGTTGCGTTACTTTTGTTAATTCGTTGTTGTGTGTAGTCATGTTTTGAAAGGCCGGATAGGCCTGTTGTGAACTCGCCATGATCGACAAGACGTTCTGATCACAATGAAATGTGAGGCGTTGAACACCGATGGAAATTCACTGCCTGCCGTCTAGCTGTAATGCCAAGTTACGTTACGTGGCAAGTGGTTTGCTTTCCATTTTGAACGGGTAGCTCGTACAAGGTTTTGTAGTTAAGGTTTTGTTATTTAATTCTACTCAAATGTAATCCGGCATTTTGTAATAAATGAATGACTTTATAATTTTGTTCAGTCTTCAGTCTTTTCTTGCTTGTGATAAAAATTCAAGCTATGAACTTAAAAGTGTTAGGAGAAAATTGCGAAGTTCTAGCTGAGTGGAATGCGTGTGCTGCTAAATGCGAACAAAATCAAGCGTTCAATGCTCCTACGCTGCAGTTGTTTTCGCATACAATTTTGCTGCTGTAAATGAGATCACACTTTGGGGATTTTTTTACTACTTTGACGTTTTTCTTTCATCCATGGATAAAATCGAGTACCAACAGTATTATATTTACTGCACATCAAAAAACTTTCACGCCACTCTCGTCTCAATCGGCACAGCATAAATACGAATAACAACAAGAAGTGTGCGGAGTTGCGACGCGCTCGGCTGGGGTGTTCAGTTTCTCACCTACTTGCACCCACCTTATGCAAAACACCTAACCTCGGGGACCATCTCTAAGATACTGAGACAGCGGTGGGAACAGTCTTCTGTTCGGGAGATACCACGGAGTCGAGGAAGCACTGAGCTGGCATGACGAGCGGGTCCGGCCCTCCCTGTATTACGAGCGGAGTCCGGACTCAGTACGAACTCCCCTGTATTACGGGGGAGTCCGCCCCGCTCGTCACTAGACGAGTCCGTCGCCGGTGTGTGCTAGTCGTCGTCGTCGTTCAAGATGGCGGCGGAGTCGAAGTCGGCCTCTTTGATGTCCGACTCGTCCTCCGTTTTCTGCTGCTCGTCCTGAGGGTTCTTGTTGCACTGAAACAGGAGAGAGGGATATGTTAGCCCGGATTTACAGAGGTCTGTGGCCTGTCTATATCCTCTCGGCACGGTGCCATCCATCAAAGTGTACATCACATAGTGTATGTACGACGTGAATACTTTGACCATCTTTTACTAGGGTATACTGTGCAGCTTACACATTTGTCCTTTTTCAGACAGCTCAGTCATTGGGGCTAAGGGGCCGGCAAAGCCACCAAAGAAAGTCAATATTGTGGAGTCAGTTCTGTCGGCTGTGTAATTTATATTCGTTTTGAAAATTACGGATGCCATCAGCATCAATGGTTACCAACAACCAACTACGAACAACACAGCAATAACAGTCCTACGGATAACTTGTAATTAATTTTCGTTGTTGTCCGAGGCCTGTTTGACAGTGGTATGTGGTCATTCCTGCGCGCCGTGCGTTTCGTCCGGACCGTGTTTGTCTCTCCGGCTATATCCTCCCGAGTCTAAAGTTTACCGTCGGTACACGACCGCCTACCCAGAGTTAGACGGCGGCCCACGGCCGGGGAGGCCAATTTGGCCGCGGTAACTAGATCAGTGACGATATGGGGCAGTATCAGGAGCACGCCGGAGGGCTCGTGTGCCACGTGGCTGCACGTGGGGCACGTGGCGCCGATATGGGCCGGTATCAGGGAGGCACACCGGCGGGCGGCTCGCGGTTGCCACGTGGCCAGTGGCCACAGTCAACACAGCCGGCGGACCATATGGAGGGCCGGCCGGCCCAGCTGTGCCGCGGGACGGGGGCACGCCGAGACGGTCTCCCTGGGGGTGGAACTCTGTTAAAATAGAGATAAAAGCAGTTTTTGATTCTGACGTCGGCATGGTATGGTTTTTGCAAGGCTGCTAGGAGATTGGTGATTCGGTCGCGGATTAGAGTGACAAATTTGTCTTGATAGAACATGAAACAGTCATCGGAAAAGGTCAGCGAGCTTCCTAGTTTGTTACGTAATGCTGACAGAAGGGAGCCCTTATTATTTTACGCCGGCGTTCTTACTTTGCACAAGGATCTCATTCCGTGGCTGTCACTGTTCTTGAGCGGTTCTATTACACTGCTCGGCGAGCTATAAATCCGCCGCGCCGCTGCAAATCATTGATCCCAATTTTGACCAGACATTGTCTAAGCTAAGTGAACGGGGACATTTGACCTATAACTAGGCTACGCTGGTATGATACCTTCGTGTTCAAATGGCTCACAGGAAACGGCACACAATAATATGGATGCGCATTACTCCGCCATTCTTCAGCCGCACTTATTGCGGCTGAAGAATGCACTTACTGTCCTGGTCACACACGGCCTTCGGTCTGCTTACATAACGTTCAACTGTTGCCTAGCTACGTTCGGAGAAAACCATCAGATGACGTCTGACGACACTCGCTCTAACTCCAGTCGACATGCATCGGTGCCCTGTCGGCATGGTCGCGTCGATCACCGTCCCCATATCACCACTTCCAGAGAGGAGCGGGCGGGACGTCGCTCCAGCGCCGCTAGTGGAGTGTGCCAAGGGACGAGCGATATTGGAACGAGCGGCGAGCGATATAAGGATGGGTGACGGCGATATTGGCGATAGTTCTGCGTCATTGGAGCATCCGAGCGTTACGGCGGGTGAATTGGACGGGATGTAACTGCTCGTCGTGCAGTGTTGCGAGGTTGGCAGTTGCTACCTGCTGCCTGGGTCTTGCAAGGGTTTTTTGTTCGGCGTCACCGTCTGCGATCTGGATACAGTCCTCAAGGTGTTTTGATTAGTGCAGGATTTTCTGTCTGTGCCGTTGCCTGCCCGCATTTCCACAGGCATGATCATTGGATGGATACCAATGGAAATGTGTCCTTGTTTTTTTTTTACGTCACTCTCAATTTGTAAGTTGATATTTTTTATACAAAACAATTAACTTGAACAATGATACCAGTGGATGCATGGATTTCTTTTGACCTAATTGTAATGTTGTCAGCCACTCAAAACACCATTTTGAAACCCGATGCAGAAGTGATACGTTGTTTCCTGAATCTTACAGCGGGATGGCAATCGTGTCGTCTTCTTACATAAAATATTTCAGTCTCTAAACGCGCCATGACGAAACATCTCCCGGGGAGCTGTCACGTTGTACATAACTGGGTGACCGCCGGGTTAATGGTATGTGTCCCCGGCCAGCTGCGGTATTTTACAGAGTCGCCCGTCCCGGCCGAGATTGTGTCGCCATCAGTCACCGCTGCTAACGTCAGCTGGCGCAGTGATGTGGCCACGGCGACATCACTGTGACGAGCGAGAAATGGGCAGCTGTGTGTTCCTCAGTGATTTAGGTGTACTGTATGTAGCAGATACTTGAACAGAGACTGAGTGGGACCCTATAGCTTGAGAGACTGAAACGGTGAGCATGTGCTTCGACAGTTTTTGTGTTCCTCAACTGGCTCGTACTTGGAAACGCCTATCTCCGGAGAGAAAACATTTATGCCTCCATCCAAAACACATGTTTTTGCATTGCAATGAAATTAAATGATATTTTCTTACAATTATGCACAATCAACGTAATGAACTTTTCATTTACATTTGTTCTTAACTTTCGTCGAAACGCATGTGCTATTTGTTTCATTACACGCATCTGTTATCATTAAGTAAGTCTGTTTGCCTGCAGTATGTCATTATGTAAAGTTCAGCTTGGCTGGATTGCTCTGGATACCCAGAATGTCAGGGTATCCGAACGATGCAAAGTTCGTTGGAGCTGCCACAGAAGACAGATTGCCCAGAAGACAGTCGCACGCATAGATGAGGGTGATTTAGCACTTGGACAGCTCAAAGTTGCCAGATAGTTTGGCACATCAATGTTTTTAAAAAATCGCAAGCGTACATTCCCTCCAAAGGCTTTCTGATAGCACCCATTTATGCCATTTTTGTACAGCCCATCATGGAATTATGGCCCTTCGTCTGCAAGCCGCAGTGCCCCTTAGGTTTTGCCCTCTAGCTAATGAAATGGCCTCGTGCCGTTTTGCTGTTGTGGTTACGGCGATACGGCTTCCAAGTTCCAACCGTGTCTGAGAGCCGCACGAAGAGGCCATGTTAGGTGCGCCTGACTGGAATACCGAGAAGGTGGTGCGATGTTGGCCGTTTGAGAGACCGAGCTTCTCTGGCGGCGACCTTGGCGTGTGAGAAGGGCGCAGTGTTAGAGGTTTTAGTGCTCCTTTGACTGCTGGGTCAGAATAGCACCTGGTTGATGCCTTTTGAAGGCACCGCGGTGATTTTACAGGGCTACAATCAAAGTACTTACCATGGCGATGTCTAGCCTCAGCGAAGGCATCTGTTCGGGGTACAACCACGGCTTAAAGTGCGGGCTATGTCGCTTTTTCCAGGCCGGGTACTTCAGACACGCCTTGTGGAACCGCTTCAGCATCTGTGGAAGTAGGGTAGAGTGAGCACTGAGCAGTGAGACATGTGGGACACAAGTGCGGTCTCCTTGTGAAAGACTTGGTGGGGTACGTCTCTCTGAAGCTTGGGAACATTAGCATGTATTTCTACCATGATATACTTTCATCAAATGTTAAAATAAATCCCAGCTCAATAATGTAAATAAACACGGGCTCTTCTGTGTTACGTAACGGAGGATTGACAGTGATTCACTCTCGTCTCGCGCTCTACCACCCTGCTGGTACTGCCTACAAATGGCCCGTTCCCAGTTGCTACCCGGCGCCCTGTATCGAATTAGCAGTCAATCGGAGTGGTTCGTGCTCCGGACCCTGATCACCGGCCGCTCGCAGCTGATCTAATTTGTCCCGGCCCGGCCGGACAATGCATACGGACCGTCCGGACAATACGCACGGACAGTCCGGCGCCGAGGGAGCGGTTTGAGACGGCACGAACGGTTCACCATCCCTGGGGCTCGCTGTATCTCCGGTACCGGGGCGCTGATTGTGATACGAGCTCGGCATGGACACGAATAATGTATCACTGCAGTTTTCAATGAAAGGAGTTCTCACTTTTCAAGTTCACGACAGAAGATTTAGTTTATTCAGCTGTTGGTCGGTTCGTAAACTTTCCCAACTTTCCTGAAACTGGTTCTAGTAAAGAACGAATCTAAAATCGTCTGAATAAGCAGACATTTGTAAGCATGACTGGCTCGCTGCAATCGAAACAAAAATGGAACATCTCACGAAATGACATATGCTTTATCTCAGATCTCGTATCTAGCTCATCAGCATGCTTAACATGAAAAGCATATTTCATAGCTTGTGTGAGCTATCCTATTCCAGTGAGGCATGTTTCATTGTTAAAGGCAATCGAGACTGAGCTCCACCCTAACTCAGCAGTCACTATCAGTTTTTCTCATTTCCACCTCACCTTGGGTGCCATGATCTGCGTGGCCTTGTTGACCAGCCAGGCGGGTAGCTGACCTCCGATACTCATATGAGTGACGTAGTGCACCTGACACCCCTGAGGGGTCAGCGGCCGCACCACGAACCCTGCCGGGGGCAGCCGGGTCACATACAGGGAGGTCAACCGGGTCACACGCGGGACGGGCAGAGGTCAGCGGGTCACAAACGGGAAGAGGCCAGGAGAGGCACTGTTCACCGCTCAATGTCAAGTCAAAATCGGCTAGCGGGAGGTCACAACCGGTCAGCGGTATAGGTTACAACCGGTCAGCGGGAGGTCACAACGAGGCCATGAAATACGACCGTGGTGTCGGCACTAATCGGAGGGTTCTCAGCTGATAGGGCCTTTTGTAGACACGAAGCTGGACTAAGGACTAATGCCGACACCGTAAAGCAACTTTGATGGGCCACAAATGAGAGTGACCTCGCATGACGAAGGTGGTCACTGGTCGGTCCGTCTAGCGCATCTCTGAGGGGATGCGCTAGACGAGCCTGACGGTTCCTCCTGGAGTAAATGAGCTTTGTCACATTTGGACGAAAGCCGTTTGGACGAAAGATAGTGGCGATTTATCTCTCCAAATGCTGTTAGCAACTGCTCTGTGTGCTGTCGTTTGTGGCATGGGTTCAGCGAATTGCGAAATGTGGTTTTACACCCAGTTGCTGGAGGAACTGGATACATTGGACTCTGCCAATGTAGTTTTTGGACTGAGATTGAGGATAATAGTAGTTCGTATAACTTGCGAATCCATACGAAAAGGACTCGTTCAATAAGCAGGATCCGGGTTCTGTGGGTTTTTGCTGGGGCGTATATTAGGGAGGTGCGTAAGGCATAGGTAGATTTATCTTTGCACGCACGCCTGCACATCACTAGGTATTAATACCGAGGGACCGAAATCACTTACGAACCCAAAGCATTGCTTCAGTTGACACGCTGGAGCTGGTACTTGAGTGCGAACAATGCTCAGAGATAGTTGAATGCAGCTGAGGATCTCTGGTCTGAGTAGTTTCACTTGAACATATTCAGCCATCAGTTTTGTTTGCAGTGCTATAACGAACATAAAGGTGGACCTTAAAATTAACCTTTCGTCATCGCCGACCACCTCAAGACGACAGGCTTTTCATCTTATTTTGTTTCATACAACGTAACTTTCGTTGTTTCATTTTCATTTCATTCGTTGATAAATGACTAATGCACAAGCCATTGGTAGATTGGAATAGAAAAATGCTTATAGCCGGCTTCAGAGTCCTGTCAGCCCGGCGCTCGCGGCCGCCTGCGGGCAGACTGTTCCGCAGCGCAGCGCTGTTGTGCGGCACAGTCTACCTAGACCGAGCGCCGGATCCAGCGAGACTCGCCCGCCCGCCGGCCTCATCTTTCATAGTTTGTCTGGGGTGGAAAGAAATTGCTGCGCTCGTCTGTTATTGGTTGAAGTTAGGGGAAGATTAATGGAACCCTTGTGAACTTGACACGTGAACAGACGTTTACCGGTTGCGGGGAGGCTTCTCAGAAAATGAAGAAAACATGGGAAAGGGATATAGATTGCCGGTCTAACAAAGAACGAAAATTCGCTGATTGTACCGTCAGACTATCGTCGGTGTTTGAGTTTGAACCTACATTCAGCTAAATGATGGCGCGAAAACTATAAAAATGGTGGATGAGAGTGCGCACACAAAACCCTGAAAGCGCCAGTGAGACGCCATATATGGGCTTGAGTGAGACACTCACCGGCTAGACGTAAGATCACTCTTACCTGCCAGGTGTGAGAGAGCGCGCACGAAGCCTTGCCGCGGCGGGTAGCTCTGGTGTGACACCGAGTGACTGAGGATGTAGTACTCGCGACCCGTGTCCAGCCAGGAGCGCAGCACCACCATATCCCGGTTACGCAGCGGCGGCACGCACGACACTGAAACGAACGGTGCGGGAAATTTCAACAACAAAACCACAGTTCTGTATCAACGGTCGTCTGGCCGGGACACGCTGTATATTTATAGGTACTCGTGTCCACTGGGGTCTATTCTCGTAGTAACCTTTCAGACAGTTCTCAGAATCAATTGTGCGGAGCTGCCTACCGCCAGACCCAGACACTTGTAATCCTCTTGGCACCCCAGCGGCTACCGTTTGAGTTGCTCCCGCTCTGAAGAGGACCTGATTTCCCGGGGGGCCCGCTCACCGTCTCCCTTCCCCTGCCCACCTGCGTAGTAGCAGATCTCGTTGTTGGGGTTCAGACAGCCAGCAGAGTGCGACTCCAGGCGGCTCTTGTCCCAGCGCTTCCAGTATTCCTCGTCGTGTAGGACGTCGTACGCGGTGGCCGCGTCCACGTCTAGAAGAGTTGTTCGTACCTGTGTGAGAGAGCGGGTGGCGCGGCTAGGTCAGACAACAAACAGCTAGATTAGTTTATTAATGCAAACAGCTTTTCTGGTCCTCGGACAGGATCACCACGGTACAAAATGACATAATCAGGCATCTTACAGCGACACATCAAACCTCTGAGCAGAAAAGGTCTTATCTAAAAGTTGTCCGAGGGGTTATATCCGATTTGAATGTCAAGGCACCGGCACCTTTGAGCCATGCGGGCTATAATTTGCGCCATTTGTATACCGTCACCCATATCAGCGTCTGGCCCGCACTGAAGGGCGCCTATCTCGGGCCACCTGCCCCCACCGGCGCCGAAATCCGTTTATGGACCCACGTGGGCATGTGGCGTCACACAGGGGCGATATGATAGCGGGATAATAGTACCCTGACGTCAGACAAGCTGCGGGAGGGATGTTGGCTATTGGGGAAGGTTCCGGTGGATGAGATAGATACGTACCTACTAGTGGCAGACTCGCTATTCCTAAACCATTAACCATTTAGTGGATGACTGATAAATCTGTACTTTGGCTTTGCTTAGACAATGCATGCAAGATTTTCTTACGCGGGCGCCTATCTACATATGATTGCATATTGTTCTTTTATGTCTTCATTTTAGTATGCAAGAGTACCTAAAGCTATAAGCTGCCGATAGTGTTTCCTGTTCACCACAGGAAAACATGTCAAAGACGCCATTATCGTCGGCGCATTCATTATCACGACTCAGTATATCTTACCTTCACCATTTTGGAGGTGTCGCTGTTGGTGTCTCTGCTCCAGACGTTGAGTGATTTGTTGCTGAACTCGACCTTCCAGCCATCATGCTGGTCGGCCAGAGCCACCAGCTCCTCAAAGTCCTTATCCTCTGCGATGCGCACCTCGCCGAGCCGCATTCTGGTCCGTGTGTGACGTGTGACGGGTGACGGGTGTGTGACGCCGGCGGCTGACCCGTGTGACGCCGGCGACTGGTGACCCGTGTGACCACCGCAGGTGTCCGGCCCCGGTCCGATCCGCTGACCCTCGCTGACCCAGATGGGCGCACCGTCCGCTGACGGAGAAAAGTGCTCCCTCCCTGACTGACACTCAACTGCGCTGTGGGACAGACAGGGCGGCCAGGCGCGGTTAATGCAGTGGAAGTTTCATGAACCAGTTATATAATCATAGATGTGAAAGGCTTTAGTTTGACCTTTAACCAGCGGATTAGCTAAATTAAATAAGATAAATGAGAATAACGTGGAGCATAATAACAAACACTAAATTCGACCTCTAAATCGTCAGCAAAGTTATCGCTATTAATTAACTTTAACAGCCAGTCCAGTACCATTGATGAACATTACCTATGTAAGGTAAACATATGCTTTATACACGTGATGTGTATGCTCATGTCTCAACACAATTAAACATTCCACCAACTGCATTATTTTCCTGACTCCCTAATTCGGTATTCAATCGCGCTGCTCCCGGTCCTCTGTGTTTCCCGGTCGTTAGGCCGTCCCCGTCCTGTGTTCCCGTGCAGACGATTTCCCGCGTTCCACCCCGGGGAGAGGTCACGACAGCTCCTAATCAGACCCAGCGGTGATTAGCGGCGACGGCATGCATCGCCCCGCTGTCTCCAAGGAGACGACGGTCGTGAAGATAGGGACGGCCGGGATATTATACTGCAGCGAGGATAATGTTTTCCCCATTAGACTCTGGGCTTTGTGTTGTAGGACTGCTGCCGCTAGGTTCTGCTTGGGCGATGTAATTTGAAGGCCTCGCTCTTCAGCAGAAATTGCGGAGTCGCATCTTATTCGTATATGACTGTATGTTGCTCAGCCCTGATTTTCCACGGCTGAAAGAAGAAACTATCGATGCTTTCCTCTCTATCGAGCGCTTTTGTTTTGCCCTATGAATGAAGTGTGAAGAACGACAACGTTGTTATTACTTGATATACATTCGTTTAAAAATCACTTTATTTTCTTAGTATATTTTTTTTTGCAAATTTTGGGTAATGCAATGCTTTTATACGGGTATCAAGCTGATCCAATGCCACCTTTGTGCTCATTCAACCTGGCGTTACGTCATATCTGTGACGTCATCTCTGTGACGTCATTACGGTCACTTGCCAAAGACCTTAAAACTGATTATGTAACAAATTCATTGCATTACATAACAAGCCGCGCAATTCTTTTTAGAAGTTGCTGGCGAACAATAACGATCGAAATAATGTCGAGCCATGAGCTTTATCCCGGCTTTGGTGTATTGGGAAATCGTTGCGTCTGGCGAAATTGAACATTTTCAACACGATTTATGCTGAACATAATTATATTTGCTTAAATGATTTTGTTCCTCTCTGTCGTTACCTACGGGAAAGAATCCCGAGAAACTAGGTCGTGCGTCTTAAATCAGCCCTGCTCGTGTGCTGACCAACCCACCACAAAATCAATGTTTTATCACCACACACCATCTTCCATAAAATGCCTTCGCGGCTGTTTGACACGGCCAAATTAGGCTATCAAAGCTTGACGGGCACGGACCCACGCGGGTGACATTAATCCGGGCGTTATGCACGGCCTCTGACTAGCTACCTAGCTGTTATTTGACGATCACCCCATACTTCATAGCGCAATAGTGCATGCTTCATGTGTCGAAAGACGTGTTTCGTCTCGACGGCTTTCACTGATCTCAGGGCAGTCTGTGACTGTGCAGTATCAGACGTTTCACGGTCTGTATCCCGATACCCCTCCCCTCTCCCGCGGAGCTGTAACGGCAGACGGTTTAACTGTCTCTCCCGCTCTCCCCGGGCCTGTGGCGGCTGCGGCGGAGACAGAGCCGCCGGGTGGTGACGCCATTGATCCGCCCCCGCCCCCGCCCCCGCCCGGGAGCGGCGGGCCGGGCGCCTCTGATGGGCGGGGATCGACCCGGGCCGATCTGCTGACCCGCCAATGACACGTGCGCATCGAGTGGCAATCATAACAGAGAGGGCGAGCTCTATTCATGACGGTCAGTCATAACACAGGACATCAACTAATTAGCTATAAGGAAATGACGAGGACCGCTAGGTCATCAAAAAGTTGATGGGAACAGGGTGGTCAACACGGATGCATATTGCATATTCATATGGGCTTTACTCCAGCTGCCATTGTTTGCCATTCCAGATGCCTCAACGTGGTTTGAAGATCGTTCAAATGCACTATATTTCAAACAAGCTCATTACACAACTATCAACTGAAATACACACGTGTTTGCAAATGAATATTATTTTGATTCTACCGCTTTTAATGCCCTTTACCCTTAGTCGGCCAATCAATGTGAAAGGGTATCCATCTCGTAAGAAATGTTTTGTGAAGTATTGCAGGCTTGTGGACGGTCCACGGGCTTAGTTATGAAATGTCGCGTGTGTCACAGTGGACCATTTCAACATACCTTTCCACCATACACGGACAACACGAAACACGGGCTACTGGACTAACCCAGAGGAACACCACGGACGCACGCAACTTTGTTTGCCGAGCTTCGTAGATACTTTGAGCCGATTACGTGCCCGGCTAGTATTGAAAGGAACCGAAAAGGGGGATTTGTTATTCTAGTCTTCGCAAACTTGAAAAAGGCTTCAAGTGTTCGCACTATATAGTCTGATGCTTTAAGTTCTCTCCAAATCAGCACAGAGATCCAGGATCCTGCCTAAGGTGTAAACGTTTTCAGTTCGTATCGGTTGATTGCTACAAGCAAACTACGATTTAGTGTCAAAAGGAAATGCAAGATTTATCTTCTGATTCTTCTCATTGCAGAAGTTATGAACTCAACATACTGAGGAGTGAGGTGTACTGCTGAAGCGTAGCACGACACCAATGTTGTTGGAGTGAGGTTCAACATATGCCTGCAGCATTCATCACGGAGATTCGATGATCCATTTTGAGAGCCGCCCGCAACGACGGCACCGCAAGTTTATGGTCGCAGACAGCTGCAGAGGCTCGATGCATTTTATACATTACAAGCCATAAATCAACAGTTTAAAACAGAGTGGAGCAGAGCATATATTGGCTCATAATTTCATAACATAGTGTCCTACACCGACTTTTCATGAAGTAACTGCGTGGAAATGTTAACCCTCGCCGGCCGAGGTGGGGGGGGGGGGGAGCGGGTGCCGCCCCCCATAGCTTTTTTCGCGATAGCTCCGAACACGCTGGAGATAGAGAGCTGAAACTTGGCATACCTGATCTTTGATTCAAGCCGGATCTTGTGACACCAACCGCAATTTCAGGTCAGCTCAGGTCACTGATCTATGGCGTCATAAGTGAGCCTCTGCACGGTCTTCAGATGTCGCAACTTCGCAACGCCCTCACTGCCAGAGGAGCTTTCACAGGGAAATGAAACTTGCAGGATCTTATATCCATTACGAGTCTCACAACTTGTTTATCTCGGATTGTCATGTGAGGTTAGGTCATTTTCGCGACCTCACCATTATAAGTCAATGGGAAAAATGAAAACTGCTATTCTGGCGCCGGGAACGATCTCCAACTATCTCAAGCCCACAGAATCAAGATGTTGATGCACTCCTTGCAAGGTTACATGCGTCACTTTTGCATTGTGGACCTTGTGTGACGTCATTTATGACGTCATTAGGGTCATATTAGTTTTTCGTCAATAACTCCCGATCAAATTGAGCTAGCGAGTCGGGAATGCCACCAATGGACTCGGAAGACCTGCCGAATCAAATAATATGCGACATGACCTCCTTTGATCAACTTCGTGACTTGGGAGGCGCTGACCTGACCGTGACCTGAGGTCAACACCCTAAGTTGACCTCACCCAAACAAAAAGTATATCATTCGACGCGCCTGAGCGAGGCGAACACGATGCTGCCAATCGATCGCGGCTCTGCGGCCGTTTTATGCGAAGCTATTCACCGAAAACGGAACCGTACCTTAGGACACTTGACCTGACTTCAGAGATCACCGGTTGACCTAGGACCTTAAAATCGGGTACCAATCTCTGCGTCTCGTAACGGCGCACACGCTTGACGCTTTTTTCCGCGATGCGCTAGCTCCACCAGGGGCGAAACGGCGAGGGGGGTGTCGTACCCGCCCCCCCCCCTCGGCCGGCGCGTATGTAGAAAACCAATAGGTCCGGCGAGGGTTAAGGTATATGTCGAGCTGGTGATGGTGTCTAAATAAAAACAAGTTTGGGACCGGTGTCCATTTCACGTCTGTTATATGACTAAGCTCCACTAATTGATATGCATCATGGGCTTTTCTCAATTCCTACTGTTCGCTGCATACGATGCTAATTTGTAATTACAGCATCCATTAATTGTAATGATGTCCATAGTAATTTGCATAAGTAGGTGTAACAAAGAGGAAATGGAACAACATAATTATCCGTAACAACGTTACTTTTTCTTTGACGCTCAATGTGAATATGTACATACAAGAACAGCGACACATAAATGGTGAGGTCACATATATCCTAGCGCGATTGCATGAGCGAACTTATAGCAAAAACGCATTTATTTGGCAACATTTGAGTCTGCGATGGACCTAATCTCGCCATCTCAATGGCTGAGCTTGCGGAGGAAATATGTTCCAAACGAGGCGCCGGCTGTCCGGCTGGAAAACGACTCACCACCGTATCCGCTGACTGTTGTATGAACACACAGCTTCTCACTGGCTCAGATCTCACTGTCGCCACCGCACTGTCTGGTTCTCACCGCTATCCGCCAACCACCGTTACACCTCAGCGATTCCGAGATCACGGTACCTGCACTGAGTCAACACTCAACACTCACGAACGGTTCGTGACAGCGTGACTCACCGTCACGGCAAACTGCACGGCGAGTCACGACCCTCGACACCTGCCGCGTGACACGTCGGAGCGGAGTGACGCCGTGTGTCGGGGAGCGTGACACGTCGCCGACTGACGCGGACACAGGTGGCGGCGCGGACGACCGTCGGTCCGCCCGCCGCCGCCGCGCCGATCCGCCCGTCGTAGCGCCGGCCGTAGCGCCGGCCGTAGCCCGCCGTTCGCCAGCTCCGGCCGCGGGCTGCAGGCCTCCCAGCTGTGCCGTATGGATCCGCGGGCGGCCGCAGGTCGGGTCGGCGGGTCGGCGCCGCTCGTCTGACCCGCTGCCGGCCGTGGGATGAGGCGGCTACAGTGGCCGGCGGGGTCACGGCACCGGAGAGGGTAATGGCCGCCACACGAGAGGAGGCAGTCGCCCCGGACATGGCGGGCCGGGAAGGAAGAGCAGCGCCGGTAAGAGCCGACGTGTCCGCACCCGACAGCTGTTAATTATTACCCGCGGTGAGGCGAGCTTCAGCTCATCTCCTGCGAAGTAGGAGACAGGGAGTACTATTCAGAGGGAGGTCACGTAGACGTATGGTTCCGAATTCCTGTTCAGGAAACTGCGTGGGTAGCTCTAGTTAAATATAAAATGATACGATCGCAGTCGATTTCCCTGAAGGTCAGTGGAGTCTCATAACCTTTCAGCCGGCTTCGCTGCGATATTTAGTGCATGTTTCTCCTGCTTGGACTGCAATAATTTGCCCAATAAACTTCTGCTTTCATTTCAGTTCGATGGAAATGCATAGCGCTGCAAAACTTCAGCAAAATATTGCAATGCTCATGAAATTGCATAATACACAATACACATGCCTTAGTAAACATTAGCCAAAACGCATACTTTATAATGGTTACGCAATGTAGTCGACTGATGTGTGTGTAATGCTTGCCTGAGACAGAAAGGCATCTACGGATATGAATTGCGTCTCCATGATTTCTAATAAGCTGTAGTTCAACGAATTACGAGCCACCACTTTTATACCCAAGTAGGCAGACTTATTCTAATGAACTGATATTGCTATCATAAGGCACACTTCGCAGTCGATGGATCGTTGCTTTTCCGTTTGTAAAAGCTTTTCCACACGAATAGGCAACGATCCATCGGCTCCGAAATGTTTCTTACCATGATTTCGCGAATCAAGTGTTTTTTTCTTCAAATTACAAAGCACATATTATAGGGGCTAGATCCTATAGCGGATCCTACGTCAATGTAACGGAAGGGACCGTAGGCGCCGCTGGAACAATTGAGCCGATATTGCGAGTATGGCCACTGAACGGAGAGTTCTGCGGAGACGTTTCATGACAGGATCAGAGAGGCTTTTACGTCGGCGCGTTTTTTACGAGCACTTGATGCTAACGACACCGGTCTGGTGTTATTGGATGGGGTGACAGTGAGGGCGTGCCTTGAATAACAATTACTCTGATGTCTCTCAAGGTTTTGCAGGTGTCGGAAACCTTTTACAGGAGAGTCCCGTGGCGATAATATTTCTACAACGCCCTGATGTACGGTTTTTTCATACCACACACGATATGATTTAATAAATTCATGCTTTTCATTTTTTAATATGAAACGGAACCAAGCGTGACAAGTTACCGCAGCGCAGCCATCCGTTAAGTAGCCACTGCTATTTTCTGACACAGCGGGGTGTCACTGACACGCCGTGTTGATAATCTGGCGGCCGTGTGGGATGTGCCAAAGATGGCTAGACGGCCTCCCGAGACGGCCCAATGTCGATCCAGATGCTAAGTTGGTCTCGCTCTGAGCGGGTAAACAGGGCCCGGGAAGTGTGATGGAAAGTTTTAGTCACCGGGCGTCGCAGTAGCATCCTGAATGTTCGATGGGCTGACGTAGTCGATTGTGAATATTGATCAGCGGAAAAATAACAACGGGAGTTGTAAAAACGATTACGACATGAAAAGAGCGAGAGAGAGGGGAAGAGCGAGATAGAGAGAGGGAGAGATTCAGAGAAAGAGGAGAGAAGAGAGAAAGAGAGTGAGAGAGAGAGAGGGAGAGGGAGAGATTCGCGCTTCTCTCCTGCAAAGCACAATTCACAATGCACATGGCATAGCTTCACTAGGCAAGGTTAGCTTGCAATACTCCCGCTAGATGGCCCTTGTAAATGTGCCTCAAGATAGACTGTACCGCAAGGCAGATAAGCTTGTTATATTCCCGCTAGATGGCACAAGCAGTAGGCGCCTAAAGATACACTGCACCGCAAGGCAGGTAAGTGTGGCGCTCTCCCGCTAGATGGCACTAGTAGTGAGCGCCTGAAACTATGCTGTACCGCAGGACAAGGGTAAGTTCGTTACTTGACCGCTAGATGGCACTAGTAGGAGGCGCCTAGCTATATACTGTGCCGCAGGACAAGAATGGAAAATGAAGGCGATGTCAGAGTGCATCTAGGGCATCTTAGACTGCGTTAAAGGGCATCTTAGCAAATTTTTGGTTAACTTGGCTGTTATAACTGAAGATGAGGATTGAGGGGCTTCGTCCTGGCTTTTGGTAACTAATGGTGCCAAAAATGAAGTCATTTCTTCACCGCGGTCAACCTCGCGGTGAACCTTGAAAGCATGATTCTCAGGAGCCAATGATGTGAGATAGTTTTCCGATAGACAATTTCCGAAGTTCGTCGCTGACGGTTGGTTCCACGTCGACCGCCGAGCACCACAACCGCGACTCACACCGTCGCCTCATGTCACGTAATTTCACCGCATGGTCTCTTCCCAAGGTTCATATCACCTTCCATTTCGCCAATGCCCAGAGAAGGCTTCGTGAAACCAACTGACCCTTTGAAAGAAAAATAGGTACGCTAATGATTCGAGATTCGGATTCCGGATCCTATGCTTTCCCGGCTCGTTGTGAGCCGTTATGCGTCCCTAGTCCTAGGTCATAGACAATAGACATCCCCGAGTAATACCGAACACAATGTCACAGTAGCACGTCCAATCTTCACAAGTTCAAACACATAATAGCCAGGCGCGCTCATCAAAGCTAGTGCTCTTAGTTACATTTGAAACTTAACTAACCAGCCAATTTACCGGCCCAATCGGAGATAACCAGAGCTAATGGCAATCAATGAGCGCTGCCCGAGCACTGTGCTGCGAGTGTGACCTCCCGGCAGCCGTCCGGGCCCGTCCGAACGCCGGAAACGCCATCTCGCGAGCTGCAGTACCCGGGTCAGGGTCAAATCAATCGGAAAAGGTCACCGTTCGCTACAGAGAGGTCGATCTAGCAAAGCGACGGGCAGAACTGGCGCGTCAGGGTCCGTTTGCTCTGATGATTGAAGAGGTTCTACTCGTGGCCCCGTGTTTTCCTGGCCTCCAAAAAACCATCAGCCTTCCATCAGAAGTGTTATGCTGTGTCTCAAGGAAAATGTTGATGCTTGCTGACGACTGATGATAGAACAATCCGATACGGGAAGAGTCATGAGGGGGCGAAGCCTGCGATATTGACTTCATCCCGTTCAATTATAGCAGATCCAGCTTGAAAAACGGCTAAGCTATCAAGTGGCGACAGCCGAGATCCTTTCACAGGACCTTCTCCTAGACCCCATTCCCGCCCCCGACTGATCCCCACTCGTCCACGTTCCTTAGTCTGTGAGCTCTGTCCACAACCCACTCGTTCCAACACCCGGTCCCGTCCCGCCCTACGCTAGGCTCCCCAGTCCGGCTCAGCCATAGTTCGACAATCCCCGAGATCCCCCGAAAACCATTCCATCGGCGCAGCGCACACTCAGCCCACAGTAAACGCAGCGCGGTGTATTTACAACAATGGAACGATGGACTATTTGCAGACGAGACGAGCCGCGACGGGCGGTTGCCATAGCAACCGTGGCGGCCCTGGCCACTTCTGCTGGAACTAATCAACAGCAAGATGGCCGACTGGCGAACCGGGAACTATTCCACACACACATACATACTGAGGCGGGAGCGCCGACCGTGGCCGCTACAATAGGCCTCGGCCGACACCGCGATTAGTCGATAACCAAGACAGTCAATCACCACATACAAACCTCTACAGGCCAAATCATAACAAATGGTGTCCGCTAGCGGTTTTCGATAGCCCTCTATACAATATACGCCATTCATCAGGCAGTGGTCGGGTCTCGCACTGATCAGGCCGAGACGGGGTCCGGGTCCGGGTCCCAGGGCCGGCCGGCCGCCGCTCACTGCACCATGTGTCCCACTAGCAGCTCGCCGTTCTCCGGAATACTCTCAATGGCCAGGATGACCTCGGTGGTCTGAATGTCGTCGTCGTCGTCCATATCGGCCATCTGCAGCTGTCCCTGATCGTCCAGACCGGCCTGGTCGCCGTCCACGGCCGCCTGCTGACCGGCCTGCGCCAGCTGCTGCTCAGCGGCGGCGCGCAGCTCGCGCGTCCGCCGCTCCTGCTCCTCCGCCGGCTTACCGTAGTCCTCCTTGTAACACAGCACCTGCATGTGCTTCAGCAGGTTCGGCCGACTGAAGAAGCTGCGTCCGCAGCGGCCGCACGCATGTGCGCGGATCCCCAGGTGACGGTTCATGTGCACTTTGAGGTAGGTCTTGTTGTCGAAGCGTTTTCCGCACGTCATACATGCGTGTCGCCGCTCCTGAGTGTGCGAGCGAAGGTGCTGTGTCAGCGAACTCTTGCGGGTGTACGATTTGGGGCAGAGTTTACACGCGAACGGCCGCTCGCCGGTGTGCTGACGGAGGTGAATTCTCAGCGTGGAGCGCGCCGCGAACCTCTTCGGGCAGAAGTTGCACTCGTACGGCCGATCATCGGAATGGTGGTAGCGTTTGTGCATGAACAGCGTCGACGGTGTGCGGAAGGCGGCCGGACAGACGTCACAGCGGTGCGGCTTGGTGCCGCTGTGGATGTTCATGTGGCCCTTGAGGGTGGCCTTGGAGCTGAAGTGGGTGTCACAGACGCGGCAGTAGAAGGCGCCGCTGTGACTGCTCAGGTGGATGCGCAGAAAGTCCGGGTGGAAAAACTTGTGGCAGACGGGGCAGGGGCTGCGCTTCTCGTGGCCGGAGCGCTCGTAGTGCTCATCCCTCAGCCGGGCCGACTTGAACACCAGGTGACAGGTGTTACACTCGTGGACGATGGGCGGACGGCGGCGCTCTGCCGGGGGGGGGGGGGGGGGGCGTCAGCACGGGGTGGGATAGAACCTACACACTTACCCGAAGCACTAAGTTATCCGGAGCACTAAGATGTGGACACACTTAGTTTACCAGGGCAACTCAACATTGCAGGGACAAGGCGCTGACCGATTGCCTAACACTAGCAAATTAGCAGGAAGACGGGACTAATATCACAGCTCCGCCAGCAGGCACAGCTATGTGGGACAGGCTACCGAACCACAGTTTTCAGTAGGAGCTCCGACGACCAAAACAACTACCCAGTTGCAAACACATAATTGTATCACCCCAATCCTCCGCAAAGCTCCAATCACTGGTTTATCCCCTCTAACAGCCATGGCGCCTCGGACTGCCGGCGATTTCCCGGACAAATGTTCCCGCCCGATGGACTGTAGATGCCCGGAACTGCCGCCGTTACAGCCGTTATCGGCCGCTCTAACCGAGCGCGGCGACATGTCGCAGCAATAAACAGATCGACGGGCTGCTGGACTGGACAACCGACCACCGCCGCCGGCCGGGGTGTTCGGTCCAGCCGGCACCCGACACTCCGACTCCAGCCGGCACTCGACACTCGGACTGGCTCATCAGTCGTCACTCAGGGACAGGGTGCGGCGGGACGGGCGTATGTGGTCGTCAAATGACCCAACGGGCGGGTTTGGTGAGCCATGGCCGGCGTGATTTGTCTGAAATGTGTCCCGAGATCGCCCCTCGGTGCTGAGGAACAACTGTGACCAGACTTTAGCGGCGATAAGGCAGCGGAGGTTCCCGGGAAACACGTCTTACTGCTCCACAAAACCCCGGCTGCAGTGGAGAGATAAGGGGGGTAAAACCCGCCTACCTGACAATGCAGCGAGGTAAATGCCCCCCCCCCCTTTAAAATGACATCTCTCTCTCTCGCTCTCGCTCTCGCTCTCTCTCTCTCTCTCTCTCTCTCTCTCTCTCTCTCTCTCTCTCTCTCTCTCTCTCTCTCTCTCTCTCTCTCTCTCTCTCTCTCTCTCTCTCTCTCTCTCTCTCTCTCTCTCTCTCTCCCTCCCTCCCTCTCCCCACTCACTCTTGCGTCTGTGCCGGCAGCTGTACTCGTGTCGCCGGTACCGGTCGCGTCCGACCAGTTCGTCGCCGCACACCTGGCACACGTAGGTGGTGTTGAAGCCCTCGGCGTCCAGGATGGCCCGCTCGACGTCCGTCAGCTCGGTGCACATGACGCACGTGCAGCCCGGCGTGGGCTTCCACTCCTCGTCTCCGTCCCCCATCGTCTCCTCTGCGTCCTCCCCTTCCATCTCCGTCTCCTCCTCCGTCTCCTGGAGTTCGTGCAGGTCCACGTAGATCTGCTCCGGTTCGGACTGCTCCCCTGTCGGGTCTTCCCGCTCGCCGTCCGTCGTCTCTCCCTTCTCCGTCTCTTGTTTGGTGGGTGATAGTGCATGGTCGTCTCCCTTGCCGTCGGCACTCTCATCTGGAGGAAGATATGACACCGGTCAGCACCGTATCAAATGGACGCTGGAAACATAAAAACGTCGACACACCGAAGAGCTTTTATCGGTTAACGAGTCGCTGAAAGTACTGGTATGATCTGACAGAACCATTACATCGGACAGACGACACAGCGGGAAATTGAGCGCAGATGGAGACGGAGCAGCATCTGACGAGCACTGGCACCTCTGCCGGTGGCTGCTCAGCCATCGATCGCGGCAGCTTCAGACCGTGTTGACGTCAGGCCGCGTCGTATAGGGAGTATGACAAACACATCACCTCCCGGCCAGGTTATTGCTTAATGGCCGCGCAGAAACGCTTTTTATGACCGGTCAGCCGGAGGAAAAGGAAATAAGGTGAGCCATCGCGACTCAACGAGACGTCGACCTATTCACATACAGCAATATCACATGATTTATTAAAGGAAATGAAAGCTAAGACAGACCAGTGAAGACGCATATAGAATTTTGAAGCTTTAAGTGCAGACGAGAGACTCACAATAAGACACATTCATACTCCAATTCTACGGCGCATTTACTGAGATCGGTCAAAGCCGTACTCTGATCAGATTGTTGTATCTGATCGGATTGCAAGCTGGAATACCCCGTCCAGTCAAACACACTATACATTCTAACTCACTGTCCAAAAAGGCACACATGACTACGATGAGGAACCACATTCGGTTCTTGGCCCGGTCTGTATCACCACACACATGATGTCACGTCAAACGTAACCATCATACCTAAACTTGAACACACTCGCCCAGCACCCAGTGCCCATTTTACACCGCCCCGATATAACCGTCTCGGACGCTATTTTGATACCCGGCTGGCGACGGTTTGTTGCCGACAGAGAGGCGCCCGGCTGGCCCACGCCGGCAGTAATCAATAGGGACGGTAATGTCTGGTCGCCCACACAACAGCCCGTCGCTGCCGCGCAGACTGGAGCCAACAACCCGGAGCGGGGGAGAGCGGGCATCGATAGAGAGGCGCTGCTCCGCTGGCACAGATCGACGCTGTGATGGCAGGGGAGGGAGGGACTGGTGCCAAAAGCGGAGACCTGGGGTACGCACGACAAAGTAGACTGAGGGGTGGGGATGAAATTGTCTCCACAACAGTGACCACGACCATAGGTGGAGAATTGTGACCAGCTGGGGGTGCTCGGGCGCAACAAATCCGCCGCCGCCTAGCGGTGACCTTGACCCGCGCCGCCCGGCCGCGGCTCCAAAGCCAAGCCGGCGTGGAATTGGGAGAGCTCGAGCACCCCCAGTCCAGCACAATTCTCCACCCGTGACCACGACCAGTTTGCAGTGCCAGTTTACAGTGTTAAACTCGATTGAGTCTGTGTACACATGATGAGTCCCTTTGAACGCGTCAATCCCGGGTGTTTTCCTCTGAATTGCCGGCCGGACGACTTCAGTTAGAGTTCAAAGGACGGGCCCAAATGGATCAAAGCATCGCTCACTCTCAGTGTACTAAAGGAGAGTTGGTCGGGACAATTGAAAGCCTAAGTTTGTTTTGGTGACGAGAGTTCAATGCTCCAAACTACCGGTAAACATCCTAGGAGGTCTTGATTGCGTCGTGTTGCGTAACTATTGCAGACAACCTCCAACAGTAGATGCGGTTATTGTTCACCAAAACAGATAAACATTGACAAAAAACTCTGTCTCGCAACAATATTTCATCATCGGATGCGTCCAACCGGATCAGTGTGGGAGTCACATAAACCGTGATTGACCACAACTGGATCCCGATAAAGCACAACGAGCGACTCAACCGCGACCCACGGCTCACTCAAAACAAGTCGGTTGTACAATCTACATTGATCAAAGATCATGCTCTTCATCCTTCACCCACCCACAGAAACCACCGCCCCACGGCACTCACCAGCCAGAACCGGGTCGTCTTCACCGCCTCTGCTGGCGCCGGTCGTCTCTCCCGGCTCTGTGAGTATGGACTGCTGGTCGTCCCTCGCCGGTAGACTGGCCGCCCCAGCCGGCTCCACGGGCGACTGGGGAGGCTCGGCTGCTGCAGCGGTGACCAGCTCCACGTCCGGCGGCTTCTCTGTGGCCTCAGAGTCCACCGTCACCACGTTCATCGGCTCGTTCTGTGGAGAGGGGCCGGTAAGGGGTTAGAGGCACGGAGGGGAGGGTTAGACGAGGAGAGCGGCTAGAGACATGGAGTGGAGAGTTAGAGGCACGGAGCGGCAGGTTAGAGACACGGAGGGAGACAATAATAAGATTCACGGGACACAGACACTGGTCAGCCACCCGAGTCACCAAAGACGGGTCTACGATCAGCGGTGGAACGAGTCACATATAGCCCACACTCGTGATATGGCTACATTTATATTCCTCAGTTCATTAGTTCTAGGTCAACGATTATTTGAGAAACGTGCTTTATCGAGGGTTAGCTCAGAAAGAAGTGCCGTTATCTGGGCTGAGTGGAAATATCGATTGAGCTACAAATAGGTCTATCAGAGAAGAGATATGACGAGGGCCAGGACCCCGCTTTTAAATCGCTGTAGGATTTCAGCAGCGGGCATTCATTAATGGAGGCACGTCCACTTCTCATCTTCAGCCAACGGCAGCCCCGCGTCCAGCTTTAAAACGCCATAGCGTGTCTGCGGCAAAGTTTGGTCCAATTACCAGAGTTCCCTGAAACTCTCCCGTAGACTGGTCGACCGAACATGGACCCCCTGCGGCTGTCCATTCACCTCCGACCGTTTCTAACGGATCCCCTCCCCCCAGCCCGGTGAGTTTCGGTCCGGGGCGGGTCCCCAGCACTCACCTCGGGCGGGTTGGGCAGCTTGGGTCGGCCTCGCCGGCCCTTCAGAGGGTTCGGGTTCAGCCGGCGGTACGGACGGCGCTGCGGTGGCGGGTCGGCCAGGTATTTACTTTGCTGAAACACGACGGGGTGGTCATTAATATCGGACACTGCATTTACTTTGCAGAAACACGACGAAAATAGTCATTTTTATGAAGATTGAAACAATGATCTACCCCATCAGCGCAGCATAGCAGCTATGATACGAAGCGTCAAGCGATTTCCGCGCGTCAAATATCCATTTCTGAAACGACGAAACATTCCCAACTGGTCCAACATCATTATCCGCCAAACCTCCCAAAGCCAACAAACCCGGGCGGTTCTATCGGGTGAGATCACCGGCTCGTCGGCCGTTGATACCCGGTGTCCGGGTATCACAGGTGTGCCGTGCACCTGTGACCGGGGTCGGGCACCCCGCGGGGGGGAGGGGTGACGGGACACTCACCAGCTCCGGATCCACCAGCACGCGCGGCCGGTTCGAAGCGTGCACGGCGCTCGCCACAAACGCGTTCTTTCTGATGGCGATGCGCGCCGAGCGCTTGTTCTCCGAGGGCATGGTGAGGTCCGTGAGGTGCTCCAACTGTCGGAGAGGGGGGGGGGGTCAACTCTGGGAAGGAAAGAGTGGCAGAGTTCAGACTATATGAGAGCATGCTGCATAAGAGGTCTAGTAACTAGTCAATATTACACTTAGCATATTTAACAATTGACTTCCATATATCATCAGACGGAGCAGATTAAATTTTAACAGCGCTAACCTTAGGGATATGTACAAACAGCTAAATATTCGCAAATGGTTCGCTGGAGGCCTTATGAAACTTTTACGGCGAACAGCAGACAGACTGCATGAAATGAAGCAATCAGCATGCAGACGCGGGGCCAATTTCGCGCCAACAGCATCGCGCGACATTCGTTAGCCAGAGTAACGGATGTTCAGCAGTCAAAAGCAAAGGTCACATGGGCCAACTTTCGGCAGTTTAAATATTCCGAGTGCTGGTCCTTCTGGGGCGATCAATCAGCGTGGTCGCCGGTTATGTACAGTCTGTCTTAACCCTCGCCCATGTAGGGGGGGGGGTTGGTGCAACCCCCCCCCCTGAGGTTTTTCGGAACTAGTGCAAAAACGGCGGCGCGCAGCGCCGCCAAATTTTGGGTACCTTATGGGGCAAACCTTGCGCATCTTTTGATAAAAAAATTTGACCGGGTCATGTCAGGTCACGGAGTTATGACGTCACAAAGGGAACAGCCTCCGGCCGGATTTTCACAAACTGAGTGCCAACGCCTGAGGTTTCCTGCCGGTGGTACGGACATCGGTTGATGGATCGTGATGAAACTTCCCATGCATGTTGGGGCAAGTATTGGCTATCATATGGTATAAGAAACTTGACCGGGTCAGGTCAGGTCACGGAGCTATGACGTCACAAGAGGAACAGCGTCCGATACTATTTTTGAAAAGCGCCCGAACCACTATTTTGCTAATTCTTGTCACCTCAATGGGAATATGCAGCAATATTAGCTTCTATAGGGAGCAAATGGACATCCCAAATCCAAAAATACAATCAGATTTCAAAAATTTAAATTTTGATTTTTCGAATTTCTGCCGCCGACTGTGACCTTGCCGACTTCCGGCGCTCCCAACGCGCCATTTTTAGAGCTAGGGAAACGAAATACATACCAAACGATAGAGAATTGATCAAGGAACACGATAGTGAAGGTTTCAAGTCGATATCTCCCACCGTTTTTCCGCAATCGCCGCGGAAAATTTGAAAAAGTCTATTTTTCCGAAAATTTGACCTTTGACCGGTCAAAAGTAGGTCAAATGTTGACCTAGGACCAAAAAATATACCACCAATCGCGAGATCTCGGCGAGAGCAATCCGTTGGTCTTTTCCGCTAAGCTCTACGACGCTCCGTTTTCAAACGCCAAGGGGGGGTCGCACCAACCCCCCCCCTGCATGGGCGAAGGTGGCAGATCGCCGTTTACGGGCGAGGGTTAAAAGTACCGCGCAAAGTGACGGTGGATCCATCGAGCCTGACTGAGCAAGGGCCTGCTAAATTTGGGTCACTGAAGCAACTGACATCCTTATCCATTCCCTAGGTCAATTGGTCGGTGACTTTTAAATTAAAACAGGCCCTTTCTCGGTCAGGCTTGATGGATCCACCGCCACTTTGCGCGGTACTTTTAAGACAGACTGTACAAGCATCTAGGGTATGCATATAATAAGAGCGACCCGTTAGTACATTCACTGAACATTTAATAAACATAGAGAACGCTGGCCAGCGCTGTTGTCGCGAACTTTACGGTCAGGCCCCACTGCTGGGCAGCATTGGCGTAGCTGCGGTAATAGTGTACAGTCTGTCTTAAAAGTACCGCGCAAAGTGACGGTGGATCCATCAAGCCTGACCGAGAAAGGGCATGCTTTAATTTGAAAGTCACCGACCAATTGAACTAGGGAATGGACGAGGATGTCAATTGCTTCGGTGACCCAAATTTAGCAGGCCCTTCCTCAGTCAGGCTCGATGGATCCACCGTCACTTTGCGCGGTACTTTTAAGACAGACTGTACTCTACGTTCTGTATGACAAGAATCCAAATTTGGCTTTTTGCAGCAATTTATTCGAAACTGAGTGTGCATTAATGTTTGTTGATTATATAGGATGCAAAACGTGTACACAAACCATTAGTTAGTCCAATTGCTGCTGTTGTTTCGCAATAACCCTATATCCCATCCAATTCTACCCCACGTGAATGCAACACTTGAAATAACGGATTACCTGCAGCATGCAGCACCTGAACTGCAATAATGACAACGTCGTCAATTACGACAAAAGACGTGACAGTCACACAACACCCACCAGCTGTGGCCCGCCTCTGACCGTTAGTTCAGTCTACCCCCGCTAGTGGCACCACTGTACAGACCCAGCTGTGCGTCACCAAAGGACCCGCTAACCGGCGCCCGTCCCCAGCCGCCGCCGCCGTGCCGACGACCGTCCCCAGCCGCCGTGACTCACCCTGGGTTCCTCGGGGGTCGGCGACCACGGGCGTGCGTCGCGGGACTTGCGCGGCCCCCGCCGCTGGCCCTTCATTTCCATCCCGGGAGTCCAGTCGGTGTCTCCTGCAGCGCCCGGGTCCATCCATTGGTCGTCCTCGTCCCGCGGCTGACCTGAGGAGAGGTTAGGTCAGGTCAGGTCAGATCAGAGACCCAGGTCTGTCCACTGGTCGTCCTCGTCCCGCGGTTGACCTGGGGAGAGGAGAGGTTAGGTCAGGTCAGGTCAGGTCAGACGCCCGGGTCTGTCCACTGGTCGTCCTCGTCCCGCGGTTGACCTGGGGAGAGGAGAGGTCAGGTCAGGTCAGACGCCCGGGTCCGTCCACTGAACGTCCTCCTTAGCCAAGCCGGACGGCGACGGTGGATCTGAGAAAGATGGGATCAGGTGAGGTCAGGTCAGACCAGAAGAGAGCAGGTGAGGTTAGGTCAGACATAGAGGTAGAGTGGAGATTTGGAGAAGTCAACAGACACCTCAGGTGTAGGCGATGTGTAAATGAAATGAGTGAGATATTTGTTTACTTTAATGAACTTTACTTACTTTGTTTACATGAGTGAGATACCAGGTAGACGGGCAATACTGGGAACAAAGGGACAACTGATAGTTATAATTGCAGGCAAACGCACAACAACGAAAACCTAGCCACCTGCAAAGCAGTCCTTTACTCACGGGGTCGTTTGCGTTTGCGAGCCCACGGACCTCCATCCACCGAGGCCAGGTCACCGACCCGCACTGCCAGCACGTTACGCACGTGACGAGACGCCGACTGCGAACGTAAGAGAACAGAGTCAGTATGCCATAACGGTGCAGCCAATACAGGGACTAATTGAGTCATTTTCTATGAAGAAGTCCATCTGGCAGCATACATTAGGAAATCGAAGGCTGTTCTCAAGCGAACGCGAACAGTGGTCACCATCGCTTAACTTCTTGAGCGTTCCGTTGAGTAATGAATAGTGCTCGCCTCGCCTCCCCCACTCGCCGTTTTGAGCGATCCGTCGCCCGTCGGGCTCCCTACTGACCTTTTTGAGCGGCCCGTCGGGCAGGTCGCAGCTGTCGAGCAGACACAGACAGGCGGCGCACACGCCGTCCGCCGAGCTGACGGTCAGCTCGCGTTGCACCGTGTCGGCCAGCAGCTCGGCCAGCGGCGCGTCCGTGTGCCGGCTGCGGCCCGTCATCAGCGGCGTCATCGAGCCGCCATCGGCCGCCCGCTGGCCGCACACGTAGCACGCGCTCGACAGCTCCAGCAGCTCGGTATCCGGGTCGCCCGGCTCGTCCTTGGGCGCCGCCAGCGCCTCCTGCTGGAGAGGAGAGGAGTGACAATCGGCTATGGGGTGGAGTGTGAGATGATGAGAAGTGGGGTGGGGTGAAGTGTGCAAAGGATAGAGAAGCTACTGTACAATGAGATTGGGACGGATTCGACGATACACAAGCCAAGGCTGGCATTTGACGTTCTAAAACTTGGCCAGCGATTCTGCCTTGCATACGATGCATTGGTTTTATGAAGACAACACCTTTGTGCTGATCGTCTTATGCTTTGTAGTCAAATAATTAATAATGCATCCAGATCGAATAATAGGCAGAATAATTGACAGAATATTAATACAAGCTTGTACAAATTAGACTTGGCTCGCAGCGTTTGCTCCCCGTTTCACCAACACTGTATTTCCGGTATCGCCCGCCTGTCGCTCACCTGTTCCACGTCATCCGCGGCGTGCTGGGCGTGAATGTCGTGCACCACAGCCGACTGTCCGTCCCGAGAGTCGGCGTCCACCTCCGTGAGGATCATCTGCATCGCGTCCTCCATCGAAAAGTCCGCGTCCATCTCTGTGAATAGGAAGCGATAATTAGCCGACAGTCAATGATGGGTTAGTGATAAATGTAAACACATCGCGTCCTAGATCGAAAAGTCCGCGTCCATCTCTACGAATAGAAAGCAAGGAATGTCAGTAACGGGCTAGTGGTAAATGTAAACACATCCTCGATCGAAAAATCTCCATTCCAGCGGACAGTAACGGCTACTGGAAAGTAGCGAGTGAGAGATATGCTATTGGTTTAGAGGAGAACGCCAAAGAAAAGTCGACACCAGCCCAGCTCAAACCAGACAGACTGCTTTTCTGTTTATCGGCGCCGTCAGCGCTGATGTAGGACACCCTGCTCCCCCTATTTACCGGCGTGGTCGGCGCTGATGTAGGACACCCTGCTCCCCCTGTTTACCGGCGTGGTCGGCGCTGATCAGGGGCGGATCCAGAAAATCTCCAAGGGAGGGGCCATTAGAAACCAGGAGGCCCCCCCCCCCATAATCCCACCTGTTGGAGGCCCCATCTTCCCACTTGTTGGGCCCCCCCCCAAAAAAAAACTGCGTCTATTGAGCTTATCTAGCTGTTCAGGCAACATCTCAACATCTGTGCAGGCTTGGAGGCCCTCTGTGCAGGTTAGGAGGCCCTGTAAAAGTGGTCATCTCTGTGAGTATAAGAGACCTCCAAGTTATGAAAAGCCAGAAAAGCTTTACCAATCTTCTAACAAAGAAGTCTTCTCAGCTAGTCTTCTAAGAAATAACTAAGTGGGTAGGTTAAAAAAAAACTCATCGGATTTCGGCCACTTTATTTTCAGGAGGCCCCCTTTTCAGCTTTTTAACTTTTTAACTTTTTATTTCATTTTTGAAAAAAAATCGGCCAAGGGCCCCATGGCCCCCCCTTGTATCCGCGCCTGGCGCTGATGTAGGAGACACTGCTCCCCTCCCCGTTTACCGGCGCCGTCAGCGCTGATGTAGGACACCCTGCTCCCCCTATATACCGGCGTGGTCGGCGCTGATGTAGGACACCCTGCTCCCCCCGTTTACCGGCGTGGTCTGCGCTGATGTAGGACACCCTGCTCCCCTCCCCTGTTTACCGGCGTGGTCGGCGCTGATGAAGGAGACACCACTCCCCTCCCTTCCCTGTTTACCGGCGTGGTCGGCGCTGATGTAGGACACCCTGCTTCCCCTATTTACCGGCGTGGTCAGCGCTGATGTAGGACACCCTGCTCCCCGTATTTACCGGCGTGGTCGGCGCTGATGTAGGAGACGCTGCCGTCCTCATTGGTGACCTGCAGCAGTCGGATGACGCCGTCCGGTCCGGCGGCCGAGTCCGGCACGTGCACCACCACCTCGCCGCTGTCCTCGACCACCTCCTCATAGCGCTCCACGCGCTGCTGGGCGGGCAGCGGCGCCGGCAGGGGCGCCGGCAGCGCCGGCGTCACGGCCACCACCTCACCGGCCTGCGGCGGGGAGGGGGTCCATTCAGAACGCGGAGTCTGTGGCGGGACTTGTCCATTCTTGGTCCATTCTTAGTTAAACAAAACAATGCAATATGAGCACGATTGAGCAGTCATCAGGCAACATGTATTCCAAATATTTCGCATTATTTAAAACGAACACATAATGTTTTTAACAGTGGGATATCCGTGGAGCAGCCAGCATGTCTTACCTCGTTGGTGAACGGTTTGATCATGACCTTCATGCGCGGTTTCTTTGGCGCCGCGCCCTCGTGGGTGGGCTCAGCGCCGTACGACATCCCGGCCGGGAGCACCTCCTCGAAACAGCCCAGGACGGCATTGTACCGGTGCAGGCTCCCTGTGAAAACAGCCAGATCAATGAGCAAAAAAGCACCCAGTGAGCTGCCCAAGACCTAGGTGAACAATACGACAATTAGCTTACCACTACAAGTTCATGTCAGCCATAAATTCAATGGCTATAGTGTATTTATATAACGCACACATGGTTAAATATACAACTAATATATAACGTAGAATCGTTTCAGATGCATACATAGTTAATGTTATGTTCTTAAACAACGAATACATGAAGTTGGTAATGACTCACTGTTGAATTGCCCATAGCCATGATCTCCAGTACGATAAGTAGGAGTCTTGATGTGGAACTTTGGCTTTTTATTCCACTTTGTCATCATTCATGGGTCATGTACCTGTGGACACAATGCAAAAAGCAGAGGGTAAAAACATCATCTGAACAGTTCAACATAAATGGAACTCATCTACTTCTGCTTTTACTTATAAATTACCGTTAACCCTTGGCGTGCTGGAAGGAAGCATTTATACGCCCCCTTCAGGTGCTTTTTCTTAATCTTTTCTGCATATGTTGTGAAAAGTTCAGAACTGGGTCGTCTGAGGTCAGGTCATCAGGTCATGTCTAGTGACCCTATCTCAGAAAAAGTTCAAATGCTCGCCATAGCTACTACACCGAATGAATGATCACTTTGAAACTTTCAGCAATGGATAAGAGTAACAGTATGTATAAAATGCATATCTGTAAAATGTAAATATGCCGGTCCCGTAGTTCAGTTGGTAGAACGCTGGACTCCGCGTGGTGAGAGCACGCGTTCCCGGTTATACCAGTCCAGGTTCGAAGCGCAACGGGCGCTCGACATTTATGGGCCTCCTGAAAGGTATGGTTGCGGTTGGTGGCAGGCCGTAGCCAGGCAAAGTCAGTGAGGGGACCGGCCGTGCGCGGCTATGTGCGCACGTTAAACTTTGGGCTCTAAATTCTGCCATAGAACTGGAATTGCGCGATCGGAGGGTAGAGGGCAGGGTCACCGCAACACGCTTCGCTTAGCGGTGGCTCTGACCTTGTGAATCCTTCCTATCAAAAGGTTTGGACTAAATTTATTTTTTAAAAATCTTGGAATTTGGATATCTGTGACCTAAAGTCAGGTCAATTTTGTGAATCCTCCATTAGGTATAAGTCAATGGGAAAAAATTTGAAATGCGCCTCTTTTGAATGAACCTCGTTCTAAACACTCAAATATCATCTGCTTCAGCTTACATGTTAACATGATACACTGAAAAATTGGAAAATTGCACCAGCGATTCCACTGGGAGTGGGATACCTGAGGTCACTTCAGGTCAGAAAAAAATCCCCAGCAGTTTTTTGACCATTACTTTTGAGTGACTGACAGACATCCTAGAGCGATGAAAACACGTAACATGTGTTCAGCTCGACGATACGAATCAACTGATAAGCAATATCACTTTTTCTGGTCAGGTCATGACCTTGAACTCAGAGTAGACCTGATGTCAATTTTCAAATGACCTTTTATGGTTAAAATTTAAATTATAGTAAATTTATTTTGACGTGTCTCAATGAGAGGAACATGATGCTGGCAAAGTAAATGTTGTGCCTTCATTCAGTCAAAATAAATTTAAAAAAATCAAGCAAAAAGGGCTTTTTCAGTTTTTATCCTCCAAAGGCTAATATGTTGATCCCAGACTGGAAAGAATACACGTTATGCCGAATTTGTCCGGCGTAGTGGCGGGATTGCGCCGAAAATTTCAACGCACGTCCGGCGTAACTTCGCATGCGCCGAATTCAGCGCATGGCGGCGGACGAATTTTTCGGCGCAGGGCGGTTGCATAATTTTTTGGCGAAAGACGGTCACCGAATTTATGCGGTACGCTGGTCAATCTAGCAGCAGATTCGCCCCGCGGGCGGCTCTGGAGAGGTTGCGGAACGAGACGTCCCCGCCCCGGTCGTCGCGTGCTCGAACTGGCGAGCCGCCCTGAGTCTACTCGGCGGAGGAATGGCCGCCCAGGTGAGGCCTCAACCTTCGGCGTAGAGATAGGTATGGAAAATCTTGTTGAATGTCGCCAAGCGTCGTTAAGCAATAGCAGTGGGAAGGAACCCAATGCAGTATCGAGGGGAATGAGAGCGCGGACGACCTGGCAAAATAGGCGGCCGCCCTGCCCTCAAACGCCCGATCGCTGACCAGGGCAGTTCATTGTGCGGCCTCGCATCAGTGGCGCGACAACTGCTCAGAATCACTATTCAAGCCACTCCTCGGGAGCACGCCGCCGCTCCCTATCCCCGGAGAGGACCGAGAGGATGCCATTTCGGTGCACCAGGTGAGGGCGGGCCACCGGGGCCGCTCCCTTCAGTACGGCAGTGAATCGGCTGTCTCCACTCCGCCGCGTGCCAGCAGTGCCCAGACAAGCGGTGCCCAGCGGCGCTCTGCACCGTGAGCTGAGAAGAGGCTGATGTGCCGGAGCAAGTGCTGCTCCGCTGCCCGGCCCTCGCTGGCTCCTGCCGAGGTATTGGGTTTACGTGGAAATAAAAAACTCATTCGAACGCTCAAACATGGGAGAGCGTACAATGACAAGGCCCCGAAACACTCTGTCTGGTTGATATAGCCTTGATCAGTAGATGTGCACATGTGTTTTTTATGAAAAGGCTTAATTTTCGCACAAATAGGCACCTAATTTTTGGCGACAATCATGCAGAAATTTCAGTGCAAAATCGCTTGCGCCGAATTTCGGCGCAAGAGGGTCAAGAGGGAGGGTGTTTTCCAGTCTGGTGTTGATCTTAGGTCAAATCTGAGGACATGTAGGCCAAAGAAGCCAAGGACATGTCTGTCCCGTAGCTCAGTTGGACCTGGGGGCGTTAATAACAAATGGCAGATTGTGCTCCAATTGCTACAGAGGCCAACTCGGATGCCAATGAAGACATGCTTATTGTTATTGGTATGAGGCAAATCCCATGAGGCATGTTTAAATTATAAAGGAACTATGTTGCAATATGGTATGCATGTTACAGTTTGTATCCTATTTTACTAAGTTCATTCTTTGTGGAGGCATCGGCATTGCTCACTAACGACCGTTGATTATTACGGAGCGAGCGAAGCGAGCGGAGTCTTACGTAGAATAACGGAAATTTCTGAGTATGAGCGGCCGGGGCCGGCCGTGGTCACGATTCTGCGACGCTTATATCTCAGCAACCACTTGACCGATTTACATGCGGTAATTTTTGTAGGGTAGCTTCATTCCTTCTACCAAGTATTGGACTATTCCCGATGCATGTGGGTGACCCCTTATGCACGTGCCACGTGCAAAACGAAGAGGTGTCACTTTTGTAATTGTTGCAATATCTCGGTAACTACTTGGCCGATTGCGCTGAAAGTTGGCATGCAGGTAGGCACCCACTAGGCAATGCATATCCATGTGCCGGAGTTGGGGTGCTGCTGCACGTGCGCACGTGCAGGGGTCGATTCCAGATCTCAAAAACGGCTGGACCGATTGCGCTCAAATTTGGTACATGGCTAGGGACCGGTTAGTAGGGTGCGGTGCAAAAGTCAGTTGGGACCCATTTTGCACATGCGCACGTGCAGGGTGCCGCTTCAAGATCTCGAGAACGGCACGGCCGATTGTGCCCAAATTTGGCACATCGTTAGAGACCGGTTAGTAGGGTGCCGTCACCGTGCACAAGTCAGCTGGAGGTACCACCTCGAAATTTCGCACGTGCAAGGCTCACCCTCTCGCTCGCTCCGTTAGTCGCCCCAAAAGGCGTTATACTGGTAGGTAGTTACCTACCTCGGTTACCTCCAGGTCAACCTACCACGCCTGAGTCGGAGTCCCTGTAGAGTCTATACCTAATCGAACTGCCTCGAACTCGAGCTTCGTATGATTGGGCCGGCAGAGCTTATTGAAATATCCACGAAATATCAAATATCTTTTTACTTGCACCGTCTCCTATCTCAAATAACAAAATGGGTCTTCCTACGAAATAATAATGGCATAAAATGTAGAGCAATAGAGGAGAAGCACGAGCAGCTATTGAACAGAGCCGGAGAGTTTGAATATGAAATTCACCAATAAGAATGGATTGGTTGCTTGAAAATGACGTCAGCCAGATATTTTAAAATGTCATTTGTTCAATAAGTTGGCAATAAAATGCAAATTCTTTGATTTATGCATCATAAGACGCTCAAAGTTAAGGTAAAAAATGACTGCGGAAAGATATTCAGAGCTTTGCATGGTATCAAATCGGCTTTGCACGAAAAAGCCAAATACCGCTCGCAGGACACACGACAATTTAGATCAGACTATCAGACATTTCTGTTTCATTTCCTACGCATAAAAGACAAATGTTGATTTAGGGATAAATGAAAATAATTTAGCACTAGCACCTTTGACTAAAGTGACGTCACGGCTAGTCCCGTATTGAAATGAAATGGAGTATTTATCTTTCAAGATAATACTAACAAAAAATGACAAATTTCATCGAAATGAGACATAGATTATGCACAGGTCGACCTTTTGAGCATATCAAGCTCATAACGTTGTTTCCATAAAAATCGCTAGATAGGTATCAAGAAATGCTCTCATTGGCGGATCATTTTACGTATTTAGACCATATTTAGACCTCGATTTAGAATAGCAACCTTTCTTCCATACCTTGCCTGCTTCTTGATGCAGTGCAAGGCCGTATAAGAGAGGTAGAATCATCCCGCGATTTCCAATGGACCGGTCGCTAAGCATTAGCGTGACGTCACTGGTGGAGACCGGGCGGCGCCCGGCTCCAAGCTGTACAGTCTGTCTTAAAAGTACCGCGCAAAGTGACGAGTGGATCCATCAAGCCTGACTGATGAAGGACTGCTAAATTTAAGTCACCGAAGCAATGGACATCCTCGTCCATTCCCCAGGTCAATTGGTTCGGTCACTTTTAAATTATAGCAGTCCCTTCCTCGGTCAGGCTTGATGGATCCACCGTCACTTTGCGCGGTACTTTTAAGACAGACTGTACGTCTGGTACATTTGGCACCGTATAGTTGTTATTACAGAACGACGAACGTAACGACAACTAATGACTCTTAATAACTTTTTTACTTACCTAAAGCTGATTTCCTTGCCGGTACATTGCCGACCCGAGCCCCAGGGTTGATAATCATGGGATGGGATACGGGTCGGATGGGCGACCTCGCGACGGGAGGAGGAACGATTGCTTCCGCACCGCCGATTGCATTCTCTATCTGCACCCGGGAGGAGGGGATGCAGGGGGCACGTGCCCCCATCGGATCAGGGGGCCTCTCGGGCCAGAGGGGCCTTGCGACGCCAATTGGCGGCTGAGGGTCCACGCTGGCATCTTTCGACTCAGAAGGGCCCCACAGGGCTCGGAAGAACACCTTATGTGCTCCGAAGAGCCACACTTCTCTCAATAAGAGCCTCACACCGGCTTTTTAGTGTCCCTTGTCGGCCTTTGAGGGCCCCTTGCCGGCTTCTCAGGGCCTATTGGCGACCTCTGAGGGCTACTTGCCGGCCTCTGAGGGCCCTTACCGGCCTATCAGGGACCAGCAGCTCTAAGGGTTCCACACACGCCTGTGATGACCAGCTAAACCAATGGCTGAAGGCCCCCACAACGGCGCCTGCGAGGGCCCTCACCGGCGGCTGTGAATGCCCCACACCGGTGCCTAGCTGAGGGCCCAACACTGCCACCTCTGAGTGCAGCCGGCACCCCTGAATGAGGTCCCGAAACCAGTACTTCTTTAGGCCATATATCGGCGGCTCTGGGGGCTCAACGCCGGAGTCGCATCGGACGGCCACACACCGGTGACTTTTGAGGCCCCACACCGACGACTCTGAGGGCCCCACTGGCGTCTGAGTGTACCTTGCTGGTCTCTAAGGACTTCACAGGGCTCCCGAAGGCACCGCAGACAGAGCCCCTTGTCGGTCTCTGAGAGCCCCTGTCGGCCTGTAAAGGGTTCGAACCAGCAGCTCTAAGGATCCCACACCCGACTGTGACAACCCCACACTGCAGTGTCCCTGAGGGCCCACAACGGCAACTGTGAGGACCCTCACCGGCGTCTCTGAGGGCCCACAGCGGCACCTCTGGGGGCCCCGCACCAATGCCTCTAAGAGCATCACACCGGTACCTGTGAGGGCCCACACCAGTTGCAGTGCCTCCAAAGGCTTCATAACCGGCGGCCCTGAGGGCCCTACACGGGTGATTTTGAGGGGCGTACCGAAGGCACCACACAATCCCTTAGTCTCGCTGAGCTTCTATCCCAATCCCATACCGGCTTCGATCCCAATTCCGGCTCAGCTAATTATCAGCCTCCCCCCCCCCCCTCCATGGGTCAGCAGCGCCGCGCCGGTGCCGGGGGCCAGCGCCATCGGGGCGGCATGGTCGGCCACGCGCACTCAGTGGTTAGCGCTTAGCACCGCCGGCTAGCGCACGCCCGTTGTGTTATCGGCCGTGAACCGCTCCAAAACGGCTGCAGTAACTGGTCCATATAGGTAGTAAGCAGATGCAGAGATGCAGGTGGATTGATGACCGGCAGGCTTTTGTGTTTTACGAGGGTGAAGTGTCGAAGTCGGCTGCTAAGTGGTGAGCGGATTTTATCAGATGCCGGTTCACTATGACCTTTTTCCGGGTCCTGGTACCCTGACGCGCTCTTGGAGAGCCGAATCACAGCAAAACTCCATCCACGACTGTATCTATACGGCTTACGCTTTTCTGAAAACGTCTGCGTTTGGCCTGCTACGGGCCCGGCCCGGCCGGCCGGCCGGCCGGCCCCGATTGGCGGTCCTCCAGTGACATCACCGGTAGTGTTAAGCTGATTGGCGAATAATACATGGGAAGAACCGGGACGACATCCCCCTGATGCAGCGTAACCGGACAAATCTTCGTATGGCAATTCTTCGTCGCGCAATTCCTCGTCCGCATTTCTTCGTCCGCAAATCTTCGTCGGCGCATTTATTCGTGTCGCATAGCTTCGTCTCGCATTTCTTCGTAAGCGCAAATATTCGTAGCGCATTTTTTCGTATCCGCATTTCTTCGTACGCGCATTTCTTCGTCAAGCATTTTTTCGTCCACGCATTTCTTCGTCTACGCAAATCTTCGTCCGCATTTCTTCGTCCACGCAAATCTTCGTCTGCGCATATCTTCGTCCGCAAATATTCGTCCCCGCAAATCTTCGTCCGCAAATCTTCGTCCGCATTTTTTCGTCCACGCATTTCTTCGTCTACGCAAATCTTCGTCCGCATTTCTTCGTCCACGCAAATCTTCGTCCCGGCAAATCTTCGTCCGCAAATCTTCGTCCGCAAATCTTCGTCCGCAAATCTTCGTCCGCAAATCTTCGTCTGCAAATCTTCGTCCGCAAATCTTCGTCCGCATTTTTCGTCCACGCATTTCTTCGTCCACGCAAATCTTCGTCCGCAAATCTTTGACTGCGCATATTTTCGTCCGCAAACCTTTGTCTGCGCTATCTTCGTCTCCGCAAACATTCGTCCACAAATGTGGTTCAATAAAACCATGAAGAAATATCAGACCATCAAGTGATTGACGAATTTAATGCATGGAATGGATGATCGAAACTTTTGAAGTCAGGTAGATGAGGTCTGTCAGGTGAAGCTATTGTATTTGGGAGCCGAGAATTGTAACATTCCATATCATTTGTGTCCCGGACATTCTTTTTTTCGCGGTCGATGAATGACAATATAATCTCTTGTACCCTCGCCGGCATAGGCGGCGGAACGGGGAGGGGCACCGGGGCACCGTTCCCCTCTTTAATTTTGGCCTTTTAACAGTAGCCCTATGGGGCATGGGCGTTGCATGGAAAGAATGGGACTAAAAGTCGGCAGTGCCGTGCCCCCCCCCCCCCTAATTGAAGGTGTTCCGCCGCTACTGCTCGCCGGACCTATTTGTTTTCTACATACACGCCGGCCGAGGGGGGCGGGTACGACCCCCCCCCCATCGACGTTCATGGAGCTAGCGCGTCGCGGAAAAAACGAGCGTGTGCGCCGTTACGAGACGCAGAGATAAATACCTGATTTTGAGGCCTTCTAGGTCAGGGGTCGGCTTACAGCCCGCGGGCCGGATCCGGCCAGGAGGGTGACGGTTGGATCCGGCCCGCGACCATCTGACGTCCGGCCCGCGCAAGTTTTGTCTAGAAGTAGAATTAGACTAAAACACCCGCAAATGGTGTTTATAAACTCATGAAGTGTGCGAAGGAAGAACTATTGTGCCAAAGCACATTTAAGTCACTTTTATATCGGAGTCGATTTCTGAAGGAACCGCGGGGCGCGGGTCGGAACACGATGTAAGTCGCTGATACCAGCCGCGGGCCGGACGTCAGATGGTCGCGGGCCGGATCCAACCGTCACCCTCCTGGCCGGATCCGGCCCGCGGGCCGTAAGCCGACCCCTGACCTAGAAGGCCTTAAAATCGGGTATTTATCTCTGCGTCTCGTAACGGCGCACACACTCGTTTTTTCCGCGACGCGCTAGCTCCACCAGTGGCGAAACGGCGATGGGGGGGGGGGGGTCGTACCCGCCCCCCCTCGGCCGGCGTGTACCTATGTAGAAAACAAATAGGTCCGGCGAGCAGTAGCGGCGGAACACCTTCAATTAGGGGGGGGCACGGCACTGCCGACTTTTAGTCCCATTCTTTCCATGCAACGCCCATAGCGCTACGTCTGTTAAAAGGCCAAAATTAAATAGGGGAACGGTGCCCCGGTGCCCTACCCGTTCCGCCGCCTATGCCGGCGAGGGTACAAGAGATTATATTGTCATTCGTCGACCGCGAAAAAAAGAATGTCCGGGACACAAATGATATGGAATGTTACAATTCTCGGCTCCCAAATACAATAGCTTCACCTGACAGACCTCATCTACCTGACTTCAACAGTTTCGATCATCCATTCCATGCATTAAATTCGTCAATCACTTGATAGTCTGATATTTCTTCATGGTTTTATTGAACCACATTTGTGGACGAACCCAGTAAACATGCCGACGTCGGCCCGACGTCGGCCGACGTCGGGGTGACGTCGGCAACTCGGCATCGGCATGCCGACGTCGGCCCGACGTCGGTCCAACCTCGGCACGACATCGGCTGGACGTCGGATATGCCCGCATGTTCCGACGTCCAGCCGAGGTCCAGCCGACGTCGGGCCGACGTCGGACCGAGATCAATTGCTGAGGTCCAGCCGACGTCGGGCCGACGTCGGGGCGACGTCGGACCGACATCGGCCGCTGTTTTGACCGTTACAATAATATAAAATGCATGTTTCATGTTTCATAAAGAGCTTCTGTATTCAAAATATCCTCAGGAAACTAAAATCTTCCTCCACGCCGCAACCGCCTGATCCGGACTGGACGGGAAACTTTATCCCATTTGGGATTGCCCGTAAGCCGAGCTCGCCCGTAGCCGGGAGCGGTGAGTGCTTGGGGGCTGCTCGGCCTATCCTTTGGTCAGGCTCAGCCCCGGCAACTCACCAGGGCCGGGCCCAGTTCATATAAGGCCAGTCGGCAAGTGTCACTTTGCCAAAGTGCCACTTATCAAAGGGACACTTTGGGAAACGTTGGTGCAGGTGTGTAAGAGTGGCTATGTGAATCCATTGTGGGGTCGCTCTTTCCAATAAGTGTCACGTAACAGCAATGGGACCAGGGGCTCTATATGAACTGGACCCAGGGTGCTCGCCAAGAAGACCAATGTCTCCATCCTATCATCCTTCCGGCTCTGAAATGGTCTTGTCAGACCGAAAGGGCATAACCCAACAAAACAAGCTGAAATCGCCATCTGGCTGCGTGGTATAGTGGTTAGCGCACTAACCTCGCGTTCAAATGACACGGGGTTCGAATCCCATCGCCGGATGATGCTTTTGACGTGTTGTCCCAGTAAAAATGCCGACGTCGGCGACTGGAGGGCTCGAATCCCGTCGCCGGTTGATATTTTTGGCGCGTTGTCCCAATAAACACGCCGACGTCGGCCCCGTCGGTCCAACGACAAACGATCTCGTCAACCTCGGCAAACGACCTCGGCCCGACGTCGGCTCGACGTCGGCTGGACTTCGGCTGGACGTCGGAACATGCGGGCATATCCGACGTCCAGCCGATGTCGGGCCGAGGTTGAACCGACGTTGGGCCGACGTCGGGCCGAGCCTCGGCCCGACGTCGGGCCGACGTCGGCATGTTTACTGGGAATGTTTGCGGAGACGAAGATAGCGCAGACAAAGGTTTGCGGACGAAGATTTGCGGACGAAGATTTGGTTGGACGAAGAAATGCGTGGACGAAAAATGCGGACGAAAATTTGCGGACGAAGATTTGCGGACGAAGATTTGCGGACGAAGATTTGCGGACGAAGATTTGCGGGGACGAAGATTTGCGTGGACGAAGAAATGCGGACGAAGATTTGCGTAGACGAAGAAATGCGTGGACGAAAAAATGCGGACGAAGATTTGCGGACGAAGATTTGCGGGGACGAAGATTTGCGGACGAAGATTTGCGCAGACGAAGATTTGCGTGGACGAAGAAATGCGGACGAAGATTTGCGTAGACGAAGAAATGCGTGGACGAAAAAATGCTTGACGAAGAAATGCGCCGACGAAGAAATGCGGATACGAAGAAATGCGCTACGAATTTTTGCACCTACGAAGAAATGCGAGACGAAGTAATGCGACACGAATAAATGCGCCGACGAAGATTTGCGGACGAAGAAATGCGGACGAAGAATTGCGCGACGAAGAAATGCCATACGAAGATTTGTCCTGGAATCCTGATGCAGTGTGCAATCTTGGTGCAATCAGCAATGCAGTGACGCATATATTTTGGTATTATAATTATCAATATAATTTATTTGAATAATTAAGATTGAGTGATAAGTAAAAGTACAGTGCAAAGGACATTTGAAGATTCTTAGTTTTGGTGCTACTGCTTTGCCTAGGTAGGCGAAACATTTTTGTTTTCACATTTTTTGAAACATTTTTGTTCCTGGGTACCTAAATGACTTACCTGACCACGTGTCGTCGACCATCAAGATGTTTGCCGACAACGTGAACGGCAAAGATCAGCCTGATGGTGCACCCGATGGGTGGAACCGACGACTGAGAAGAAGAAGAAGAAGTACAGAATTGTCAGCCAGATTTCAGATGCCCAAACACTCCAGAGAGACCTGAGCTCTGTTCGCACCCTGTTTATTTATCAGCAGGCTGCGACCATGCTGCTACTTCTTGGCTCCTCATTGGTCGAATTCAAGTGGTCTATTCGCTAGACCAATGAGAGGCCAAGCCGCGCCAGCAATAACTTCCTTATATGGGGAAATCCGACAGCACACTGATATGAAAACAGCGAGCGAACAGGGCCCTGGATGCACTCATTGAGTGGTCGGATTGTTGGCAACTTCCCTTCAATCGCGTTAAATGCGTTTCCCTGCACTTGGGTCGCCAAGACGACAGGCAGGGGTATCATATGGGAGGCACCGAGCTTGTACCGTAAAATGGGGTGTTAAGGGACAGTGGGGTGCTAAGGGACAGTTGCATGGGAAAAACTTTGAGTCCTATTAACTTCCTAATTTGAGAAGGTTCAATAAAAACTTCAGTGTGGTAGTTGACACTGTTTTGCTCTTGACCATAGGATACAATGGTATGGATTTTCATGCAAGTGATTTGGTTCAAAAATGGATTTGAAAATCATGCTACATTTTCACAAAATTGAAACATCTCCAAAACCCTGTGTGTACCACATAAACTAGTGGGTGTACAGGGAAAATGAATGCATAGGTGTATTGTCACATGTATTGCACATGTTTCCTGAAAAACTTGTGCAAATCCACCCATTCATTCATCATCCTCTTCCTCTTTTCCGGATACATGCATATTTTGAGGTGGACGTGGGGTGCTAAGGGACAGGGAAGAAAAAATAAAAAATAATATCTAAATATAATTTCATTAAGTTTTCTTTCAGTGGGAATGGAAAACACCAAATTCCACATAAAATGCTGGCAAGTTCATGCATTTATCTCTAACACATCTTAAGTTATGTAACAAAACATCTCAACACTCGCTTTTACAATGATGGGTCGATGGAGACTGATGTAGGTAAATGTGATGTCATCATAAAAAGGCTAAAATAGAGAGGGCAACATAATGACAAGTGACTAGCTTCAACATGGGTTTTATTGATGACAGAAGGGTACTTTTTTGTTCTGTTTACCTTATAATTAGCACATTTTCCACAAGCGTAAACTGCATTACACGTAATTGACTAAAAAGGTCATGAGTGGTGAATGAACCTGACTTGTTTTGTGACAGAATATGCAAAACATTTCAATAAATAAATTGTGTGCCCTTCCACACCCCAATTGTGGGCATTTGATGACCATTTCTTGGAATAATATAGGTGTCCCTTAACACCCCACATTGGGGTGCTAAGGGACAGTGATGAAAAATAATAAAAAATAATATGCAGGTATAAATCATAAAAACTTTAATGTGGCAGGCATGTAAAGCACCAAATTCCACATAAAATGCTGACAATTTGATGCTTCTATCTCCAACCCTTCTTGAGTTATATAACAAAACACCTCAAAACTGTCCCTTAACACCCCGTTTTACGGTACAAGTTTTGGTGGAAAAGGATCTGGGGGTGCAGATGGACCACCGGCTAAAATTCCGAGAGCAAGCGGCAGCCGCCATCTCCAAGGCTTCCCACATCCTAGCAGTCATTCGGCGATCCTTCTGTGTCATCAACGAAACCACGTTGCCGCTGCTCTTCCGGACAATGGTCCTCCGCCCTATCTGGAGTATGCCAACGCGGTCTGGGGGCCATTCAACAGAGCGGACCAGAAGCAGATTGAAAGGGTCCAAAGGAGAGCCTCAAAGCTCGTCGCCAGCATCCGCGAACTCCCCTACGAGGCGAGGCTCCAGACACTTAACCTGCCGCCTCTCTACTACCGTCGTCGCCGCGGCGATATGATAACGGTCTACCAAGTGCTCCACGGGGTAGTTGACGTTGACGCGTCCAAGTTCTTTACGCGAGCGGCGACGTCCCGGACCCGTGGACACACATGGAAGCTTTCCAAGTCCAGGACCAACTCCAGAGTCAGACGAAACGCGTTCAGCGTGAGAGTCGTGAACGACTGGAATTTGCTGCCATCGACTGTTGTTGATGCGCTTTCAGTCGACTCATTCATGGCCAGGCTCGACAGTCACTGGGCACGCTTCATGCACATGACTCACCCATACGACTGAAACATCACACAATACAGACAAACAGCTCGACAGGTCCGGATCCCAGAGGCCAAGTGGCCTTTCTAAATTCCGCGATTTATAAGTGTAAGTATAAGTATATCGGAATTAAAACATGAATGGTCGGAGAGGCCTTATTTGTATTGACTGTAACCTTATTTAAAATAAATATTTAATAAACGTTAATATTTAAAGTAGATTTTTTAAATATTATTTCATTGTGATTGTAGTTAATCAGTTCTTCACAAGGTCTGGTCGGTCTTCACAAGGTCCTGATCGAGGCGGAACGCGTACAGTGTCCGGGTCATTAATGACTGGAATGACCTCCCTGCTCACATAGTTGAAGCGAGATCCTTGAATGAATTCAAGTCCAGGCTAGACCGCCACTGGGCCCACCTCCTCTATTACCATCCACTCAAACGACTGATGCAGTGATATCGTCTCTGAGCTCGATAAGTCAGAGTCCCACAAGCCTAACGGCCTTCAAAATTTTCGTACATCGTAAGTAAGTAAGTAAGTAAGTCTGTTTCACTGGCCAGCTGGAGTTCTAGCCTCTAGCTGCTCAGTTCTGCACAAACTGTGAACATCCAGATCACATTCATGACAACTGACATTGCAGGGACAGCGTGCTGAATGCACACTGCACAGCATATGCCATGGTGGCAGAAAGCGACTTTTTTCGCAGTGTGCTGCAGATCAGTGCAATGTTCTTCCGGCTGACCTGACCTCACTGATCTGACCATCATTCATTTTAAGATGCAGCTGAAATGTAGACTGATCGCGAGTTGTGTGGATGCTCATTTCTTATTAGAACAAACTGTGAATGGTTGCGTTGTGTGCTTTTATCATATTTCTTCATGTCATGTCATGATGTTCTTTTACTCACTTCATTGTCATCTTTTATTGACTCACTGGCTAGTGGCTACTGCCAAGAAATGCCTCTTTGAAGTCTGAAGCTGGTCCTAGATATTTGAGGGATAGTTACTAGGTACAATGTAAAGAAATGAATAAGTAAATGAGTAAATAAGTAAAAAATAGTTTATGGAAAAATAAAATAATGTTGGATGTCAAATTTTCTAATCGAGGAAATCCTATTTAAAAAAAATCCAGATATGTATGATGGAATAACAATTTTTAGTACCCATAGGCATTGTTGAGCAGTACATGGCATATTATGATCAATTAAACTGATCAATGACTCCAAGTAGGTATATTTGATACCCAATACCAATGGCATATACCCAGCTAGCAACCCAGCCAGCAAGGTTTTGGGTTTTGGGTCGATATGGCTCTATTCCAGCTTGCCAGTCTTTGCCGTAGCGCTCCGGAGTTGATATAGTTTCGGACCTAAGTCCGGCTAAGTCCGGCTTAGGTCCGGCTCCCTGTCACGGCGTTGCTACGGCCAGGCCTGGCTGCCTCGTTGCTGCTCCGTGCAGTTGAGGTACGGCACGGCTGAGTAGCATAAGTCCGGCTGTGGTGCGGGAGAGCTTTGGGATCGTGTGTCAGCTCCAGTAGAGCTCCAGACCTTGCCCGTACGGCGTACTTTGCCCGGAGTAAAGTGCCGGAGCTAGGCAGAGTAAAACCAGCTACGGTCCAGACCACTTTCCCCAGCCAGCAAAATTGGTCGGGGCCGTATCTGGTTTTACTCTGGCTAGCTTTGGCACTTACTCCGGCTGAAGTACGGACACGGTCTAAAACTACTGGAGCTGACAAACGATCCCGGAGCTCGCCCGCACCACAGCCGGACTTAAGCCGTATCAGCCGTGCCGTACCTCAACTGTACTTCAGCCACAGTAAGACAGAGCAGCTACGAGGCAGCCGGACCTGCCGTAGGGAGCTGGACTTGAGTCGTTGCAGGGAGCCGGACTTGAGCCCGACTTGGCGGTCCGAAACCATACCAACTCGGGAGCGCTACGGCAAAGGCTGGGTAACCGAAATAGACCATATCAATCGAACCCCCGGCTCTGACGGCTGTCGTTTACACCGGTCCAAGTCTGGCATGTCGGAGTTGCCGGGGCAAAACGGACTTGAGCCAAACTAAATTGCTGGCTGGATAGACAATAAACATGGCGCTGCTCGATCGCAGTTTATCAGCAGGCTGCTAGCATGCTGCTATTGCTTGGCTCCTCGTTGGTCGAATTCACGTGGTCTCTTCATTTGACCAATGAGAGGCCAAGAAGCGCCAGCAATAACTAGCTTCCTTATAAGGGAAAAACCGACAGCATGCTGATAAAAAACAGCGACCGAACAGAGCTCGTTACTCAACCATAGTAACACATAAAGAGAATAGGTAGTGCAAGTTCTAAGGAGTTCTTAGGTACCTAACTTCATAGCAAATGCTCTCAAATTTTCAGTTGCAACAATTATCTTTTTTTTTGTTCAAGGAGTGGGTTAACCCTCGCCGGCACAGGGGAGGGGAGGGGTGTTGCAACGTCCTCCAGGTTCTTCGCAAATTACTCGCGTAAAAAGTGGACGATCACGACGAAACTTTCAGTACCCTCGCGTTGATCAATTTTACACCTACCCTTCAAATTTCATTACCCCGACCCAAATGACCTTTGACCTGTGACCTACTTTTCGAGACCATGTTTGGCCGGAATCGCAGTTCGGCGTATATCGGCTCGCATTACCCGCGTTTTTGCAGTCTTTTCGTGGTTCCAAGCGTTCAAACATGTCATTTGATGTTGCTCCCATTCATTAGGGTGGATGTCAAGGTCACCTGAAGCCTGAAGGTCAGGTCAGGTCATTGACCTTTGATGACTTCGGTTCACTTTTTCGAGTTTTACATATTTTTAGGCTTGTTGTTTTTAGCTGAATTCGAATTTAGCAACCATTTGAACATAAACGAAAAAGTTTTGGTGCCTTCGTAATATGCTACGAATCTATCAGAGGCGGTTGACGCACTACGAATACCCGGCAGGACCTGACCCGACCAGGCCTAAATGCATAAAGACATCATCTGTGATCAAAGCTTACATGATATTCGTGATCAGCACCCCGAAAAACCCCTCAGAAGCCGTACTTTACGACATTCTGACAGGTCCCGATTTTCCCGACTTTTCGGTCAAATGGATTTTCCCGACTTTTGGGACCTGACCTGGAAGGTCAACCGATGACCTAGGACCTTAAAATGGGGTATCATCGGTTTCCTCTCGTCACGGGCAACACGCTCGTTTTTTTCCCGCGAAGCTCTAGCTCGATCAGGGGCCAAACGCGAGGGAGAGGTCGTACCACCCTCCCCCCCCCCCCTTGTGCCGTCGAAGGGCGCAAAATGGCCTGTGCCGGCGAGGGTTAATTGAAATTTAAAACATGGTGATGGGTGGTAGTGCTACTTAAGTTTCTTAGATTGCTTGCCTCTCTGACTTCTATTGCTTTAACCTTTTCCAAAATACCTAAGCTTTTGCATAAATGTTTTCAGGTGTTGAAAATGTCAGCCAAGATAAGCAAGAACAGTGCTGAGGAGGTGATTCAGGGTTTCAACAAGCTCCGCATTGAGCAGCGACAACTAGCCCAGAAGGTGGCAGAACTGGAACAGGAGCTCAATGAACACAGGTCAGTAATAGCGAGGACGCTCTAACTGCTTCCTATCCCCAATGAACATGGGCTTGTGTCACTAGGTAGGCTCAGCCTGTCCTGCTGCTCATCAAATGCAGGTCATTGGCAAACTCGAAGGTGCGTCAGTCCGGAGTATCGGCTGTACCCACCCACTTCCAGAGGCTGGCCACTTGCTTGCTTCTATTTTCCTTCATTTTCCCAACCATTTCACTGTTCGTTCTGCTTTTCGGCCACCAAGTGCTCTGTTTGATTTGTGTTTCTTCATTTAATCGTTATTTTTCCGTCAGAATGGTGATTGAGACGCTGACCGGCGTCGACCCGTCGCGGAAGTGTTTCCGAATGATTGGCGGCGTGCTGGTGGAGCGGACTGTCAGAGAGGTGCTGCCGGCGCTCACCACCAACCGAGACCAGGTGAGAGAGGTGCTACCGGCGCTCACCACCAACCGAGACCAGGTGAGAGCGGGGATAGAACTGTGAGAGAGGTGCTGCCGGCGCTCACCACCAACCGAGACCAGGTGAGAGAGGTGCTGCCGGCGCTCACCACCAACCGAGACCATGTGAGAGCGGGGATAGAACTGTGAGAGAGGTGCTGCCGGCGCTCACCGGTCAGCACCAACCGAGACCAAGTGAGAGCGGTTGGAAGACCGAGTCAGAGTGGTAGAAGGAGATTGTGTGAGCGGGAGAGGATCGGGGGAGAGCAGTGGAGGACATGGTGAGAGAGATGAGTAGACGGGCGGACATATGGATGGTGTACCAGCGATTCTTCGGCAGGGCACTCGTCCGGTGTAAGGTGTCCACCGTGAAGGTCGCAAATCGTCGGCTCACGCACGATGGGGAAAGATCAGCTCTTGTTTTGAGCGTTGCCCGTCTTTTTGCCGATAAGTGTTTTATGCATAACATATGATCGTTTTGAAACCAATGCTTGTCGCTTAATTGCCGCACTATCGTGTAGCCCGAATACCATCGTCGTTCATTCACGCACCGCCACCCTTCGATGACCGACTTTGGCGCTCCGTTGTCAGCTGACGCAGCTGATCGACCAGCTAAAGGAGCAGGTGCTGAAGAAGGCACAGGACATCGCCGCCTACCAGGAGAAGCACCAGATCCAGATCCGCGGGCCCGGCGGCCAGGGCCCGCCGCCGGCCGGCGACGAGCGCCCGGCGGCGGCGCGAGCGGCCGGCGCGGCCGGCGCCACCGGCGGAGGCGTCCTCGTCTCCCAGGGCCAGTCGTAGGCTCCGGAGTCCGGGGGACGGGGAGGGAGGGACGAGCGCCGCGCGCACACCGATGATAATTGTGTCTACCGTGTCATTCACCCGCTTGTTCTCATTAATTTGCCTAATACAGTTACTAGCAAATATATCTGACTGCTTGTGTAGTGTGCACCATGAGGGGAGGGGGGCGTGAATATTGTCAGGCGACGGTCGATAAGTGTGCGATTTCACAAGTGACTAATGCAAATGTAATCGGGGTCATTTGATTTTTAAAGGGTAGCAGTCTTAAATTTGTACAAAAATGCAATCTGATTTCCTTACGACACTTAAAATAGGTAAGCGTGCCGATCTCGGGAAGAAAGCTGCGCGAGTCCTCTTACCTCACTTGGTGCAAACTTGTCAGAGGCAATGTCAGAGGGAGGTTTCTTTTTGTCCGTCTGATGGTGGTTAGTTCACAAGGTTCACAAATCAAGATCAATCGCGGTGACCATGAAGGAAGCCGGATGTAGAATGAATCGCCGAAAAGGGTTCCAGAGATGTTACCTATTCCTAGTTATTGAAGCTACAGCAAATAATTTTTCCGCTGTCATGTCACCGTCAATTTTATAATGCATATAATGCATATATTTATAATGCTTGAGCCCTGACGGCTACGCGCCCTAATCCTACAAAAACAAGAACAAGTCAGTTTTATAATTTAGCAGCTGCAAATTCGGTCCGTCGGATTTCTTGACAATTCAAGCATTTTTGCGATCCTGCACTTCCTGCATGCAAAAGTTCTCTTCACCAATCAAAGCCGCCTTTTTCTGCTCTTCTACCTGAAACATTTTAGTTTGCAAAAATAGAACACTTTGAATGCCGCAGCTGCGTTAAGCTTTGTCGCATGAAGGCCTACTGTTGGAAACTTGGGAGAGAAATAAGCAGAAAGTGATCTGTCGGCTGGGTTTATAGGTGTAAAGGAATAAGTGTGTATACCTACTCTGTAATAAATTGAATGTCACCCTTTTTTTATATCAGTAGCGTTTGGACGCAATCGTATATACTGCCTTGGACGCAATTAGGGCACACAATTGCATTTAATATATCCATAGCTATAATGGCTGGAAGTGGAATGTGATTTTTTTGTAACATGAGCGTTAATGGTTCTATAATCAATCTACCAATTCGGCATCAATTAAAAACCGACTCATGAACTGCTATAAGAAAACCCTCATGAAATATGGTAATAGCAAGCCTGGCATGACATGAAGATTCCAGTTCAAGTTGGCAACTGTAGAGATTCGCCGCCATCTCGTATTGGTAAAATTGTAATCTAACCTGACCCAACCCTACCTACTAACCTACGAACCTACAACCTTCATACCTACAACCTACTAAATTACCCTCACATCTTCATGTGATGCCGGGCTTACTAAGACCAAATAATTAAAAAAGTGGCACTTTCTTTTTAGTCTGTGTCAGATAAGAGTTAGAAATCATCATTAGTTGGGGACAATGTTGGTGTTCATGTTGGTAAGGCAGACATTGTATGAGCTGGCATATGTTGTGACAATATTTTTGATTAATGTTAATCTATTAGGTACCTACACATTGAAGTTTACCAGCGGCACCATCACCTTCACCAGCATTGTTTGTCGAGTGGCCCCACCAACCTTGCATTGATTTAGAAAATAAGGCCATATGATGAAAGGACACCCTCTTCTTAGCTATTGCAGCATGACAAACAAGCACTACTTGCAATATTTTTCACCTAAATCGATTATGCCAAGCTATTTGTGTCAAGCCCTACTGCCAGCACATCCGCCTTCTCGTTTTTTTTACACTTTCATGCCCTATTGCCTTGAAGTCTGTTGGCAATGAGTGCACAGGTATCTGCATCAAGGAAAAGCTTCACTGCCTGATTGAGGCCCACTGATGAGATCTCATCAAAATTGTCGTGCTTTCCATTCTGCTACTTTACAATAGACTTTGATGGCAAATTACATTATGAAGCAAAGATAATGTGTATGACGCACCTGTTTCAGGTGAGGATGTCGCTGCTGAGTCGCCTATGCCGGCCTCTGGCCGCTGCCGCTGCCTCCCGGCCGGCGGTGTGGCGCCGTCTGCTGGCCACGTCAGCCGTGCGCCCGGCCAAGTTCTACGACTCACCTGACGAGGCGGTGCGCGACATCCCGTCCGGCTCGCGGCTGCTGGTGGGCGGGTTCGGCCTCTGCGGCATCCCGGAGACGCTGATCGCCGCGCTGCTGCGCTCCGAGAGCCGCGACTTCACCGTCGTCAGCAACAACGCCGGCGTGGACAACTTCGGCCTGGGCCTGCTGCTGCAGGAGCGCCGCATCCGGCGCATGATCTCGTCGTACGTGGGCGAGAACGGCGAGTTTGAGCGGCAGTACCTGAGCGGCGAGCTGGAGGTGGAGCTGACGCCGCAGGGCACGCTGGCCGAGCGGCTGCGCGCCGGCGGCGCCGGGGTGCCGGCCTTCTTCACACCGACCGCCTACGGCACGCTGGTGCACGAGGGCGGCGCGCCCATCCGCTACTCGGAGGACGGCAAGGTGGCCGAACAGAGCGCCCCGCGCGAGGAGCGCGTCTTCAACGGCAGACACTACATCCTGGAGGAGGCCATCACCGGCGACTTCGCGCTGGTCAAGGCTTGGAAGGCCGACCGCGCCGGCAACCTCATCTTCCGCAAGACGGCTCGCAACTTCAACCCTGCCATGTGCCGCGCCGGCCGCGTCACCATCGCCGAGGTGGAGGAGGTGGTGGATATCGGGGAGATCCCGCCCGAGCACGTGCATATTCCCAGCGTGTACGTGCAACGCGTCGTCTCCGGTGGCAAGTACGAGAAGCGCGTGGAGCGTCTGACGCTGCGCCGGCCGCGCACCGCCTCGGCCACCTCGCTCACGCCGGCCGCCCAGATGCGTGAGCGGATCATCCGCCGCGCGGCGTTGGAGTTCAAGGACGGCATGTACGCAAACCTGGGCATCGGTATGCCCATGCTGGCCAGTAACCTGATTCCTGCGGGCATGACGGTGCACCTGCAGTCGGAGAACGGCGTGCTCGGCCTCGGTCCGTTCCCAGAGGAGGGGAAGCAGGACCCGGACCTCATCAACGCCGGCAAGGAGACGGTGACCGTGCTGCCCGGAGCGAGCTACTTCGGTAGCGACGACAGTTTCGCCATGATCCGCGGCGGCCACATCGACCTCACCATCCTGGGTGGCATGCAGGTGTCGCGCTACGGCGACCTCGCCAACTGGATGATCCCCGGAAAGATGGTGAAGGGCATGGGCGGCGCCATGGACCTGGTGGCGGCTCCCGGCACGAAGGTCGTCGTCACCATGGAGCACGTGGCCAAGGGCGGCGCGCACAAGATCCTCAACGAGTGCTCTCTGCCACTGACGGGCAAGAACTGCGTGGATATGATCATCACGGACCTGTGCGTGTTCCTGGTGGACCCGGAGGAGGGTCTGACGCTGAGCGAGCTGGCCGAGGGCGCCACCGTCCAGCAGATCATCGAGAACACCGGCTGCGAGTTCCGCGTGGCCGATGACCTGAAGCCGATGGGTCAGGTGGAGGTGGCCGACCCCGAGTGACCTGGGTCGTGACCGGGTTACCGGTCCGGGCGTCCTAACGATCACACGGGCGTCCTAACGACTCACAGCCCTAACGAACGGCCGATGAGTAACAGGGTGGTGGCGGGTTTCTCTCTGTAAATAGCGGGACCGCCGCCGCGGTACACTCTGCGGTTGTGGCCTCTCTGAAGGCTGTCATTGGTCGCGGGAGAACGTGACTTTGATGCCATTCTACCAGTGCAATAGGGTGAAGGTGGCTGTTTTTCTAGCGTTGATTGCGAGCGAGTCGAGCGACACTGTCAGTTTGAGGTAAACGCTGTGGTCAGTGGAATGAGGCAGTTGTACTGTAGGTGTGGCCTAGCCAGACCCTTTCCGAAGTGTTACGCTGTGTTCAGTGCCGATACGATGGTGATAATTGTAAAATGTGTACGATGGTAACTGATGCAGACTGGCCAGCTGGATTGGCGATATATTGTGACGATGGAAGCTGTTTTGTGACGTGTGCCGATTAAAAGATGTTCGTCGCGGTTGTCTTCAGGAAGGTGTAATGTTGTATTTGAAGTGCGCTGTCGCGTCCGCTGTAACCGGTACGTTAGACTTTGCAATTAATACAGTTTTTGTATCTGCACGGATCAATTTCTATGTTCGACTAAGACATTACATATTCTGGTGGCGACCGGCCTAAACCGTTCGCTTACGACCCAATGGACGTTGGAGCGTTTAGGTATATCTTTACCTCTTGCTTTACGCTGCGAGTACTCGTTTGCTAGCAATTGCTCTCTCTCCCCTTTCTCACCATGCACACTCGTCCCGGCGCCAAACGTTAGTCTTTACCTCCCCGTATCCGCGCTCGGAAAACGCACTGGCTCTGGACGGCGACACTGTATTGACATTGACGGTAGGTCCGTAGCTGCCGAACTCTCCCCGTGTCCCGGCTCCCCCCCCCCCTCCGGCCAGACTCGCTCCGGCACGGAGTAGCGACTCGACACGCCCCGCGGCACGGACTAGGGTCCAGCGGCCGGGGAAGCTCCACAGTCCGCAGGGGTCCAGTGGACACCCTTACAAGACGACAAGAATCATATTATCCAAATAAGACCGGCGCATCGCTCGTCACGCCTGCCCACAACACTGGGTGGAATGTTGAAATGACTACACGGTAATACATGACTGTTAGGCGACTATTCTCAGGCGGGCTGCCCCGACCCGACCCAACACACAATCATCTGTTATCTTACGGACCGCTCACAGCCCGGGCCGTTATCACCACTGAAGGAACAGAAACAACACAAAGAGACTAGCGCGCGCGAGCGACGTCCGCGAGTGAGACACCATGAGCGAGATGTGTGACCAGCACGTTAGCAACAAACACAAACCGACCGAGCGCGCCTCCTGAGGGGCGCCATATCGCGCCTCAACCCGTCTTCGCCTATCGATCCTAGTTAATATCACATCTGGGCGGCGGCCGGTGCCACCGGCGGCTCGACACCACTCCCTGCGGGGAGATTCTTCCCTCCGGGAGAGGCTCCCTCGCGGAGAATCACGCAGCCTCCGTCTCGATATCCAGGTTGTTCCGCAGCCGCCACAAGCCAATCGTGTTGTCGCTGAGCACGAACAGAAAACGAAACAAAATCAGGCGCAGAACCAAACGAACCAAACGAAAACAGGCGGTGCGAGGCAGATAACTGAAAATGGCGTTGTTCAGTGTAAGCAGAGCCATACGCAGCTGCCGGCAGGCGAGGCTGACGGGCATAACAGGCTCGGGGCATCAACTCAACCCGCAGGGAGGGAGGTGCTCCACTGACACACGGGAGGGCGTGTGGCTAGTTGGAAGGGCAACAGACAAAACTGAGACGGCAGGGTGGGGGAACAGGCGTGGGATGTGTCAAAAATATTTGAAAAGCAGCGTGACGTCGAGGCTGTTCTTAGCAATAGCCAAGGCTAAAAATAGAATCAAAACAATTATCCAAAAGAGAAGCAAAAAGTAGACAATGCTGTCATTACTAGCCTTTCTCCCATGCTTCATGCAAATTTTCATCAGTGCTTTATCGATTTTGCTGCATCCATCAACTCGCCGCGTGACTATTTACGGCAGTAAGTTAGAAGTATATTACATTAGTATGTACAGAAGCAAATTGGAGGCGAACTTCCTGATCCCGCTCTGTGACAATGGAACCACAGTGGAAGCGAATAGCTACACAATATTTGCTACAATAAACATTCGTTCGGAGACTTAATAGCACAGCTATCGTGACGTGATTTTTAGATAGAAGTGAGATTGAAGCAGGAAAGCTCAATTTTTCGCCATTGCGGTTACACGCCGACGAGCTTGTATCACACTAGCTGAGATCTATGTATAACGGACACGACTAGAGCATGCAGCTCTCCTTCAAATGGAAGAAGACTGCTGAGAGACGAGACGCGCTGCATGGCTCGCCGGCGGAACAGCAGTGGCATACCGCTGGGGTGAAGCTGCGATTGGCCGATAGGTGGCGTTAGTGCGGGGACGGCCGCTACAGGGCCAGGGAGAACATGCGCCCCGTGGACTGGGTCATGGCGGGGTTCAGGTGGGGCGGCACCCCCGAGCCGGGGAACTTCCAAATCTTAATGTCGCCGCCGCTGAAAACCAGGGACACCGTGGTCAAGGGCAGAACAGCAGTCGAACAGCGGCTTCAGAATCAGGGACAGAAATGGGACAGTCGAACGCACGGCCAACACCGTCAGGTAAGAACCACCAATAAATAGACCTGGCATTGATAGTTTACCAGAACGGTCAAAATGTAAGGCACATGACAGAAATCTGAGAACGTTTGGGAACAGTAGCACAGGGGCAAGGAACGACCATAAACGATTTAAAGCGACACTCCCCTCCCACTGTTCCCTGAAGATCCCGCCCGGTACGTACTTGGAGGCGTCTCTCCCACTGTTCCCTGAAGATCCCGCCCGGTACGTACTTGGAGGCGTCTCTCCCACTGTTCCCTGATGATCCCGCCCCGGTACGTACTTGGAGGCGTCTCTCCCACTGTTCCCTGATGATCCCGCCCCGGTACGTACTTGGAGGCGTCTCTCCCACTGTTCCCTGAAGATCCCGCCCGGTACGTACTTGGAGGCGGTGAAGACGTGGGTCTGGTTAGTAGTAATGGCGTTGATCTGGCTGGTGTGAGCCTTCAGCTCGCCCAGGCTCTGACACGTCTCGACACCCCAGAGTTTGACGGTACCGTTCCTACAGCCGGAGAGGAGCGCCTGACCGCCCGGCGCCAGACTGAGGCCGCAGATCCAGTCCCGGTGCGCGTTACTGACGCTCTGAGGGGGAGGGAGGTGGTCAGATACATATCCAGTCGCGGTACGCGTTAGTCGTTACTGACACGCTAAGGGGGCCCGGGGGGGGGGGGGGCTCAGGTACAGATCCAGTCCCAGTGCGCGTTACTGACACTCTGAGGATAGAATGACGAGCGACGATCAGGCTGCAGGTAGAGTCTCGATAGGCGTGGGCTGTAAGCTAAGAAGGAAGGACCTTACGGGTTGGCCATACCATGCGTTGCTCCAGGCCTCTTTGAACTCCCCCAGATCAGGATCGAACAAGACAGTTATCTTCAATGTCAAGGCGGGACAGAGCTGCACTCCGGCAGCAACTACGAAGAGCCAGATAAAATGTACCCACAGCAACAGTGAAGTCATAGGACGTTCTTCACACATACCTGCAGCAGCGTCTGTCTCTCCAGATCCCACTTTTTGATGCACGCGTCGCGGGAGCCGGAGAAGAGCGTGTCGCCGTCGGCCACCACCAGGCACTGGATGCCGTCGTAGTGCGGCGGGTCCAGGCTCAGACACTGCTGGACGATACCGTTGGTGTCGTCGGGCACCTCGAAGCCCTTGATGTAGTGGTCCTTGGATCCGGTGAGGACGAGATCCCCGCCGCGCCGCCGGTCCACGGCCAGACACATGATGGCCGCCTGGTGGCCGCCGCTCAGCTTACCCACGCTGTGGAACCTGCCGGGGAAGATACAAATTACAAATGGTTAACGATGCTGCAGGACCAGTGAAACAAGGATAGAGACTTACGCTGGCCATCTAGTAGAGCCTAGGGGAGATATGCACCAACTATGAACATTACCTACGTGAAACCCAAGTTAGGTCACACGCCGTGGTTGAAGGTGAAATACGAGTTGGAAAGTTAAATGAGAGAGCAGGATAACACGAAGTTTGCATGTGAGAGCCCCGCCCTGGCTGCGATGAACGCGTTTCCTGTCGGTGCTACACCGTAAAAGACATGTAACCGATGCCAGCCAGCCAGCAGCATAACCTCTCTCAGCAGCTTATATTTATCAGCCTGACCTCCCTCTTCCTCCCGTCGCCCAGACTCACTTCCTGAGGTCCCAGAGCCGCACTGTGTTGTGCGCCGCCGTGTACAGACACCGGTCGGCGCCGCCCAAGCAGATGTCGTTGATCTGCGTCTCGCCCGGCGGCATCTGCAGCGTCCGTGACGGCGTCGACAGAGGCACCGACGACGACGTCAGGCCCGACGAGCTGATGGCGGACAGGTACATGTCAGATGTGATGATGGAGTTGTGACACACACAGTAATAGCGATAACAGATAACATCATGGCAAAATCCATTGACCCATCGTGTGATTGAGTACATGATTGAGGCAGTTCAGGTCAGTTTGCCATCATTTATCAATTATCATATTAAACGTTATATGTCCGGGATCTCAAGCCGTAAGTCAAATGTAGATGGCATGCTAAGAGCAATGTCAAAGTTAAAATGGCCTGTGTATTGTGACGCATTATGAGAACGTTAGCGAAACGATAACCAGTCTCTGCTATTTCCCCACAGTGTTCTTCTCACCTGAGCGTCTTGACACACTTGGCGGCTCCCTCCCGGAGGTCCCAGACCTTGACGAAGGCCGAAGACACGCTGAACACCAGCTGGGTGACCTCAGAGTAGCGGACGCACACCACGTTATTGGGGTGGCCGGTCAGAGACTGTACCTGGCGACCGGTGCCGAGATCCCAGACCTTTACCGTCCGGTCTGTAACGGGACACACTGTCAGAGGGTGTACCAATAACCCCAGGTCCCACACCTTCACCGTCCGGTCTGTAACGGGACACACTGTCAGAGCGTGTACCAATGACCCTACGTACCACACCTTCACCGTCCGGTCTGTAAGGAGGAAGATCAGAGTGACTCACTTAGGGACATTGACACAAGTCATTTTCATGTTAGATCTGATGAGACGAGGGAGGTCACGTCGAGTTTCGTATGTGTTTGCTCCCTAGCAAATGCCGGCCATTGAATCGGTAGATCAAACCCATGAAGGAGCCGATCAATCTATATCGTCCCCAATGTCGATCTAGAGCGAGGAGAGTCGATTAAAATCGTCCAACTTTTGGAGCTAATCAGTGAGAACAAGCTCACCTTTGGACCCGGAGAAGAGCCGGTCGTTGGTGGCGCACACGGAGAGCACGGCCTTGGCGTGTCCCTCGGCCACGTGTGTGCAGAGGAGTGGCGCGCGCCCGCCGCGTCCCGGGTAGGCGCTGATGACGCCCGTCTCGGGCCGCTCCTCCAGCTGACCGACCGTGGACGACGTCAGGCGGCTGAAGACGTTCTCGTCGCGGGACGTCTGGCGCCGGTAGGAGGCCGGAGAGCCGGGCGGCGTCACGTCCTGCAGACTCTCGGCGCTGCGAGAGACGCGGGACGGGTCACAGACGGGCAGGAAGGGGCGGGTCAGAGGAGATGTGGGGGAGGTTGGGGAACGGTGTACGGACGCGGAAACGGGCGCTGTGCGACAGATCTACGGCTGGTGGGGTAGCTGGTCTAGGTCTAGAAAAGACATGTTATGTTAGGAAAGAAAGTAAATAGAAGGTAGCATATCATTATTAATATAATGCAGTATTTATCTCGAACATTTCTCAAATTGATACGGCATTCGAAGCATGCCGCCTAGCAGTAGCGGCAATGAAATATTAGTTATCTACCACCAGTGGCATATGAAAAAGTCACTGCTTTGCTGACCTGGTGAATTGAAGATTCCTCGACATCCTTGCAGCAAAAGAAAAAACAGAGACATTCAGAAACAACGAGAAACTAATAGCAAGTGCATGAAGTCATCGAATAACGTGAGTAGCAGAAACAGATCGCATTACATGTTATCATAGCTACAGCTCGAAGGAAGTAATTATCTAGCCAAGTCTGCTACAGATCACAAGATCCATACGAATGCTCGTGCGATAGGGGTGGGTACGGGTACTCGGTACCCGCCGCTGCGGTACTGGTACTCACGCTCGCAGGTTGTTGTTAGTAATGTTAATGTTGCGCCGCGCCAGGCGGGGTGAGAGCGCCTCCTTGTAGGTGCTGCGGCGCGCCGGCAGGGGGGAGGGCCGGGGGTCGCGCACCACCGGCGGCCTGCGACACAGCGCACACGGACTCTCACATAGACGGACACAGCACACGGACACTTATAGAGACGGACACAGCACACAGCACACAGCACACACCCAGGGGTGAGCTTCAACAGCTCACGAAACTCCAACAGCGTATAAAGCTGATGCGAGTTCATGAACGCGATCAAAGGCTCTAGCAGCAATTAAAAGCTTTCAGAAGCTCCCATAAATTACGGAAGCTACCAAAGCTCAGAAAAGCTCCCACGAGATCCCACGCCCACATAAGCTCAAATGAGCTCCAGCAGCTTTCGGAAACTCGTGGGATTTGATGTAGCTCATGGACGCTCCCGAGGCTCAGATGCGTTAGGAAGGCTTGCAAAAGCTACGACAGCTAAAAGGGTTTATAAGCAAAGAAAGCATCACTGCAAACAGACAAACACAATGGAGGGATTTGAAGCTTTTACGATTTATTACCGACATTACCGATTTATTAATCCGTCTAGGGAGATAAATAATCACCTTGATCAAATAGCTTATGATCTTGAGGATGTAGCGGCAAATTTGGATACGAATCCAGGCCCCTTTATTCACCAATCAAGCACGCACGGACAAAAAAAAAAAGCTTAGCTATGGCTAATTTGGTGGGAATTAGAAAGGGAAATAACGTTGGAATCGGCGCCGCACTCAGCAATCATCTGTGACAGAAGATAATTCGATGTCCGTTTAATCTACACCCCTCTGTACATTGCCGTGTTACGAACAGCGATAACCAATCCTGACTGTAAGGTCGACTTCAGGTGGATAATACTGGGTAGTTACACATTCACAGACGCACTGCACTAGTCTAGTGATACCTTAAAACGGATACCGCTTTCGCCGAGAAAATAATTGAAGCACGCACGAAGGTCATTGTTCGCCTCAACACGACTCAAACATGTGGCGTGGGATTATCCGAATAACTGGCTGGTGGCTATTCTCTCTCGCAGCGTTAGGTGAAAGAAGTAGCGAAGTAAAGCAAGAGGCGGTAAAATGAATTCAATAAGTCGACACATTAATGGCAACGACATTGTTCAGGAAAGCAACGTTAGTATGAATGCTGACAAACTAAGAGTAGAAGGTTCATGCGTTAATGCATTTCTTGTTAAAGAACAACTATAGCGCGTGAAAGTATACTTTTGAAAGTATGCAGTCTGTATACAGACTGCAGCTTACCTGAACTGCAGCAGCCCTTCATTACCGTTGTTTGTATCGACATGTCCTCGTTGGTAATCAAAGTAAGCATACCGGCTTTCCTCCCCTTTCGAACCCAGTTGTTACTTGATCTATGTGACTCCGATTCTTACAAGGGTGAGCTGTCTGACTTTCCTTCTCACCAGGGGGTGTTGTCTAACTCTGACTCCCCTTCTCACCTTGGTGAGCCATCTGACACCCCCTCTCACCTTGGTGAGCTGCCTGACTCCCCGTTCTCACCTGGGTGAGCTGTTGGAGCTGATGACGTGGCTGTGGGACCGGGAGAGAGGCAGCAGGCTCGGTCGCTCGCCGTCCCTCTCCGGCGCCGGAGCCGTACCGTTGGCAAACAGCAGGTCCTGCGTGTTCACCGTCCGTCGACGGGCCTTGTCGCGCGCGGCGGCCGCCGTCCGCGCCGGAGTCAGCTCCGAGTCGGAGTCGGAGTCGGACTCGGCCGCGCCCACGCCGCCCACCTCTGTGATGAGCGAGAGGACGGCCGAATCCAGGCCGCCCTCCTCAGTCATCAGGTGCTGCAGCAGCTGCTGCTGAACAGAGCTGTTCTGCTCCATCTGAGGACAAACGTGAGTCAGTCAGCTACTGCTGCACCGAGCTGTTCTGCTCCATCTGAGGAACACACACACGAGTTTCAATAGTAGCTGTCCCATTCACTCTTTTTTCTATGTTTCCATGGTGATGGGTCATCATGTGTTTGGGCTCTGCAGTACTCTGAAACAAAATAAATCTGAAAGCTCATCGCAGCATCCCAGTTCGCCTACCTGGTCCATTTTGATTTGCGTCTCTCGCTGCGCGGCCTGGTGCTGCGCGGCCACGCAGCTCTGGTGAACCGTCATGGAGAGCAGCTTCTCCAGCAGGTACTCCATCTCGTCTGGTCGCAGCTCGCGCAGCAGCAGCGCCGGCTCCTGGATGGGCAGCTCGTCCTTGGACTCCTCCATGGCCATGATGGCCGTCTGGCACTCGCTGATGCTGTCGTTGATGTAGTCCATGTTGGCGCGGATGCCCTCCGTGGTGTCGTCGAGCTCGCGGAGCTGGTCGACGCTCTGGCCGGCCATCTCGGCCCGCTCGCGCTGCCGGAGAACGTGGGCCAGCCGGCGCCGCAGCGACTCACGGTCCTTCAGATGCCTGATGATCGGGGGTTAGGGGTCAGAACGGTTAATGGGTCGGACACAGACTGAGGCAGCAATCGTGGAAACGGCACGGTGATGGTGAGTTCGCTCACACAGTCGCTCACATGCTCGTTCAATCATTCACTCATTAGCCTCATGCCCTCTTTGAACCGAAGACGACTAACAACCGTATTTAGCGAGTCGGACATTTAAAGCTTGCCTGTGCCCTAGCTCTAACCATCTCACCTCTCCATTTCTCGCTCCATGCTGGCCACTGTTTGTTTGTTGAGCGCCAACTGGGTGATGGATTTCTCCAGCGCCTGCCACTTCTTCTTGACAGCGGCGTCAGACGACTGCTTCTGCCGGCCGCCTGACAGACAGATATGGGAGTCAGAACAGAAGCAAACGAAGCATAAATAAGAAAGCAAGTTAGTCACTACATGGGTGCATCGAACTACGACGTTACGGTGACTACCAGGGAAGCACGGTCGAACAACACTTTAGGTAGATGGAATCAGGCCACACCCAGGGACGAATGCACAGTCCCTTAGTGTGGTGTGCAGGCCGGTACCTCTCTGTTTGAGCTGACTGCCCCGCTGATTCCGGCCCACCCGGCGCAGCGCGGCGATCTCCTCCTGTTTCCGCTTCAGCACGGCGTCCTTTGCCCGCTTCTCAGCCTCCAGGGACTTGATCTGGAGACAAACAAATAACATATACGCGTTAGACCAGACGAGTTGTGAACTTGTAGACAACGCGAGGCATGATGAGCACTGGTCCGACTTCATAGACAGAGCCCACGACGGTGAAATCACGTATATTTTTATATCGGCGACCAGAGATCGATTAGCGCTGACCTGGTTTTCGTGTTTGCGGTGCTCCTTCCTCAGCTGGGAGACGGCCCGGTGGTGCTGCAGACCCATCTGTTTGATCTTGTTGGCATCCTCCTTCATCTTCTGCATCAGCTTCACCTGCGGACCGACAGGTGGCAGCAGTGAGGCGGGGACGATGGGCATTTACCGGTTACAAAACCTCCGACCGGACATAACATTCAAAGTAGGCGCCAAACATGGTCTTAAACATTGGGAAACAACTACAAACTAGCCAGATAGTGAAACATGCCCATTGCCCATGAAGCTACCTACCTTGTGCCGCTTCATGTCCATGACCTCGTTTTTCAGCGTTTTGACCTGCCGCTCGTACTGTCCCTGCGATCTGACCAGCTTAGCGTGCTCGCGCTGCGCCGCCTGCAGCTTCTTCAGGTCGCTGCCCATGCTGGAGAGCTTGCGCTCGTACTCGTCCTTCACCTTCTTGACCTCGTCCTTGGAGGCGGAGGCGCCCCGCTGGCCTGGGTGGAGAGGGCAGGCAGAGTGTCAGGACATGTCGGGCTAGTCGAAACAGCGTCAGACTGGTTTGGAGTCAGCATACGTCAAAAGGATCATGGTATATGAGTTAGATCTCCCTCTCTTTTATCAAAATTTCACAATTCATAAGCACCATGTTTACCGGAGCGATAAACAAAACATGTCTCACACCTTAATATACTGCATGCGTTTTTTGTAACTTAGCCAGCTATTCGTCGAGCGCATTACCCAGCGTCTGTTCACTTTCCCAACACTTAATGATATTAGCAAGCACTTTATCCCTCTCCTGTTCCCCATAACTTACTGATATTGGCGAGCACTTTGTCCCTCTCCTGCTCTGTGGCTCTGATGCGGTCGCTGAGCTGCAGCAGCTTTTGTTCGTAGTGCTGCCGCATGGTCTCCATCCGTCGCTGGGAGCGCTCCAGTTCCTCGATCAGCCGCTGCTTGACGCTGATGTCTGAGGTCAGTTCGGCCAGCTGCTCGTTGTAGTCGGAACTCTCTGACGAAGGAACGGAACCGGGGCATAGTTGGTGAGTAAACGCCGCACAGTGCGGCTTATCGGCCGGCATAGTATGATGAGGTAATCCGGATTACCGTGCGGTAAGAAGGAAACCAGAGGTGATAGTGGTGTTCACAAACATACAAACCTAGGCAGCTCATACAAAACGGCCTCCAGGTCATGGTCTAGGATCGACCTATTTCGGCGCCGTGTGTACGTCCTGGGACGAGCGCGCAGGCAGTTAACGACAAGATGCTTAAAAACAGATTGGAAGTGAAAGCAGCTACAAAAAATAAACAAGGCAGTTCTCTTCTTATGTGTATCTGACTCAGAGTTCCAACGGAATGAGCGAACAAAAACAATTCCGCTCGCCAGACACACGATAAAAGACGTTCCATGGTCTCAACTAAGACAAGATAATAAACTATAACAGGAAGACTACGCTGAACTCAATCGGTGTGAACTGTGACATTTTAAGGAAGCGCGGCCTACCTTTTCCCTCGCTCTCCGGCTCATCTGTCGAGTCCTCGTTGTCCGATTCATCGTTGTCAGAGTCTGAAACGGCGGTAGAAAGAGGCTAGTGACGGTTGCTCATGGTGGAGCGCCGATTACGCACGGTTAAAGGGACCCTCCCACCTTCAAAAAAAGTTAATGAATTGGCATGAAAGTGATGTCGCTCGGTTCAGAAAGAGCAAAAACGAATATCTACCAAATTTCATCGAAAAATATTCACCGGTTTTCAAGATATTAGACTTTTACTTTTGTTTACTTTTTGGGATCTCCGCTGTTCCTAGCGACTTTATTTGAAAGTGCGGCATTTGTTGCGCGCAAAGCAGCATATACCACCGCGTGCTACAAAACGTTTTAGTCAAACATTCAACGGACGTTCGAAAGCCTGATGACGTCATCAGATTCCCGTAATGGTTAAGAGATAGGGACCACGCTGGTCCCACCCTGCAAGTAAAGGGAAGAAATTTCTTGAACACCATAAAGCTGCGGGGGTTGCGACCAGGATAAATGGTGGTTTCTGAGCCTGGCCGCAAACTTGGCTATCTCAACTCAAAACTAATGTTAAGGTGGGAGGGTCCCTTTAAGTCAAGGATCTCATTACATACTCTCATCTCGAGTCAAGTGAACGGTATCTGACGTGTACCCCTCTTGCGTCTCCTTCCCTCGTCTCCCCTGGCGCCACCTCGCCCCGCCCAGTTCCTCCTATCATTATCATCACCTCGTCCCTCCCTAACGCCCATGTCTCTCCCTGTCACTTGTGTGTCCGTCTCGCTCTGACTTATCCGCCCACCCACTCACCCTTCTCGTCGCCGCTCTCTGCGCTGCTGCTGCTGCTGCTGCCGCGCCGGCCTCCCTCCTGGTCGCGGGTGTCGTCACTGCCCGAGCGGCGACTCCGGAGGCGCAGGGCGTCCCTCTCTCGCTCCAGGTCCCGGCGCGCCTCCTGGAGAATGTCCGACACAGAGCTGTCCTCGGACGGCGGCAGTGGCGCCAGCACTGCCAGCACAGACGGGCAAAGCGTCGGAACCGAGAACAAAGGGCAGTGACGTCAGGTGGCAAAGAGGGAAGACAGATGCAAAGAAAGAGCTGTTAGCTGCAAAGTGTAGATTGCAGGTCATGTACCAGAAAGCCAGACGCACCTTTATAAAGTAAAATACTAGTATTAAAGTGGGGATAAAAAAGCGACATCCATTACCTTCCAGGGGGTCGAGTATCGCCGAAGGAGTCAGGAAGAGGTTTCACTGGCCGGCATGACTAGGCAGTGGCGCTGGAAGACCCTTGGTGTAGGACGGAGGACGCTGGAGGCACTGGAACTGGAAGGATACAGGAAGGGACATATGGATGTGAGATATGCTTAAAACGCGGCTTCGATGATTCAACTGCATGCAGATCATGAACCTTTTACAAACGATTTCAGCAAATCGAATAAGGAAACGTTCGAAGGAAACGTTCGGATGTATCGGATTCGGATTGAGATCAACGGACACTCAGACTAAGGTAGTGAGCAACCGGACAAGCATTAAATAGCGTTCGTGCGTACCTGACGAGCTGAGCATGGGTCCCGGCCCGACCGGCCGGCCGGGGCTGCGGCTGGCTAACTGTTTCCTCATCTGATTGCAGACGTTCTCAGACTCGAGGAGCCGGGCGCGCAGCTCCTCGATCTCACCCAGGTACTGGGCCACCACCTGGCTGACGTCACTGTCCGCGTCTGGGGGTAGAGAGATAACGTCAGTGTTCGGATTCTGATCGTAACTGACAACACTCATGAGACTGAACTACAGTAAAGATGCTTTTTCCATTACCCTTTCCCCCCATTCCCTCCCTCTCCTTCCGCTCTCTCACCGGCTCCAATCCACTCTCCGGCCGCCTTCTGCGCGAGCAGCTGGCAGTTGCGCGCAGTCAGCGCCTCCACCGTCTCCTGCAGGGCCTTGATGCGCGTCCGCAGGTTAGCATTGTCCGTCTGCAGCATGTTGTTCTCGTGGTACATGTCGTTGACCGCCTCCGAGCCGTCCTCAGAGACCACTCTCTTACCCTGAAAGTAGAAGAAGTCGTCAGAGATCCCGTCCTTGGCCTCGATATGATAAAAAGGGGACTCTTATGAGGGAGGGGGATTGGGATGAGATAAAGATGGTTATTGATTATGAGGCTCTATGACGGTTCAGTTTCGCCTCAGGAGTCCATCACTTCCTAGCCTCTTTGGATCCACAATTCCAGTGTCCGTGGTTCAGCACCTAGGTGTGTGCCTCCATGGTTCTACTGTTCCATTACTTTGTGGGATGTTTCCAAATAGCACCAGTTTACTGGATTATTTTATCAGACAGATGTGCCGGCTTCACCCAATTACAGGTGAGCCCCCGACCTTGGAGCAGCGGTATTTCGGGGATACCGTCCGGTCAGGTGAGCAGCGGGCTTATGTGTAAATATTCCGTCTGCCCTCGCAACAGAGTGTATTGCCATGTAATCCGTGTAATCCGCCATGGTACTCGGTCGAGGCGAGCATGGAAATATTCTGACAGAAGAGAACAAAGGAATGTTTATAGTCGGACATGCGAGCTCACGTCAGTCCGTGGCATTAACGAATGCCGGCTCGTGAGCATCACATGACAGTCAGAGTCAAGGAGCGTGAAAGGGAACGGTTATTCTTGTGTTCAGTGTGGAAATAGCATGCTGTGCACTGGCTTTATCGTGAAAACGTCCACAGCGTATAAGCCAGTACTGTAAGAGGGACCGTGTTACTTAGCTGTAGGTACTGTGAAAAGTCCAACGTACCTGTCTGTACTCCATGAGCTCGAGCTGGAGCTGCTGGATCTCCTGCCGCAGCAGTGAGATGGTGCGCGACGTCTTGTCCTGGTTGATGGTCACCCGGTTCTTGATGTTGCGGGTGCGGTTGGCGTACTTCAGCGTGTTCAGCGTCTCCATAAAGTCGGCGTCAGAGGGGGAGACGCAGGCTATCATCACCGTGCGACTGTTACCTGACGGGGTAGAGGAGTCGAGGGTCAGTGTTGCTGATCTACTTAGACTTCACGACTTATGTTGACTGTATAACTGGACAGGACGAACGGAGCCAGTGCTATCGCCTGACAGCTGCCACCGTAGTTTTCAAACGTAAACAGTCCCGCATGGATACATGACAGTTAGTGATAGCGGTAGCCTCTGATAAGTCGCCACCGCCATACGCAACTGTTCCACTACGTCTACTGCATGACAGGACACCTGGCATCTGCACTGGGTCAAGCGACGATCAAAGAGCCTACAGGAACTACGGGAAGGAGTCTACCAGTTGAACAGCTGGCAGGCAGGATGTTACACTGGACGGCAGCCAGACGACTCATGGCGCCCATTCAGTCAGACTCTGCCGGTTGGATACACCTGGCGTGGCAGGAGCCAGCCATATACGGGGGTACGGGAATGAATGGTGTCGCAGATCCAAAGGGCTTCAACGAGGAGACTCGGTTGCCATTATCTGGGACGCAACAGGTCACATCAGAGGCGATGGACAGGGGGGAACGGGATGTGTGGCAGGGGCATGAAGTGGGTTGAAGAGATGGATAGCAGAGGGGCAAGAGAGGAAGGAAGAAATATGTTCTCACCTCCTAGCGAGTCCTGCAGCAGACGTGTCAGCTTGGAGTCCCGGTACGGGATGTGAGAGACCTTTCGAGACTCGTCTCCGAGTGCTGAGATGACGTTACCCAGCGCCAGCTGCGAACAAGGGGACAAATACGTGTCAAGATGACAATCACGAAACTAGGTAGTACAGGCATAGCACAACTACACAGCACAGGTAGTAACGACTCAAAGAAACCTACGGTATTCCAAATGGTATTCCAGATGGGCAATCACAAGCATCGGTAGGTGGTCTATCTCACAGTCGAATGCCCACAGTTACACCAGCGGGAGGCGCTACTGGATTTGGACGTCTAACTAGCAAACAGACGAGACCTGAATGACAAACAGCCGAGAACTACAATCGTCTCTGACGGAGGGATCAGCTGGCCCAGCCACTTAAGTCGATCCGCCGCGCCGTCACTTTAGACTCGGGCTGCCTGGGTTCCGTGGTTATAACAACACACCCACTATACCACGGTGATAACATAACATTTATTTTCCTACTTCCCCACTCTCACCAGTCCGCAGTTGATCGAGATGCCCTCCTTTGCTCTGTCTCCGGTGGCCCCCGTCCTCTTCAGTCGCTCCGAGCCAGCCAGGTCAACAAAGTGGAACTTGGCCGAGAGAGTCTCAAACTCCATGGGGGCGTCGGTGGTGGGCGGGCCACCGACACTGCTTCCGTCCGTCGGTTCAGACTCCATGAAACCCTGGGGAGATGTCACGGTCAGCTTGGTCACTGGAGGTCAACAGAGGTCATAGAAAAACGTCCCGTCCTGTCCCGTCCCGTCCTGTCCCGTCCCGTCCTGTCCCGTCCCGTCCTGTCCCGTCCCGTCCTGTCCCGTCCAACCCAATTTCGTCCCTGTCCCAGTCCTGTCCCTATCCCCTCCGTCATGTCCCGTCCCGTCCCGTCCCGTCCTATCCCTCCCTGTCCCCATCCCATCTCTCCACTCACGCTGTCTGCCCGCGGCGCCACCCGCTGTTGGCTGATGATCAGGGTGAATATGGCATGGCTCCTGCTACTCTGGGCGTTCATCTGGGTACTGGCCGTGGTGCGACTGAGCGCCCCCACCCGCAGACACTTGAGACAGTCCTCGGCTGACGTCACCACTCGTGACGTCACGCCCTGGGTGACGATCCCGCCGTCAGCGTCCTCCGTGATCTTGATGTTCGACTTGCGGCCCTGGGGGTGGTGGAGATGTCACGTGACCGTTAAAAGACCGTCTAAGGCGCAGTTCTGTTGGATGGGGCATGGGCCACGTGACTGTTAAGGAATGCCTAAGGGGCAGCCCTACAGAGTGGTGCTTATGTCACATGACCGTTATCAGACTGTCTGGGAGGCATCTCTATGGGTGGTGTAAATATCACGTGACTGTCATGTGAGACTGTCAACATGGGCGGAGTCGAGACATTGGACTGGGCGGATCTGGGTCGGGTGTCCCAGACAGCCGACTGAAGTGCCGCGGTCACTGCAGACACTCCGTGACAATGGCGACATTTCGGCGAAACGGCCCGCCGCAGCGCCATTCAGACCCCGACGGAACGCCGCTCCTTCGCCGGTGGAATGCAGCGGGGGCAGGTCACACAGAGATCGATACAAGAGTCGCATGCATCGGGGTCAAACAATAACCTCTGTGAACACATGTGCCGGGGTGACCCCGATTCCGCATCGCGTGACCTTCGCCGTCACGACATTGCGGGCATGGTATCCCATGACTCGCACCACCGCCACACAAGGGAACAGAGTCTGTCGAGGGGGAAGGGCTGTGGGAACTCACCCTGTTAACCCCCGACTGGTCCAGCAGGTCCAAGATCTCCTCGTTGTACAGCTCCATGAACTGCGCCGAGACCTTGAAGTCGGCGGGCGGCAGGTTGGCCTCCCTGGCGGCCTCCTGGCGCTGCCGGATGCCGCTGAACAGGTGCTCCACGGCGCGCGGCACGATACCGACCGTCTCTGGACTGGCGTCCACCTCGAACCCCGTGCCCATCGTGTAGGTCTTACCGGAGCCCGTCTGTGGAAGAAGAGGAAATAGGTCACACCTGGTTCAGTACCTATTTTAATATACATAGGTATGTCTTACCGGAATCTGTTTGTGGGATGATGCGAGACAAACGATTGGTTAGCTTCAACAGTTTCAATGATGCACGTCTTATCGAACCCTGTGAGGACAAGAGGGGATAGCAGTCACCCTTGGCCCCTCGCCCTATTTACGGTGTGTCGCATGTGCACAGGGACACCAGTGCGGGTCACAGGGACCAACCCAGTTCCACCCATCACTCCATTTGTGGGAGCGATGGACACATGAATGGGTCATCTCGAACCCACTGACCATCTTGCACGTCTTGTTAGAAAGAATGGGGCTGACAGATACAAGGAGATCAGTCGGTGTCATTGCCATGTTATGAGCCATAGGCTCGCATTGTAATGAGAGCGCGTTGGACATGTTTATTGGTCACCTCGCTGTATAATGAACGTGATCACTGATCAGGGGTATAGAAAACAGGCATATAGCGGCAGATATGGCAAAACTCGATGCAATGGAGTAGTAGAGCACCTAATATAACACTGCGACCGCGGCAGGCGGTTGCACCTAAGAAATCATCCTCCCGGGGAAGATCTCCCCCCAATGTAAAAACTGACACGGTAGCCATGGTCGACCCGACCCGACCATCCCTAGCTCCGCGGGAGTCGTCGTAGCTCTCCGTTATCAGTCGATCCGAGCGTGTGTGTTTGTCGCGGCTGCGTGTGCCGGGCGCGTCCATGTAGGACTGAGAGCGGGCGAGGTCGGTGTTATCTGCCGGGACACAGCGGGAGCGGTACAGCCTCTCGATAAAATACGGGACACGCGGGGAGCGGAGGGGTGCTGAGAGTGAGAGGAAGGGATGGCACTTATAGACAGTTTCGAATCGAGTGAAAAGAAGGCTAACGAAGCTGCAGGAATCATTTCGAGTCGAATGAAAGGAGCACCAAAGAAGCTGCACGGATCATGGCAAGCTACAAGAATCGGAAAGCATGCCTGCTCGCATGGATGAATAAGAAAGGAGACCGTCTAATTTTACTTTCCAGTCCAACGTCTCAATGGTGCTCGTTCAACTGCACTTTTCGAAGGCTTGTGAGCCATGTAAACTGGGGAGAGTGATAATCGCCACTCTCTCAGCAAAACGTGCCCCTGAAGGAGAACTCAATTCTACTCCAAAGACCATCCTATGTCAGGCAGCTCACAGCGCAGCAGGGACGAGTGCCAAGTTCTGCACCTTTCTGATAGTGATGTGTGTACTGTGTAGGGTCCAGTCAAACCCTAACAAGGAACAAAGCACGATCGAGCGTTGCTGCCCAATCGCTGCCGTTTTCGGCGTACGCCACCGCTCGTGTGTGTCACCGCAGTGGAACCAGTCGCGACGCCCGCTCCATGCCAATTCACGTGACGAGCACCAACTCCGGTCCCCAAACTTCGACGACGTCCGTTCCACCGGGCCGGGCCGGCACACGCACACAAACAGGCACCAAAACACGGCCATTCCCAGTTAATTTATCGGCCGGCGCCGCGCTCCACGCAGACGGTGCCGCGGCTCGCAGAGGTCAGACGTGACGTGTCACGTCACCAATTCTGTCGACGTCACGTCCCGTCACACGCGGACGACCCGTGACGACCTGGGGCAGCTCGGAGCGGCCGCGGTGACCCGTCAGTCCGACCTCGCCCCGTGGGCGGTCGCTGACACGCGCTGATGTATTGACCAATCATTGGTGGACGCGACTCCCACCGGCCTGACCAGGACCTCCCACTGGGGGACCGCCGCACCGCGACGGGAGCCCTCAGACAGAGTGGCCACCGAGGACAGTTGATTAAACCATTACAGACGGCTCACTAATGAAAACAGTGAACAGCGCTACACGGGAACCGATCGGAGACGGCGGTATTCAATCGCCTCTCTCTGACCCCACCCAGAAGGCAAGGGCACGGTCTAAAAGAGCAAACAAATACCTCCCCGGTGAGAATGGATGTGAAAGGAGACAGCACGGCTCCCGTAAACAATGCCTGAATGGGTTACTGCCGAGCCAACTCACGTATAATGGACGAGACGTGTCACAACACAACTCGCGGCTGACCCAGTCTTACGCGAGGTCTAAAAGCGAAACAATAGCGACAAAACAGCAAAAGCGACAAAGCAATTTCTCCGTGTATAAGTAAGCATGCATATACTGCTGGAGTCTGCTAATTAATGTGTCCCATATTACGACTAAGATGCGTTGAAAAATGTGTGCACTGTGCCCGTCGGCAGCCCACACCTTGAGGAAAAGGAGCTTCTATTTTACACGATACGTTGGTCGACGAAATGAGCCTTTCATTGAAGTAACGTAAAAGAAAACACCGTAGGATCCAGCACACCGCTCCACGATACCGGGTGTTCTTCACTGCCCATTGCCGTCTGAACTGGCCGGGTGCCGAGCAGGCCCGTCGCCTCGTGATCGGTCCATCCATCTCCATTGGAGCGGAGACGGGAATGGACGGGATGGACGGACGTCTTAGTGCCGAGCAGCGCCGCAGGGTGTGTGGGTGGGTGGGCGAGCCAGCCAAATGCAATAGGCCGCGCTGACGGTATGTTGAAACGGGGGGACGGAGGTCTTAGCAGAAGGTCTTCTATTCCAGACAGCCTGACTGAGCATATGCCGGTCTCGGGTCTTCTGAAGGAAGTGACCTTGAAGGGACAGACAAGCATGAGACGCTCTCATGAACTGCAGGTACTGACTCCACGTGCAGCACTCTCACGAAGCGAGGGACTTTCGACATGCGACGGTCTCCTAATCAACTGACCAGTTCAACATACGGAGCAAAGTCTCAATAAAGTTGGTGGTGCACCACCTGACCCTTTCGCCCAAACCTCACCTTCAAGAACTACTGGCAACTGCAGAAACCGGGCATCGCCGTTCATCGCCCACAGGCGCGACACATGTATAAACAGACGGCTCTCTCAGTCTCCACGACTCGCCGGGCCGCTCCCAGACTCGGCAGAGCGTGTCCAGGGACGATCGTGTGTGGCCCCGGCCCGCCGTGCCGGTGTACTGCAGGGGCGCCCACTAGGTCCCCCATTTGGCCGCCCGTTAGGCCAGCCGTTTGTGGCCGCCCGATTTGGCCAACTTCGCATCATGCAGTCATTATTTGAACACGCTGTCGTAATGTAAAACATCGCATGGTGGATAATTATATTTATGAGACTAATTTGCATTTATGGAATGTGCTTTTAAAGGTCAACTACTCTGATCAGAACCAGCATTATTGCGAAAAGGGACATGGGTCGGAAAGATAGGATGAATATGAGAAACGAGTCCAGTCGCCACTAGTAACCCAAATGACATCATAGAACTGATTGTCTGGAGGTCGGGTCGAATCTCATTAGCCAAAATGCTGGCCCATTACGATTAACCGATGTTCTGATGGTGTCGACGCTACATCAGCTGCCAACTTAACTCACAGCTCCCACTCCAAAGGAGACTAGAATGTTCCCATCGGTCCAGACTTTATTGGTTTTTACTTACGCCAGTACGCTCGCTACTATCGTCAAGACGTCAGTTCGGTACCACCGATCCAGACTCCAGACCTCTCCTGTCCTACAGACTTCCAACCAGCAGTCCTCTCTGTTCGGACCCCAGCCCAGTCCGCCAGCTCACTGCTCAGCCCGGTTCGGATCGGAGTCCACACCGACCACCCCTGATCACCAAACTCAGGACCAGTCCAGTCCTAAAGGTCTGGACTACTCTGGACTTAGGACCAGTCCGGTCCTATCAGTCCACAATCCAGACCAGTCCAGTCCTTTGTCTGTACCCAGCTCCGTCAGCCCAGCTCAGCCCGGTCTGGATCGGAGCCCAGACCCCTGAGTCCCTCCCTGACCACCGCGCCGAGACGGTCGATAGCAGCCACCGGCCGGCCACAGAGAGATGAAAAATGATATGGAATATTACCTCAAAGACGCATTGGGATCGCTTGATCTTCACGCTATCGGCTCGACAGTAACTCATAAAGCATTCAAAGACTACAGGTCGCGTGATATAAAATGAACTTTCGTATTGATGTTTCATCTGTTGCCGTTGCTGACGAAATTTATGAAGACTAGTAGCTTGAACAAATCGCTCCGACTTTTCATCTCGAATTGGAGAGACAGCACGGCGGCACCAGTAGCGGACAGCGGCGACGGTTGCCACTGGCCTAACGGGCCGGGCCGGCCAGCCGTCGCGTCGGCGGGCGGGCGGAGCTGTTTTCTCAGCAGGGGGCGAATTTCGCCGGCAGTTCGGACTTCGCCGCCACCTGACGTCCAGCTGGCGCAGCTGCCGCCGGCGTCCCCTGACCACTTCCTCTCACTCGCCACCAGTCCTGCCAGTGCTGTGTGTGCCCTCTGTGTGCGTCCTCTGGCTATCAGAGTGCGCCTAGTCACGCCACGCTATCACCGTCGTCTCAGTGGGTGACATCAGTCACGGCGAAATGTTTGGGAGCCAGGCCCTGGCTGGGGCGTAAAACATGGCACATAAAACATATGGCACGCTCAGTGCTCACAGCAAAGAAGGCACAAAACCCAGCGGGTCGACCGGGCGGTATGACTGAAGAGGGCTACGGCGGAGTGTTTATTGGACGGAGGCACGTGCCGTGTGTCATCGCGTGTCGCGTGTCATCGTCGTCACCCTGTATCGGCTGACACAAAGAGAAGACACGGGCAGGCACAGACTACAGATTTCGATGGGGTCTGGCCAGTCAAGCGGTAAAGAGACGGCAACAGACCATCAGCCGAGTTACATCAAGTCACCGTCCCACGGTCTCCCGTGCCGTGCCGCTCTACCATTAAAGTCCCAGGCGTCCACCACTCCGAGCCAATGACGTAATAGTTCCACAGATGGTGCGTGAGCGCCGCCCGGCTCCGGGGGAGGGGGAGGGGCGACCCTGGGCGGGTCACGGTCCGGCGCCGTGTAGTCACGGTCGGAGGGGAGGGGGGGGGGGAGGAGGGAAGGCCACGGCAGGCGGATGGAGATTGGAGACGCCCCCAAACACGCAAACACTCGGCGCACATATCAGAGTCACAGCCAGGAACACAGCGATACGCCGCCGAGACGTCGATATGCTGGGTCACGCAGTCCATACATGGAAAGACACGGGCGAATTACACCAGCGACATTGCGGAGCTTTTCCACTTTTCGCCTTCTATCAGAACAAAGAACCTGACAGCCCATAAAAACAACTCTCACGACTTCAAAAAATAATAAAGTTTGTGGCTTACAATACATTCCAAAGTAAGAAGAAAAGAGCAACTTAAAGTTTAGACCGAATGTCTTCAGATAAAAATGAACAACAACAATACAGCGGCTGATGCTCAGCGTCGGCAGATGATAGCAGACAGTGGCCGACACACAGCGCTGTCTGACACTCAGACAGGGTCGTCTAACATTCAGACACCGGCAGACATCGGCAGTCGGTAGCGCCATCGGGCGGTCGTCGGCCCGTCGGCCCGGCTGCCGGCGGCGACGCGGCGGTCTGCGGCACCGGCCGCCGCTGAATCAATAATGCCCGCAGCTGACTGAGGTCCGAGCTGCGGCAGCGACTGGGCAGGGGAGACTGAGAGACGGGGAGACGGGGAGCACGGGGAGACCGAGAGACAGGGAGGCCGGGGAGACTGGGAGACTGGGAAGATGGACAGACAAGGCGGTGCCACAGATACCAAGCCAGGGGAGATCGAGCTGCGATCTGGTTAAAGGTTTGCAAGAAGGCGGAGGAAATAATCATATGTATAGCTGACATTATATGAAGTGCATATAAAATCTGTATGGAACAAATGGTTGTCGAAGTCATTGCAACCATCACCACTTATCCGTCCCTCTCAGTCTCAGATGCTATCACCAACCACATTACGATAATAATTCAAAACGGTGACACGGTAGCCACCCTGCCGTGACTGCTGATGAAATGTGACACCCCGGTGAGAAAAACAAACCGCAGACGCCACATCCCATTGTGCGGATGACAAAGTGGGTCATTATGTAGCGTTATCCCGCCTCTGGATGCATGCGAACGTCATCCATGCATGGCTTGGTAGGTGGTAACGGCTGAGGCAATAGTGGATTCTCTGGCACTGCAGTCGCTGCGTCTAGTGGCACGGAGTTTGTTCAGCTGTCGCTACGCCAACCCTACAGTTGTTAGAGCCGGCATAACACCGACAGACGACCACTGGAAGCGTGTTTTATGGAGGTGTTCAGCTCACGTTACTTGTCACATTACAACAAAAACGACAGCGCTTAAATGGATGACGGATAAGCAAACAATGCGTAACAGGAGAGAGAAAAACCGACTAGCCGGGTTAGCCGACCGGGCCGAGCTAGCAACGAAGTGAAGGACAAGGGCGGGGACAAGGGCAGCTCAGAGACAAGAACAGGGACGGGACCACGGGTAGCAGCGAGGTCGCCGACGATCTCACCTGTCCGTACGCCAGCACGGTGGCGTTGTAGCCCTCCAGGCAGCCCTCGATGAGTTTCTCGGTGCACTGGCTGTAGATGTGCTGCTGCTCCGAGTCCATGTCGAAGACGTAGTCATAGGTGAAGGCCTTGTCGGAGCCCAGCCACACCTGCGGCTCGCCGGGGGTGACCGAGGTGCACACCCGACACATGTCGATCACCTCCCGCGAGATCAGCGGACGCACCCTGCGGACGGGGACAGGTCAGGTCAGTGTCAGCGGATACACCCTGCGGACGGGAACAGGTCAGGTCAGTGTCAGCGGACACACCCTGTGAAGGAAACGGGTCAGGTCAATATCAGCGAACGCATCCTGTGGACCGGAATAATAGATTAATGTCAACGAAATAGCAATAACACTATGAAGTTGGGTTACATCAGGACAATTATGTGTCATATTAGATCTCCTCAATTTAATTTGAAGTTCGGTCCGGCTGGAACAATGCTATGCCACGCCCTCATCAATGTCTTCAAGCGAATCCTTATGTATTCATCACACTTGTAGGTCAACTTGTAGGTCACAATCAATGTCAGGCATCTCGACCTGCAGTAAAATGTGAAGGCATGGTCGACCCGGAACCCAGCAGGAAGCGGCCCCGAGACGGCGGGCGGGATCGTCCCATGAGCTCCGGAAGAAACAAAGACCACCGGTGTTGACCCCCGCTGTATGGTAACATAGGGTCAGAATCGTGACTGGAATTCGGTAAATAAGACATCAGGCTCGGAGGAAATGGTCCGACAGTTCGCGGAACATACCACCAGAGAAGACTGGGCTGAAGGTCAGAACTTGGAACGGGGTCTTGGTCATGCCGCTGTGAATCGGCGCATCCACTGAGCGTCTGCCATTCAGGGATAAATGGCGCACCTCAAGAACAATGGATGATGAGAGTTGGAGATATAACCTTATGTGCATCGTGCATGCATGTTACCAAATGCAAATACGTTCTCAAGACTCATTAAAGCACCGTTACGCGGAGTTGGAAATGGAAAATCGCCAGCACCTATCTGATAAAGCGACAAATAAAGGAGACTGCGTTATGTACCGCAGAGAATATCCGTTGTCGGGGGGAGGAGACCGTTTACTCTTTAGTGCCGACCGCTGTTCAACAACCCCATGTCACCGGGCTGAGGCAGGGACGCAGGGTCACACGGACATGATAGCCGTATACTGACGGGTTACCCAGCTCCGCCCATGGGGTATGTATGCTAATGGCACGCTTTGTGGACCGCTCCAAGCCGACACTGAGGATGGCCTGAGGTACCCTGAGGCTGATCCATTGATGTGCCGATTGGGACTGACTTTATTGGCTTCATCATGTCATTCACAGCTAAGATTCAATCACTTTATGGTCGGCCATCTCACAGGAGGTCACGAGTATGGGCTCAGCAGCAAAAAGAACGCTTCGAAATAATGGTCGAAGAAAGACAAGAAAAAAAGACTCACGCCTCGAAGCACTCCTCTGCGAAACATGACTATGCGCCGTAAATCGTTGGCAAAGTTTACGCTAGCGATTGTTTTGCGAGAGAGCTGCAAAGACATTCAGGTGTGCTGCGACAAAATTCACAACCAAGACAACCAACAGCTCTGTCAACTCCTTCCCGGCACCTCTCGGCTCAGTCCAGCTCGGAGCCCCCATGTGTCAGGCGCCCAGCGTCGTCGGCACCCGAACCGATCGAAATTCCGCAGCCGTTCCATTTGGGCGGCCGCGGTCGTTATCGGGCTCAGCCGCCCGTCAGGACCGGCCCATGTATATACGGCGAGACAGCCCCTGACGCCGAGCCACTCCTGTAGGAGCGGCAGCGTTGATCACACATAAGCCCTGGCAACTTGACACACTTCCTCCCCGCCAGGAGCCGATATTGGATCTGCCTAATCCAGCTCGTCTCGTTGGTAGAGCTGTGGTATCAGCCAGGCGCGGACACACTGTGTTTGTGTGTGGATCTAGATAGCCGTACGGGCCGTTCGTTGGTAGTGGCATACGGTGACCTCGGTTCAGGAAGTGTGTCGCACTGGAGAGGTGTTAATCTGAGGAGCACACATTGGCACACGGCAGACGTGTGAAAAACGTCGGCAGTCCTTACGAACAAGACTGGGTCCTATGAGCTGAGCCCCGCACAGCCAAGGGCTCTTGGGGCGACTTAACTTACGCTGTGGCTTGACGTGCATGTGCAATGATTTATATCAACAGTAGACTCCATGGAGTGACGGTAGCTGACAGGCCATTCATAAGCCAATGATGACTTTTCGGGTGCCCCGTCAGAGCCAGGTGGGTCAGTTCACCGGAAACCTGAGATGAGAATGTCGGTCTGCGACACCGCGAGCACATTCAGGGAAATGTCTCATCATGTTACAGTCGATTTCCGGGACGATCCAGCCATAATTCCATTCCGTTCGGACGAGACATGGCTGATCGAGTTGTGTGCCGGTCAGGACCAATTACCCATATCAGACCGAGAGCAATCCAATAGAGCAGAGCGATCTGCAGGCTCGTGCCGTTTGGCCAGGCCACGTGCGCCGGATTTGTATTCGGTCGGTGCGGCCATAACTTCATACACCGTGGAACGCGACCGCAGGCGGGCGCCTGAGCTGAACGGCCGTGAAGGTCAGCCGGCGGAGGTTCGAGAGGCGCCACAGCTGGGACCGGGTCTAACCAGATATCTGACTGGGGCAGGTTGGAGATACTAGACTGGGACTGGTCTGCGGAGACTAAGTAAGGTCTTGAAGACGTCAAAGTGCAGACAACAGTGGTGGAGAACAAACGGGACATTGATAGAGACAACAGAAAGGAAGAGTAATGCAGGGACAGGAAGAGGCTAAGGAAGCAGTAGACATGGGAATTGATAAAATACTGCACGCAGTCCACACACCAAACAAAACTTCATCTCAGCTGAGTGCGTTCTGTTCATCCCACACCCGCCGACCACGAGTGGGTCAGATTACGTCCCAGCCGCGCGGACCGCCTGTGTAGACGGACACGGTGTCGGAGCCTCAAGGTCGGCGGTTAGCGAGCCACAATTGCCGGCTCGTTAGAGCCGTGCAAGTCACTCCCAGAGAAAACACACCCACACCGATACGTGCATAAGAGGAGAGATGAGCTCGGCAAGTATAAAAGGACGGGCGGCTGCGAGACCCTGCGACAACCGAGGCGGCGAGAAAAGACAGGTGAAGTGAGCAATTAGCGTGTCACCGTGCGGCGAGACGGATAATCAACCGGACTAATGACGGAGATAACGTTAATAAAGATCGACTTCAATTTGAAATGCCGTTAGCACGGGCAACCAGACAGCGAACATCCCAACAAGTCAGGCCATCTATTTATGGATGCTAATTAAATTAGCGGCGTCGCCCACGGCATGGTAACATCCACACAGCCAAAACATTGGCCTGAAGAAGAGCGCGTACTTCGTCGACTACAGAATAGCTGCACACATCGGTGTTCGTGAGAATGGATAGTGATGGAACGAGTCACTACATGCAAAGCAGGTGAGTGTTCGTACCGTGACGCAAAGCTCTCCCGGTAAATAAGTGAATCAAGTGATCAAAAATGCAGCCAACTGATGCATTTGATTTATGCTAATTTGTCCTGTTTGGCCTAGCGCCAGTCAGCAGATAATCTAGCCTGGCGATTTAGCATTATCCTTAGTCACCTGGGTTGAGTCAGATAACAGATTTACATAACCAACCCTGACTCAGGCTGATCTATTCTATTCTCTCCTTCCTGAGCGAGCTCGGGAGTTTCCTGGGAGCAGAGATAGCCACGCCGCTTCTCTTTTAAAGGGACCCTCCCACCTTCAAAAAAGTTTATGAATTGGCATGAAAGTGATGTCGCTCGGTTCAGAAAGAGCGAAAACGAATATCTACCAAATTTCACCGAAAAATATTCACCGGTTTTCAAGATATTAGACTTTTACTTTTGTTTACTTTTTTTGGGATCTCCGCTGTTTCTAGCGACTTTATTTTAGAAGTGCGGCGTTTGCGGCAGATGTTGCGCGCAAATAGCATATACCACCGCGTGCTACAAAACGTTTTTGTCAAACATTTAAAAATCGTTAGATATTTGCGCTGACGTCACACATTCAGAGGGGTATTCCTAAGCATTAGCCCCTCTGAATCAAAATGCTGCAATTTTGAAATTCAATATTTCCGATTTAAGGCATTTCTCGATGTTGTGAGTGCCGAAACCGGTAATTGTGAGCCAGGGACCCCATTTTGGCTATCTCAACTCAAATCTAATGTTAAGGTGGGAGGGTCCCTTTAACGTGTCACCAGCCCCTTCCACAGCATCTCTGTTGACCCCAGCACTTTGTCCAACCCCTTCCATACCGGCTCCATACTTGGACACTATACCATTACCGCAGCGGACACTTCGATAGATAGTAAACATTTACGATGTTATGCACCTGCCCGTGAGCAGTTCGCCGTACACCAGTCCGGCACACCCTGGAGTGTCCATAAAGCCCTCACCGGACCCCATGAGTCGCCCAGGTGGGCCCTGTCAGTGAGCTACCTGGTAGAGGAGCGGCATTGCCAAACCTGCACCGTGACAGGACCGGATTGGTAGTCGAGGGAGTGGGGATGGGGGGGGGGGCACGGCATTCCCCGGCCGTGGGCGGCGCAACGCGTGGGGGAGAGCGATCCATGGGGGAGGGATAGAGGGGAGAGATAGAAAGAGAGCGAGAGGAGAGAAAGAGAGCAGAGAAAGAGAGCAGAGGAGAGAGAGAGAGAGAGAGAGAGAGAGGGAGAGAGCGAGAAGAAAGAGCATATACAAAATCGAAGACATAAACAGATATAGGTACAGACTGACAGACAAACAGAGATTGAATGACTACTACCAAACGCAAATACACACTAGCAGAGCGCGCCACCTCTTCACCTCTTTACCGAGTCATCGCAGGACTTGGACGGCGACACTGTAGACAGCGGCTTACCCTGACCGTCCTGAGTCCCCAGCCCGACCCACCCGCCGCACCATACCGGGCGGGAACGGCACACGACAGAGGCCATCCGCCGGCCGCCACCGTCAGAGAACACGTCCGCTACATACCGGTCATGGACATTGCGCACGTGCAGTCAGTACCGGCGGCGGCCTTGGGGCAGCGCGGTGAGTCCCATGAATGGTTCACCCGGCTGTGGCGGCTCTAACGCAGTCCTGCAGGACGCGCCGTCAGCCCGCCGGGCGGGACGGGA